GCCTGATCTGGGGTTTTGTGAACCTCCCTTCCAGACTTCCAAGAATGCAGGGATAGTCCCACTTCATAAAATACTGATGTCTGCAGAATTTTTACACCTGTCAAGAGCCTGAGTTTGTCAGTCTGAACAATTTTTAAGTTGATGAGGCAGATTACAGTTAGCACAAAGTAAACCCACCAGTTGGGCGGGTTTGTGTCTGTTGGCATGTTATGAAAAGAGGAAGGTAAAATTAAAACCCAAGGAAGCTAAGAAATTCAACAAATTTAAGAGAGTTTGAAACACCATGGAAAATCAAAATAGGTTAGTGCATCAGCACATTGTATCTCTAATGCTACAAATGCAGAGTTAGAGGTTTTATCATTAACCCCAGATAGAACTCATATTGATTGTAAATTGAGTTTCTGACAATTTTTCAATAAAAGAATACCAGGTGTACAGAAAAGTTAAGATCTTGATTTGCATGCAATTGCATATGAGGATTTTACTCACAATTACCATAGATAGGTATAAATAATATTTTAATGATTTCTAATTGATGTCTTAGGTTGAAGTTTGCCATCTGCTGCAGTGTAATACAAAGGGTTATACCTGCAGTAAATGTGACTTTTCCCCCTTTTTCACTTCAGTCTTGGTCTCTGATGATTTATGCTGTGTTGCAATGATAGTTGGCTCCAACTGCAGCACAGCTCACAAGATCCAAATGCCACTTGAAGCAATTTCAGACTGTATCAAGTTTGTCCAATCAGCTCAAGATAATGCTTCAAGATTGCAGACTCACCAACATATATGGATAAACACAAAGAGCCAAATAAATAATGTGTGGTGCAAATCCACTCTTATGGTGAAGCAGAATGAAGGGATTTGAAGAAACCTTTGTCCTTCATATTGTCCATTATCTCATCTGCCCTCTGGTTGATGTGATGGACAAACTGCTGAGAACTGGCATTGAAATAGTAAGACTAGACTATTAAAAAGACAAAGGGCAAGAAGGATGGTGCTTGGTGGTGTCCTTGCCATAGGTGTTTGGAAGGCTAAAGCCTCACGGCCTCAAAAAGACAGAAAGAGTCCATTGAGAGCCATTGAATATGACACCTCCTTTGGCATCCTGAGCCACAGGGCAGGAGACTCTTGCAAGACAAGAGCTTTTGCTGAGGATTTCAGATGTGAGATCTCCTTGAACTCCTGGTGTTGCTTTTTAGCACATCTTCTGAAATTTGTGACTTTAACACATTCTGCACTTTGGGTGAGAAGTCAGCATGAATCCCTTCAAATGACTATATCTTGGTTTTGAGGATGGAGATTTTCCTATTCTCATATATTAACCAAGCTCTGTCTCTGTTTTTAATCAGAAGGCAAATCAATTCCTTTAATCTTTCTTTAATTGGAAGTTCTGGAAAATGCCATTTGACATGCATGAAATGAGGAGCAAAGTTTTCCAAAAGGAAAGGACTACTTTATGTACTTTGATCTCCTGTATTAATGCAATCTGAAATATTATTTCATGAATAGAAATTACAATGCATTACTTGATTAAGGTTTAATTGTATCTAGAATTAAATGGTGAAGTTGTTGAGTAGTTTTTAGGAATTCAATCTTAGATTTGTTCCAAGGTGTTCTGCTAGGTTCAGGTGTTCCTGAGTTAAGGAATGCTTTTGAAATAGTTCAGCATCTGCCCAAAGTGAAGCATTTCTTCTAGTACTGGTTAGCTGCAGTTGCCAATTTTTGCTTCACAAAGTCCTAGATAGATTAGCCTAAAATATTGGGCTTGAAATCCAGCTGCATAAATGAGAAAGAATTTTTTTAATATGTTGCACATTAAAAAGTGAATACAAATCCCAGCTGCTCATACTAACAGAACCTCTGGGACAGAGCATGAGAATTTCAGCTTTGCTCCTGGGTAACTAAGTTAAGAGTGCCTGGCTGCCTGAAAATGTTCTCTTTATGAGCAAAAGCAGAGCATGGAGTTGTGTTGCAGTGACTGCCAGAGCTCTGTTTTTTGAGCTCTGCTCAAAGTAAAATTGCAAATATTAATCTCTCAGGTTTTTCAAAATGATACATAGCAGAAAAATGTTGGCACCAATATCAGATGAATTTATGCCTACACTCTGAACTCTGGTGACTTGGAAACAACTGTCTGCTAATTGTATAGTTGCTAGATGTAAAATGCATTCAGATGTATTTGAAATTTAATTAAAATGTTTGCTCTGATCAGCTATTGCTAGAAAAACACTTGACCTGTATGGTATGAGTCAGGGCTATGAAGCAAACTAATGTCTAACGTAATAAAATAATTATGAGTATACTTCAAAAAAAAAACAAACATTGAGTAAATAGTACTCTTTAAAACATAAGGTCAGATGCCTATGCTTGAAAGAAGGGGATCATCCTGAATCCTGCAAAGGGCAGCATCCACTGGGATGAAGCAGAAATTCAGTCTGGGCAATGGGGATGTTCTACTCATTAACTTTGGGGCTTCATTGCTGAAACCTCTCAAATGCAGGGGAATCACTTTGACAGGATGGGTGTTGGTGATAAAACCCAAAACTTCACAGCCACTGTCCTTAACAGAGGCCCCTGATGGGCCAAGGGTTGCTGAAAGCTTTGCCCAGGAGAGTAGGTAGGTGTAATGGCAGCATTGTGAAAGACTTTCCCATACGAATATTGCAGAACTGAATGATGAAAGTTTGGGATCTCTTGAAGGTAATGAAGCCAGTCTTGCTGAATGGCTATAACCCTTGTTTACTTTAATTTCTCCAAAATACAGTTTTATTGGAAGAGGAAAAATCCCAAATCCAATATGTATTTTCAAGTTTTTTTTCCTTTTTTTTGTAGCAAGCGTAATTGTAAGTTACTTTTCAGTACCTTAGTTCAATTAAAAAAGCATTTTAAAGGATAATACACAGACTCTTTTAAAAGGTGCATGAAGAAGCTGTGTAAACTCATCTCCTTTGGTTGCTTGGGAGGTTAGTTTACTTTAGTAAGCATAAACTGATGCTATCACAGATCACCATGGAAGAGAAGTGCCTTTGGGCCTTAACCTGCAAAGACTTAATGCTTCTGTCTAACCATCCACAGGGCACCCTTGCAGAAACTGGGATTATAATGTTTAATTAAAAGACAGGGCAAAAAATAAAAGTAGTAATTTTGGAAAATGTTTGTTCCCATGTTTAGTGGGTTATTGCAACAGAGATGTTAAGGAGAGGTGTCAAACTTGACTGTCACTAGAGCTCAAAGCCAAATCACAAATTTCAGATACAACAAACATAATGGTGTTTCTCATAATGGTCTTCTTCTCTCACGGAAGAGAAAGCAGATTTGCAATTAGATTGTTTTACGGTGCCATACATAATTTTATTGTCTGCTGAATTTTTATGGCTAGAAAACATCTTAAGAAGAATCCAATACAAAAGCCAGAATAATTCCTCTTCAAGAAGAGCTATTTCCAAGAAGCTTCACATCCAAATTATTTTTGTGACTTATCAAAATGTGTTTTTGCACCTGAATCCTACAGAAAAAAACCCAATTTTCCCAGTTTTAAAATATCTGTTTTTCTGAATAAGCCTTTTTAGATCTCCCTGGGTATGTTTCACAAGTCCATCTTTTGATAGGTATGATGAGTAGCAAGTGGAAAACCTTGTGTGAGTCTATAAGGATTGTATTGGAAGCTCAGTGACTTCAACCTTACTTAAAAAAAAAAATCCTCAACAACTTTTTAAATTTCATTCAACCTTGATCTGGATATAACTTATGTTCAGAAGTTTTCCTGGAATGTTTCCATGTTTCCATTGTGTTTCTAAAATTTGTTTTCCAATTTTTCTTTTCCTAAAATTGTGTTCATGCTTTTTACACAGACTCATTTATTTATTTTTGAACTGATTTAAAATGTCTTGCTGCATTTGCCTGCTTTATTTCAGGAAACATTGTGGGAATTCTGTGTTACAAAAAGTGCTTGTATGGTTGAGATACACATTGCCTTTATTTTCTCAAATAATGATTCATGTAGATAGTATATACTTGAACTTAAAATCCTAATATTTCAATATACTTTGTGGTCATCATCTTAATTGGAGATCTGAAGTTTAGTTCATGTTCTCAGCTTAAATAATTTTTCCTGTTATTATTAATACTCCTTATTCTATAATATTCCTGCAGGGAAAAAGATCAGAATTGTTGCAGTGCTCCATTTATGTTTGATAATATTTCTGATCCAAATGCTAGTTTCACTCAGCATTTTGTTTTAGGGTTTGTGTTGGAAATGCAAAGTGAATGTGGCCAGTGCCTTCTTTGCTCTCACTGTTCTTTGATTTCTGAAGGAATGCATAGCATGTTATCTAATCTGAATGATCAAATTCTCCTCTCTCTGACTCTTCATTGCTGTTAATATAGTGATCTACTCTATAAGATCATCTTATTTCTTGCAGATGAATGATGCAATGGGATTTGAATTGCCATGGGTGTATTTTGTCAGTCTCGTCATCTTTGGGTCATTTTTCGTACTAAATCTTGTTCTTGGTGTATTGAGCGGGTAAGCATACACCTTTTTCATCATGAAGGCAGAGTCCTGAATTCAGTTGCCATGAACACACAGGTTATCTCATACAGGTGAGACTTCAGTTGGGATGATGTCCTTTAATGAACTTCTATTGCTTCCTCCTCTAATTGCACCACAAAAAGTTTTCTTGTAGCTCTCCTATAAATAACATACACCAAAATTGGAGTTTAGACCTACCAGTACCTATTCTTCATGTCCTTTTGGCAAAGTTATGAAAAAGACTGAAAATTCCCATGCACTCATTTGGATGTTATTTCAATTAATCCTCTAAAGCCTCACATCTACAATAAAATTTGGGTAAGTAAATTGAAACAATTGTTCATTCACTTTTTAAAGACCTGGATAGGCCATAAATTTTGTGTTGCACCTACGTGATCTGGCAGCTGCAAAAAGGACTCTGCTGTTTAATGAATGACTGAATCATAACTTGTTTCCTTGCGTTTTACAGGTAAATGATGCAATAGGATGTGAGTGGCCATGGATCTATTTTGTTAGTCTTATCATCCTTGGCTCATTTTTCGTACTTAACCTGGTTCTTGGTGTACTTAGTGGGTAAGCAGTTGAGTTAACATTGTGTATGCTACTGCTACTTGTAAGATGGCCTCTGCATTGACTCCAGCTTCTCAGCAATGGCTTTTTTGCATGCACTTGAGATTCTTATGTCATCCTACCGGTGTTTGCTCTTTGGACTGAGCTGTGTGATTCGAGTGCCTGTATCTGTCTTGACATCACGTTCACCATGCTTGCCAAAAATATTCATTCAGTGAGGCACTAATCTCCTTATTCTATAATATTCCTGCAGAGAAAAAGATTTTGTGCACAGAGATGGGCGGTGAACCCGTACAAATATCCTCCCCTGCTGTTATATACAAGTGTCTTTTTCTGAAAGACCAACATTTGCTTTTCTTCAAATAGTCATAGTGCAGATGAAGTGTTATTTATGTTTAACAATTGCATATTTTGCTCAAAATATGGCAAAATATTTTAAATAAGTGCTTCAAGACCTGTCTTACAGAGTGTGGTTGCCCCACCCTGACAGTGTTCAGTGGTTCTTGGGTTGTAGATCTGTGAGCTGCTGTGACAACCTGCACCAGGAGCTGATAATTTTATCAATAATACCGTATCAATTTAATATAGCTGTCAGTGGGAGGTTGTCACAGCTTTTTGTTGGTTTGTGCACTCCAGGCTCCAGCCAAGAACTAAAGCTATGTCAGTTCATGTATCATGTGCTTTAAAACTGTAGTTTATGACAGGAGTTTACCAGATTTTCTTTTTATAAAGTTCTCTTACATGAAGTTGCAACCCTATTTCCTTTGCCATTTCCTGATTTCTGACACACTTGAGCTTGGGAAACTCCAGTCTGTGGTAAAGATATTTTTTGACAAACATATAAAAGATCCAGCTATCATGCAAGTGCTGAAAAGAAAATGATTATGGTTGCGTGCATAGGGTTTTAGTTATACAGCAAACAATATTCTGGCAATCTCAGGCCAGTTGTGTCACCTTTGTCAGCCAACAGAAACATTTCCCTAGTGTGGAAAGGAGCCTGACAGTGCAGGTGAAGGTGTCATCAGGATGCTGAGAGTGCCTGCAGCCCGGCTCATGGTTTTGCCACATTGTACCTGAAGTAAATGATGAAATGATTATTATATTCCTGGAAAGCAGATAAGCAAGCAAGATTTCCAGGTGTTGCTGTAACTTTGTTACAAGAGCACTTTTCTTTGATGAGTAGTTTTACAATATGCTTTTAAAAATATTTAGCCATTTATCTGTGGAAGATTGCTGTTGCACACAGGAAACCACGGAAAGCATAGTTTTGCCTGCTGCTAGACTTGCTTTATAAAGCAGATGCTTAAAAGAAAAATGGCAGTGCTAAAACAACACTGCTGATTTTTAGATTTAATCTTGTCCTTCCAAGGACAAATGTGTAAATGTGTAAATTGTTGCAAAATGAAGGGCCCAGCTTTCAGCCACCTTCTTATTTCTTTCTGGAAAAAGAAATAAGAAGGAGAAGGACAGATAAATGATGGTGGTTACAGTGTAATTTATTTCTTCTTTTGATGCTGTTACCTAACGTTGCTGTGTGACTGGCCTTTCCACTGAAGTCATTACAGGATTAGGCTCTCACAGTTCCTTCTCTGGCTCTTAAGAACATCACAAGCACCAATTAATTTTCTTCCTGTCCTGTGAAGATGTCTGGTAACAGATAATGAATATTCCTGTTTTTCCTTCCATGACTTGAATTGTTATTGGTTTCAGATATATATATATATATATATATTTTTTTTTTTTTTTTTTTTTAATTACAGGGAAAGTGACACCAAATTTGGTGTTTTGTTGCACATATTTATTTTTTTTCCTGAAGTCATGGAAATTTAGAGATACTTTCATGAATCAGATGAACATTTGATTTAATAACCTTAAAATACTGTGTGAAGTTTTCAACATTATGATACATATATTTTTGGAACATGGAGTAGTTTTTTAGAAGCCATTCCAATACAGGGAAGAGGTATCCCCTTGTCCTTGGGTTCCTTTCTGCAGACAAGAAATCACCACTGATTTCTAGGTTTTCTGTCATCCATAGAGCTCTAATGCTCCTCACAACCCTTGCTGCCTTCACTTGGATTTTCAATGCACAGAAATGGCAGTGAATAGTGGGATGTGAAATCTCCTTATATTCATGAAGCCATTAATTGCTAAATTTATTTTCCTGCCTTGGTGTCAGTCAGGGTCAATTGAGTGCTCAGGGTGCTTGATGAATTGTCTGAATCCGTGTTTGCCCTAAATACATGAAAGTGCCTTCCTAAAAACTCCCATTTTTTGTTTTCTTTCTGAAGACAATGACACTGGAGAGCTGAGACCCGTGATGTATAAATATCACCAAGGACTGACATAGAAAGTGCAAGGAGAAAGTCAAAGGAGATGCTCCTAAAAGATACCAATCATAGCAAACTGATGTTTGGTAGAGCAGTGAAGAGAATGTCCTGGCATACTTGTTTGAAACTCTGACAAACAAGGGCCAGTGTGGAGCACTGTTACTCTGATTTATTTGAAGCAGTATATGACAGTTGTATATAAACAATTTTCCCCATAGTTTCTCTTTAGAGCTATGAGTTTAGTCTAAATTTTTTGGATAAATTTGATGTACTAGTAAAATCCAATGGATGTTTTTGTGTTTCTTAGTAGAAAGATATTTTTCATCCTGAGCCAAGCATTGAGTATATAACACATAATTTTTTTTTTGTTTTATTTAAAAGTTATTAGCTTTTATGTTTTATACTCTTCAAACCACAACACAAAAACTTGGTTCATGACAAATCCACAGATAAAAGTTAAATTTTACTAAACCAATCAACTATCAAGAATGCAAATATTATGCCAACTTACTTGAAAAGCATGGCTCTGCATACAGATTTTGAAAGTGGAATCTGAATGCCTAATACCTTTTCTGTATGAAAGTGTCACTTCCTTTATATCAGGTTATGCCGTGTACATTTTAATCTGTTTGCTGTTTTTGATCTGTTTGTTGTTGTAAAATATTCAGTTATTCTCTTTGCACTCCTTTGTTATTCTGTGACCATCTGCCCCTTTGTAGTTCTGTAATGCCTCTTGTGCACTGCATGTTTGATGTATTTAGATACTGCAAAATGGATGAGAATGATGGTTTGGCAGATCTTTTGTTTCACATCTAGCTTTTTCTGAAGGTGAGTATTTCCTGGTGATCCGTGTCAGTCTTGCCTGCAGAAGGTGACATTCTTAAAATGCAGTTCATATTTTTAATATCAGTAGTGTAAATGAACAGAAACAATGTGTGTATGGAATCTGCATGTGATGAATATTGTGATTTCTGCATGGAAGCTGACTGTGGAGATTTTTTTTCCTAAATAATTTCCTTGAATAACAAGGATGGAGAGAATTCATAGGCTTGAGTTAATTCAGCTTTTTCAAAAAACTCTGAAAAACTCTTTATACTTTTACCTTTTTTACTCTAGAAGTATTCACATTACTCTAAAAGTGGATTCTCTGAAGGCATGAAATACTAGGCACAGAAACTGGGAGCTCAGGACAGGCCTGCTCCAGATATCCCAGTGTAAAAGACCAGAACATATAATGGCTATTGGTGCAAAAGAGTGAGCTGAAATTGAAAGTTAGAAATTGTAAGGTTAAGTTAGAAAGTTAACAAACATATAATGGCTATTGGTGCAAAAGAGTGAGCTGAAATTGAAAGTTAGAAATTATAAGGTTAAGTTAGAAAGTTAACAAAGATCAGGATTGAGATACTCATCCATCCTGAAAATGTAAAAAGTTAAAAAAAACAAAACAAAACAAAAAAAAAAAAAACAACCCAAGAAGTTAAAATAGGCATGTCAGTAATTCAGAATGTATTAAACTGGTTTGCTATGAACAGAGGAAATAAATTATTTACCAAGAGGCATGGCTTTTAATGATGCATGATAATCTATTCCTGAAGATTGTCCTTATCATTAGGAGATGGGCTCTGCTGATGGCATTTTCTGCTCAAGGCATTAGTATTTCTTTGGATAGTCACAGGAACAAATAAAACCTTTCAAACACACTCTAAACACTCTAATAAATCTATAAATTGAATTTATTGCCTTGCAAAAGGACACCAAAACATAAGCTTGACATGTCCTTACATCCTCCTATGTGTGATCTTGCAGTTTACTAAGGGAATGTTAATTTTTTTCAATTTGTTTTCCCCAGTAATATTTGCAATGCATATACATAGTGATTCTAAAAGCTAAGGAGGTGTACTCCTCCACCCCAATCTCCCAGCAATATTTGTCAATTAATGATATATAAAATATGTTGGTGCAGATAAGCTTATACACCTAAGAAATGTTGTCTACAGTATATATGGAAAAAATCAAAGAAAAAGACATTTGAATAATGATTCACCAAATAGAAAATGGCAGTAAACTGTCATCCATAGCCTTTCAGCAAAAGGAAAATGAACTGGTTTTGGCAGTGTTCCTTTTCACAGCAGCAGGAATGCCTAGTGAAAAATATGAAATAAAAAAAATATTGCTGAAAATTTAACTCCTTCCCATAGATAATCTGAATATGCATTGAAAACTAGGAGAGGGACTCCAGCCTCATTTAATTTCTGTGTCCTGGTGAAAGTAAAACTTCCCTATTGAAAGGAAATGTTATATTTGATCAATCAGTTGAATATGCTAACAATAATTAATCAGCAAATACTTTCAGCTGTATACAGCAGTAAATAACTGATTGCTTTAGACAGAAACCACTAAAGTCAGGTCAGGTCTGTAGCCTTGACTAAGAGCTTGGAGGGAACTGATTTTATTTCAGTCCTGTCTGAACTCACCACTCCAAGATTTTTTAGGGATTAGTGCTGCGGGGTGCTTGCTGGGGAGCCCCAGGCAGGGAACAACCCACAGAGAGGGCACGAAGCGATGTGGGGTGATGGCAGCTTTGGTCCTGGGCTCACTCCTGCCCCTTCTTCTGCCAAGAAATCCAGAGAGTCCTGACACAAATGGGGCTTGACCCAGGAGAGGAGGGGCACATCTTAATATACAGATCTAATTAACAACGATCTGAAACACCAGATCTCAGTTTTGGTGCTCTATCAAATGGTTCCATGTCTGCCTGTTCCTACTGATGATCCCAGAGCACTCCTGGGCACAGTAAGGCTGGATAGGCCCTTGTTCCACAGAGCTGCTGCTGGAGCTGTTGAATGCACATTTTGGTAATTGCTAACCAACTGCATTGACATAGCCATGGGTAGGTAACACCAGTCTGTATTTCCTCATCAAGAGCCCAATGCTCCTTGCTCAAAAAAAATTCCTGGTAGGACTTTTTTAGTTTTGCCCTACAGTAGTAATTCTAGTGTTCAGCCTGTGAGGTTTTTTCTCCCCTCAAAGAAGGGGTGACAATGATGTATACAAATCTCCTGTAATTAAAGATGTGATGTTACTTAACCTTTTTTATGTCTCTTCACATCTGTTGCACTTTACACCCAGCTGTGAGCTGCTGTCTGTGCTTAGATGTACACTTGAAGTAGTTTTAGTTCTCTGACTTGATTCTGCTGATTTGTTGGTTGGTATGGTTACCACAGTGTGAAACCTCTCCTGCAAGTCTGGTGGCCAACACTGTACTCGTGTGAGTACATTTTTGTTATTATATGACTGTTCTCTGTGAATAAATGAGTCTGGGATGTCTGGGTGGCAGTTCTACGTATAGAATTAGCTTAACACTTTCCACGTACCAGACCCTGTGTGCAGTGAGCTCTGTATGCAGGAGATTCACTCTCCCTCCCACTGCATTTGCAGTGACACAAAAGGGCAGGAATACGGCTAGCAAAGGATTTGTGTCCTGGTTTTTGCTCTGATATCAAAAGCACCTGTTTGTTTCCCATCACCAATGCCTAGACACACACAGGAGTTTCAGCAACACTCGTGCTGCTGCGCAGGCCCCCTGATGAAATATCCCTGGCCTTTAGCATGGGAAAGCTTTCAGCTGGTAGGAGGCTGGTAGAGGTGTCTCTAGTTATCATATCTGTGAGTATACAGAGAGAAGGGAGAGTATACCAAAAGCATTTCAACAAATTGCCTTAGGATTTTTGGTTAATATGACCCTGCCTGTAAATGAAGGTGTGAGAACCAGGGAGATGTAATTGAGTCCCAGCAGGCACTCCCTGCTGCCACTTCCACCTTGTTGCATCGAGCCATTCCCGACTGATGCATACCAGCAGGGGTTATTTCACTCTGCTGAAGAAAGAAAAATCTGGCATGATTACCCCAGACTGCTGAAGCATGAATTCAAGCCCTGCATTTTATATGCTTCTGCCTCAACAGCCATTGATGATGATGGTGTTGTGCCTGAACAGAGAAATGAGATCATCTTTCTGCTAGGAGAAAATGAATTTTTGGGCAACAGAATTAAACCCTGAATTTTATATAGTAGGTTAGTTATCACTAAAAGTAAATGAGATTATGTAAATTAGTCTCCATAAAATGCTTTATTTTGCAAGTGATGTCTCTACTGTGCTGCAGATGCACAAAATGCTTTCAAATATCAGATCCAGCTCATTTTATCAAATCACAATGAAATACGTGTTTCAAAGTTAGCTCTTAGCACAGGCATTTGTGAAACCAAATATTTACAGAGCTTAAGTCCTCTTACTGCAATTAATGTGCAGTTTCTTGAGCCTGTCAGCTTCAGAGGCTGCTGGCCTGAGTGCTGGGTTGATGACAGGGAGGCCAGTTCAGGCCACCAGTCTGACCACATCAGTCCCTATGTTGCCTGTAGAGCTGAAAGATTTTCTTCTCTGCCCTGGACCCACTCTTCCCACTCCACAGCCATGAAATGCTGCATGAGCAGCTGTCTTAGTTCTCCTTCCAGGAGATCAGCCAATGTCTATGTATCTTTACCTAAATATTCAAGTATCTTTTTGTCCAGATGTCTTTGTCAGAAGCTTAAAAGAGCCAACATCTTCCCCTCTTCTCACCCTCATCACCTTTTTCAAATTACTTATTTCTTGGCCAAAGAAAAGAGATACTTTTGTTTTGCCAACAGGAAATTCATTACTTTCCAGTTCTATTAAATTCTTTTTTCTTATTTATGGCATTCCCCTAAAAGGAGTATGTACATATGTGTCTGAGGAATGTCCCTTCATTGTGGATGTGATAGAAAAAAAAAATACCATAGAGCCAGATTCTTCCCTCCCCTGAAGAAAATATCCTTCTCATGTTTTATAGTTCCTTATAAAGAGTCAAGTTTTAAAAATAAAATTGAAATTTTTAAATATCACAGAAATAAGCACCCTTGCATCTCCCCCTACTGATAAATGGCAGCAGCAAGGCAGCATCTGACTTCTGTGCAGTATTAAAGGGAAAGGTCAGAATCAGCTGTGTATATAAAAACTAGGTTTAATTCTCTGCATGCAGCTGCTTTAATGTGAAGTTAAAGAGCAGTTCAGCCATGGGTGAAGTTCTGTTCAAAGTATCAGCCTTGCCAGCTGATTAGTTAAAAAATTATTTCATTCACTTCACTCTATATAATAACAACCACTTTTGTTTTACTTCACCCTCACGCATCACATCTCCGTTGAATTAATGAGAAATACCTGAAGGACTTTAAATGAAAAACACATGAATTCTTAGTAAAAGCCAGCAAGGCTTGTTACTTCTCATTTCCTACTCTGCCATGATAGCTCTTTCTCCAGAGATCCTGCCTGCAGGAAGTGAGTCACGGGTGCACTGCCTCAGTCAGGTGTAAAGGACAGTCTCTAATCCTCTCTCTGAGAGAAGCTTAAACCCGCTATTCCTTAACCCAAACAGTTCCTTATTGATTGTCAAATTACTCTGGTTATTTTTAAGAGTGATTATCTTTCAGAGAGATCTCTAAAGCTCTCTCTTTCACTGGCATTTTTGTGAGGAGATGGCTTCTTGCAGGATCTCGTCCTGGATGGGAGGTGAAGGGTAGCAAATGCAAAGCAAGCACTGGCATTCTTCAGCTTCATTACAGTGCCATCAGATGGAACAGGATGATCCCCGTGTGCCAAGCTGAAATGCTGTTGAATTAAGTCCTCAGCTGTAAAAGATGTAGTGCCTGCCTCTTGGCATTTGCAGCAGAAAGCTGTGTAACTTCTGTAACATAACATCAGAAAACCCTCCAGCATCTCTATAGTTGTATGTAAACAGCTCAACACTTAAATTTACTGATGTAATCTAAATACTAAATTTTTTCTCTGACATGTTTAAAGACTAAAAAAGCTAGTAAAAATAAATAAGAAGCCCCCTGGAGAGATTATGCTTTTGCAATTCTAAACAAACAGTGTATGTCATCAAACTGTAATATTATTTTGAAAAATGGAGACTTTCTGTTATTCTGTTCTACTTTCTTAGGGCAATATTTTTATTGCTAATTGTTTCACCTTAAAATATTTTTGTCTTATGCTAATTTTATAATATTTTCCACTTGAAAAAGGGTATTATTGAGTGATTCAATAAATTTCCCCTTAAGAGCATATTAACAAGGGAATATCTTGAAGCGAACTTTTCCAATAAATAAAGGACTTGCAAATTCATGGTAAATGAAATTGCTCAGCCTTTTCTTAAAGTTTAACTTAAGCCCTCTTTTAAGATTAATGTGAGTAGCAATAGGACAAGGGGTAAACTGCTTAAAACTGAATGGAGGCAGTTTATATCAATACTGGGAAGAAATTCTTCCCTGTGAGGGTGGTGAGGCCCTGGTACACATTGCCCACAGAAGCTGTGGCTGCCACATCTCTGCAAGTGTCCAAGGCCAGGTTGAACAGGGCTTGGAGCAACCTGGGCTAGTGGAAGGTGTCCCTGCCCACTACAGGAATATGGAATGGGATGAGCTTTGAGGTCTCTCCCAGCCCAAACCCTTCAATGATTAACATGTTAGTCAGAACAAGCTTAACTTTAAATACTGAATTGTATTTAGAATGCAGTACTTAATATGCAGTCCAAAAGATCCTTGCCTGCCCCTAACACTACATATTGATACTCTGATAAATTGGAATGTGTTGGTCCTTGTAGCAGAGGGGGGTTTCCCATTTGGAGCTGTGGATCACACCAAATGTTGTAATAATGTTGGCATGTGACATGTTGTGGGGGGAGAATATACTTGTTAGTTGTCTTGAGTCATATTCAGGGAATCTTAGATTTATGGGGTGGTTCAGGTTGAAAAAGACCTTAGGAGGTAATTTTATCCAATCTCCTCATCAAAGAGCATGATTTCATTATTTTTATTATCATTCCTAATCATGAACTAAACTGGATAGACAGTCCAATACACTGTCTTGAGATTTGGGGCAGTGAGATATAGAGGATTAAGTTTCTGTTTCTGATCTGTGAGGACTTCTAAGTTCTGTTGCAGGGAACAAATTTCCAACAGCATAGGAGTGTCTGTGTGATATTGTTAAGGGAGAGCCCAGTAGTGGGGTTCTGTATGTTTGAACATGGCCAATGAACTGTGGTTGGGAGAGAAAGGATGTTAGAATGGGCTACCAGAATTTTCTTTTCACTGAAATGTAATACTTAGATGTGAAATTGCTTCATTATTGGAAGCTAGTTTCTATTTGTAGATAAAAGAAATTTTGAGATCTGTATAGAAGAGCAGTAATTAAATGAGAAGAATAGACTCTTCCCTTATGGGGAGTGTCAGAAATACTGCTTAATTTTTGATTAAATCATAAAAGCTCTGAAAGTTGGGATGTAGGGTGGTAGTGATTTGCTATGACTTCTTTGCATCTCTACCTTGTTTTCAAAGCAGCACTCCAATCTTTGGTGTATTTTCTATGTCACTGTGCTAATCTGCAGTGTCAAGACTTTGATCCAAATACCAGAGGGTTTGTCAATCAATTGTTTTTTTCTACTTTATCTGCATTTGATAGAGAATTTTCCAAAGAAAGAGAAAAAGCCAAGGCCCGAGGGGACTTTCAGAAGCTTCGTGAAAAACAACAGCTTGAAGAAGACCTGAAGGGATATTTAGACTGGATTACCCAGGCAGAGGACATTGACCCTGAGAATGATGAAGAGGCTGATGAAGAAGGCAAGAGGAACAGTACGTATTCCTTCCTCTCTACTCTGTGGGGACAGTTTGGCTCCTCCTGGGGGTGTCACACTGCAGGGAAGGCAGCCTGGCCAGTGCTTTCCCTCTCCCAGTTTGCAGCAGTGCTCCTTAGCAGAGCAGTTGTCTGTTAATATGGAGATGCTGAGTCACGCAAGGTAATTTGGAATCTTACAACAAAATTCTGCTTGCGGTGTCCATGTATGAATCACTGTCTGCATTCAGTCACTGCTGAGACTTATAAACTTTGCTTTATTTGTGTTGTGGAAAGAGTTAGTGCAGAGAGGCCATGTGCCACTAAGTCTCATTGTAAATCCTTAGAATGTGTTTTTCTGTGGGTGCATGCAAGGGAAATAATAATGATATAAAAAGCTTAAAAATATGGCCAAAGTTACAGTCAAGAAATAACCTTGTGCTAATACTGTGGATTTTTTGTTGTTGTTGAAATAGGAAAATTACATTCTGGGTCTTTCTTTTTGATATTCCGAATACAATAGAGAAGGTTTTACTGCTTGTCTTAACTGGATGTGCAATAAATGAAATCTTGTGGGATTTTCACTTGACACTAAGAAATATAATTTATGACATATTTATTTGACAGTAGGCTATTAAAAACAGGTAATTTATCCTGTAGTGACCCTCTTGTACTTCCAACCTGAGTCCTAAGGGATAAGAAAAAGTTAATTTCATGATGCTATAAAAAAAATGTAAAAGTTATAATTGATTTTTATATATCTGAAAATTCTAGTAACAGCAGTATTTTAGTGTCATAATTTAGCAGGGGTTATTTTAGCCTCTTTGTCATGATTGCAGAGTAGCAGTTAAAATTTTTGTGAGAAGTTTTAGAGTGGTACACAAATGAGAACACAGATTCAGGATGTGTTTACTGATTTAACACTAGGTCTAAGATTAAAGTCCAAATTTCAGTATATATTCTAATGCTTGTTATTAATGTTATGCTCTGGAAAGTCATGGTATGTGTTCCTTTAGATACCGTATTGTATTTAAAGAGTAAAAGGTTTGTCAAACACAACTCAGAGTAGTATTTTCTGTGTTTAAATGATACATTATTGCCATTGCTTTTCTTCTAGTGTTGCTAATTTATTGTGAACTGTTCTTTTAAGTCACAGTACTTTCCAGGTGCAGTAAGTGACAAAAATGTGGTTTGATATTACAGTATCTGTTTTTCAACTTCTCTCTGTATTGCAGAGATTGTAGTAGTTTTTAAAAATCTGTGAGTTTCAGAATTTTATTAGTCCATTAGTTCACAATAACAGCAGAGTATGGGAGTATGGAACTGTGTTATTGGCTGGAAAAACACTGATTTTGTGAGAGGCTGCAAGGGATACTGTGGGTTGGTGTTGATTCCAGCACCACTGAAAAGGAATAATTTATGTCTATTGCAAAATATGTTGCACAAACAGAATTTTTATCTAGAACAGAGCAAAAAAAGCCAGAATTCACTATACTTAGTTATTGCTACTAATGTGTGGAAGGAGTGCATAAACTGTGGGTTTGAGTACTAGTATAAAATCCTAAGCCTGAGATGTAAAAATGGCACATTTTATGGAGTAAATACACTTTGCACAAGGCTGCTGTGTAGAATTGTAGGTGATGCTGAATTTGCATAGGGTGTTGGATGACTGGGCTGTCAGCTGTGGTGCCAGTGGACTGGGTTTACAGGTGAAATCCAGGGAACATTTTTTGTCCTGTTCAAATTGAATGTTTCTTAATAGGCTGCAAAAAAAACCCCTCATTTGCTCTGGTATTCCTTAAACAGCTTTGAGGTCATACAGATAAAAAAATACTTTGCACATCTACTGAGTTTGAAAGGACTTTCAAGTCTAAACTGTATGGTTTTAGGTGAAGTTAAGGGTTGTAGGAGACTTGCAGAGTGAAAATAGAAGGAAAGTAATTAAAAGCTTTAAGAGAAATGCCAAGAATTTAATTTCAGGCAAACATGTATGCTTTTGTGTGGAAATTTACAGTGGATAGGCAATCTCCTAGCACTCCTGGATTTATGCACATGTCCTTAAATGTGGCTTGGTATTTCAATGTTAATATCAACTGCAACAGCCTGTAAAGGAGGAAGGGTTGCCAAGTTGCTCCACCTCCTTGCATTTCAGATATTTTTAGGTAATAAAGTTAGTTGAAATATATTGGTGATGTTTTTTTCTTGAGCCATCTTGGAAGCATGAAGTAGAGATGGGTCCCAAGATAGTCAGAATAACAATTTTCAGGCTTCTAGGCAACTGTGTCCCTGCTTTGAAAATCTAAACCTTTGGGTGATGCAGATTACTGCTGGTTTATGGAGATGGATGACCACAATGGTGCTCTTCAGTGATGTAGAAGAGCTCTGGGTTCAGGATACACAAGATTTCTGTGGCAGGCAAAGATAGAGATTTCGAAGATGGTTAAGTCAGTGATTAATAGTTTCTCACGTGACCGTTTAAAATTGTAGTTGAGGTTCCTGCAATGCCCCCCCAGCATTTGAAAATTTCTAATCAGAGAAGTCATTAAGTAATTTATTTATAAACCCTATGCATTTGTGCATCTCTGTTGCTGATAATGGGCAGGTATTCAATGCTGTTGAATAACAGAATACCTTTTAATTACTAGAATTGTAAACATGCCTTTAGTGAAAGTTGGAAGTCTTTATTATGAACCAATAGCTGACTATCCTGAAGCCAATGAAAAAAAACTTCCATTGCCTTCAAAGCACTGCGAATTTAGCTCAGAATGCGAGGAGCCGTGAGAGGTGAGGGGTTTAGCTGTGGTCAGTTGTGCTGCCGGTGATGTCAGTCTGTTTTGCCTAACCTTGCCTGTGTTGTGTGTACGGACACGTTTTTGTTTTTTGCGTTGCGACTGCTGCCACCTCCCGCGTCACTGCTGGGATTACATGTGCTTCCCCAGGGCTTACACTGGCTGACTTAATGGAAGACAAGAAGAAAAGCAGACTTAGCTGCTTTGGCCGTTCTTCCAATAAACATGGTAAAACGTGCTCGGATTTGCAGTTGAACTCTTCTTTTGTGCCCATACTGCATTGGATGTGGTAGCTTTCGGGAGCACAGACTGTTTGCATTTCTGTAACCGAGGCACAGCCCTCCAGCATGGAACCCCTGGTGCATGCAGACCTTCCTCCTGGTTGAAGTGCATGTTTGAAATAGAGGTGCTGCTCTACCTCCCTAAAGCAGAGTGTTTAATCCATTCACATTTCCACTGAAGTGTCTTTGTCCGTGGCTGTTCTTGAAGAATAGGTTTTCTTTTTCAGAAGTCAGGTAACCCAGATCAAAAATGTATTTTAAATTTAGGCATGAAGAAAGTAATAAAAGTATTTTACAAGTTTTATAATGCACCATAGTGTAAGCTTAGAACAGCATGATGATAACACTTACTATTTACTTTTGATACTTGTGATATAGAATCTAACAAAGCACAACAAGATTTTACTGTATGTCCTTTTGCTGTTGATGGTTTTGTTTCTGTAATTTGCTTCATTCACTTTTCCCCACCCACACTGGAGATGGACAGGAGGTTTAGAGTATGATAATTATTTTCAAATCTGCCTGTTTTAATACTGGCAAATGTCCTGTTTTGACATGAGCACAGGTGCTGTAGTTAGGAGATCTAGTTTTAGTTCTGTCTGCAACTAAGTTATTTGACCAACTGGATTTCTTGCTGTCCTAACAATTCTTCTTTTGGCCCAGAATGAGGCTGAAACTCTCATCCAGTTACTTCAGTGAATGCAGAATTCTAAGTCAGAAATTGTTGGGGCCTGATAGACTAATTTTGTACAAACACTGAGGCTGCTTGAAATTGTTTGTGCAGCTGTTACATATAGAATACATATCACTGTCTGACAGCTCACTCAGCTCTGCATGCTGAAACAGTTTTCCTGTAAAAATTGTGAGAAGACACTTGCAATTTTACTTTGAACCGTGTATTTCAACACAGCCCTTAAACGAGCAGGTTCAGGTTCTGATGTCTGTCAGGACCAGCCTGGCACTGCCTGGCACCTGCTGTCACCTGCTGGCAGTGGCTGCTGTGCCACGGCTGGTGCCTGACCTTGCAAGCCAAAGGCATTCCCAAACTCATGGGCACTGACTTGGATTCCTCTGCCTTGCAGGGCAAGTGCCCCTTTTGTGAGTAGGGTTTTTCCAAAGTACAAATTAATGGCCTAAGTTTATTGCTTCCTGAGATGATTGTGCTCATCTGAGGAGTTGAAGCTTAGACTGTTTCTGGAGTAAAAACACCACACAATATTTTTCTTTGTATGTCCATTAAAAGCAACATATGTGTAGAATATGCAACATTCCCAAGGTTCTCAGTGTCATCCTTCAGGCTACAAGTGGTTGGTTGAGTGATGCTACTATAACAAAACCCAATTTATTTGCTCTCCTTCCACTGCTATGCAGCCAGCCTTATATTGCTTTTCCATGGGCTGCCTATAAAAAGAGAGAGCCCATAAGAATGATCTACAGCAACATTAAATCTGCACTATGAAAAAAGATATCTTGCTACGCTATCATGAAGAACGTCTTCCAAGCAGACTCTCCTTAAACTGAATTTACCCTGAGAAGCTTCACAGTCACAGGAGATAGTGCCACTTCTTTCTGAAGTGTTTTCTGGGTATACAGCAGACTTGGGAAAATTTGAGATGAATTTGTAATGATAGTATTGCCACTTTGGGGATTTTTTTTTCCACTCTGTTTTGCTGTTTGACTACCTCAAAGATTTGGTAAAAAGGATTCAGAAAATTTATGTACTAATTTGAGAAAGAATTAGGAAAATTTTGGAAACACCAATTCAAGGAATTTGTTGGCTGTTACTAGCAAACAGAGCATGAAATTTTTTTAAGAGTGATCTAAAATTTTGCCAGTTTAATATAATGCCAAGATTCTCTGCAGTAGCCAATGCTGATGAGCTGTGCAGATCACTCCACTTCTGCAGCACTTTTCCTTCAGCACATTTAACCACAAGGTGCCCAACATGCACCAGTGTGAAAATGCACAGTTGAAACACCTTAAAACTTTAGCCATTTACATTAGAGAGGAAAACATTTCCAACAATAATACTTGTAACCACAATCAGTAATTCAGGCTGGAATTTAGCCTGCTTCTGGATTCTACAGTGACACTGAATTGTATTTCAGGATTATGGAATTTATTTCTTCTAACTCTAGCTGGCAAGGGCACACCATTGCTGATAGACAGTGGCTTGCTCTTCACTGTTATTAGTTATGTTACATCCTGGAGTGCAGTTGGAAATCCCTGCTCCAAAGTCTGAAAACTCCATAGAGTACCTTGTGAATACAATGGATTGTTTTTCTCATGTTATGTTCTTATCCACAGAAGCAAAATGTAGTAGTTGATGTATTTGACCTCTTTTCTGTCCACTCAGGAAAGTACTAAGCTGCATGCTGTATGGGTTGCTTATATTGTCTAATGCAAGCATTCTTTTGTTTGAAACCAGTTAGCTTAATTGAAGAGATTATTAGATCTCGAAATCTAGATAATCTTTCCAGAATACCAGTAAAATAAGGGCAAAAGGTGAACAAATAAAAAAAAAACAAATAAAAAGACAAAATTTTGCATCTTCCTTTCAATACTGGGGTGCCAGTTTACAGATATCAGAGCTGAGATCAGTCTCTCAAAATTCTCTCAAAATTGTGTGCTGTGTTTGCCTCATGGACACCACCTGCCCTTATGGAGCTGTGGTCATGGAACTGAGTTGTTTTGGGACCTGGCAGGTTGCTTGCATTAGCAGAGTGGATGTGGACATGCAGTGCTGCTCTTTTCTTCTGGCTAAAGACCTGATTACTTGCTGGCATTGCTGGAGCTGGACTTCCACATGGTGCCTTTCTCAGTACTTCTGTCAAGTTTCAATTTTGACATATAAATTACAGTATAATAGCAGCTGAGTTTCTAATGTGAATTGGTTCTCCTTTTTTCCCTCTTTTGTTTGTAATACAGCACCTGCAAGTCACTGATAGAGATGCAGCAAGAGCCCTGTGGTGTCGGAAACAGTAACATTCAGATGTATTTAATAATTAGCAGACTGACATTCACTTCAATAGGAACAAAGATATTTTTACTTTTTTTATTCTTCAAATAATTGTGTTCAAAAGGGGCTGGTATTTCTTATTGTGGGCTAACACATAAAGTCAGGGTAGACTTGAGTTAGAATTACAGTACTTCACTTTTACATGCACTTGCATTGCATTAAATGTAGCTTTTTTTTGTCACTCAGTGGAATGACAGTTTATGAAGAATTGGATTCTAGGTACCTTTTTTTTTCAGCGGACAGAAGGGTTGATAAATTTGAAATACAAGTGTGGGACACATTGCACATATGCAATAATCATGGAAGTAGGCCTAGCTGTGTTTTCCTGGCAGCTCTTATTTTGACCTCAGCACTCTTATTTTGCAGTTGCTCATCACAAGTGCTGAAATGTTCATCATTAGCTGACTGTAATGCTGTGATTTCTAACAGTAGTCAAGTCACCTGGCACGAGGCAACCAGTTCAGTTCTTTACCAGACAGGGTATACTTATATATACTTATAGTTATTTCAAATTACACTGGCATTTTAAAATAAAAATTCTTAGTTCTGAAGCCCTGAGACTATGATTGAAATAATTTTGTGATTTTTTTTTCTTTGACCCTTTGAAATTTTAATTGTTGAATTTGAACATGAGAGATTGTTTTCTTTACTTTTGAGTGAAATTCCTTGTGAACTCTGACCGTAAGCTGTGAAGTTCTTACAGGACTAGCAAAATTCATTGTTTTAAAACTGATTTGTAAAGGGAAGCATAATATTATAATTGAGACACTTGCAGGTGCTAACCAGAGACTTATAATATATAAAGTCATTACAGTAATATTTTAAAAGAATCATCAGAACAGAAGAACCTTGTGAAAGAAGGTTTTGCTGTGCTTACTGCCTGAAGTGCTTTGTTTATTCAAACACCTGCATGGACATTTTGGATCTTTTTTTGTTATGCCACTCTGTTTAGCATTCCATGTAACAGTGACTTGCTTCTGGGGACAGATTCTCAGCTCTTGCAAAGAGTAGCTGAGTACCTGGCCTGCACAGACCTGTCAGTGTCCACCTTGGATGGGACTGATGGGCACAGGAACCAAACCAGCCCTTCCCACTCCCCTCTGCCTTCATGTCCGTGTTGAGGCAGTGTAGAGGCAGTGAAGAGAGACTGTTCCTAACACTTATCACTTTGTACCTGATTTGTACACAAATCAGAAAATTCAGGGTCTGATTCTTAAATCTCATATCATCCTTTAGGCTACCAAAATAGTGAGATTTCCCTGTCAGAAGTTGGCAGTGTATTGCCCTCAGTACTGTCAGTTCACAGACATTGGCTTAAACCCTTCCCAACAAACCAAATCAAATAAACCAACCAAGCAAACCATCAGAACAGTGGAAGGTACACACCAGAATACCTTAGAATGCTCTGTTTTACTTTTGTTCTTGCTCTTTTATAGTAATTTCAGTGCATCTTGCACCTCTCTTATGTTTCTTACTTTAAATGGTATTTCTACTGTATATAATTTCAGCAACATTAATTTACCCTTTTCTTGTTCCTGAGGTTTTCCTTTCATGCTCACTTTGCAGTGCTCTCCTCTAGGAAGTACTGAGATCTTTGGCTGTTCATCATTTCCTAACACCTTTTGACATAAGGTGTCCTCCCTCTATATTTCAGCTGATTTGCAGACAAATGGTGATAACCCAGCTGAAAATGAGTTTTGTCTAAAAAAGCCATCAGCTACAATTGCTAACCACTCACACTGCACTATATGTGCAGTAATTCACTCTGTGGCAAATGTACTTTTCCCCTTTTTATTGGTGGTAATTCTCATCATGCTTTGGAGGACCATTCTCCCATTCCCCTGCTCCTGCCTGCTGCTCACACTGTATCTGCAGGCACATTTACCTTCTGGCATCTTGCCTCAATAATTAACAATGTCAGTAAAAGCAAAGAGTGGTCAGTGTGACCACGGTGTGGTTGTTCCTGCTTTCAGAAGTTTGATGATATTTCTTGGAATCAGCGAGCTTTTAACAGCACTTCAATTGTAAAGCACCTCCACAGTGTTAACAGAACACTTCTCAAAGTGAAAAATTTCAGAATCTAGCTCAGGTTAATTTCTTTGCTGGGGTAGCATACTCTTTGTACAAACTTGCTCCACTTTATAATCTGCAGTGAATTGCAAGCAATTACCTTGAAAAAGAAACACCAAAAAAAGCCACCATTCTCTCTGGAATTCTGCGTGCTTCCTTTCGGTGAGAGAGGAGGACTGATGAAGTGTCTGACTTCGTCTACAACTCCTCAGATCTTCCAAGCTCTCAGCAGAGCTGGAGGCACTCTTGCCACAGGCCAGGAGATGCCAGCTGTGCCATGCCTGGCGTGGTGCTGGCTCTGAGGCACTTTTGTGTCCCCACAGCGAGCATGCCCACCAGCGAGACCGAGTCGGTGAACACGGAGAACGTCAGCGGGGAAGGGGAGAGCCCGGCGTGCTGCGGGAGCTTGTGGTGAGTGCACACCAAATGCTGAGCTCCCACCCCATCAGCTCAGAGGACCTCAGCATTTCAAACGGTCCTTCTTTCCCCACTGTTTGTTTAGCCAAAAGTGCCTTGAAATAGCCAGGCTTTGTATGGCACTTGCAGGGGCTTGGTATTAGACCAATTATAAGAGTATTAAAGTGCTCCTAAAATTCTCAGGTTAAGATGGTATAAAGCAATTCAACTCAGCTTGGAGTGGAATTGTGATTTCCTGAAAGATTTTATAAAATACTATTTTTGTCCAAAATTATGAGAAAAGAAAGGAAGTTTCTAATGACATGTACAACCAAATATTTTCTGTTAAATTGTGCATTACCTGGAGAATAACTGAATATATGGAAGTATGTCTATAACCCATGGTGTTCAGTATTTATTTGCTCAGATTTTCATGACTTCCAGGCAGCTTCTACATGTTTATTCAAGGTTTATTTACTGAGTTTTAAAGGAGATTTCCTTTCTTTCACTAAGAAAATTTGTGAGGCTTTAGAAATGGTATTTCAGAAAATAAATAACAGACAAAAGAATTTCAGCATTCACAATGCATTTTGTTAAAAGTTTGTTTTAGGTATGTGTAATGCCAATGCAAAATTCTAAAGGAAATGAATTTGTTAATTACTTTTTCCCCATTCTTAAAAATGTATTTTTCTTTTCTTCTAGTCAAACCATCTCAAAATCCAAGTTCAGGTCAGTATTTTCCTCTTATAATCACACTCTAAGGTAAATGCAAAAATCTTGGTCCAATTCTCACTCTTCTGGGCTGATCCTCACTCCAGCTTCTGGAATATTACTCTGCAATGTCAGTACGCTGAGTCTGAGCACAAAGTAAGTCAGGCCATAACTTATCAAGGATGTTGTTTTGAAAGTAACGTCAAAATGCCTTGGGATCAAAATAGAAAATGCTTTTCGTGGCAAGCTCGCCTACCTGCTGCACTACAAGTCAAAACAGAAGTTAATCTTTGGGAGTATGCCTTTACTTGTATCAAGCTAATGGAGAAATTTACTGCTCTTCTCCTTTTTGAATTTTTCTTTTATCTCTGTAGTCTGTTTAAGTGTGCCTCTGTTATTCATACACATTCATGTATGTACCAGTTAGCTACACTTTACTGTCACTTGTTCCACACATCTTTTTGGGGAAAACAAAAAAATAGCTCCATTGGCTTCAGAAAGCTTGGAGTTATGCAGTTTGAGCCTGCTTGTGAGTCTTGTAAGTGAGATATCCCACCATCATTGTTCTTGTCTCATGGACTTCAATGACAGGGTGTTCTGTAAGTGTAAAACCAGTTTGACCTACCCAGGGAGTGAGGCATCCTGCTGATGGCCATGGACACAGCCCTTAGAGCAGGGGATTGGCAAGATAAGAATGTTCTTGAATTCCGCGTTGATTTATGGCAGGACAGGATATTTTTCCTTTATATGGTCAGAATGCTGCAAAGGCTTGAAATGTCTTTGTACTGATATCTGAAACCAGTATTGATTTCCTTTACTACAAGTGCAAATTTAAGGTGCACAAAGAAAACTTAGTTAATGCTTGAACAGAGTTCCCAGAAGCGAAGCAGAGAAATCTAGTTTTATGAGTACAAAGATATGTCCTCACTTGTCAATCCAGCTCATATCTAGGTACAGCCTCAGCTCGTCACTCTTATTTATTTCACAGACTTTTGCCCACTGACACAATTTCAGTGCACATCAGTAGAAATCTCTAGGAATTACTAAAGAAGGTTTCTGATGTTATAGGGTCAATTTCTAAAAGGTAACCTCAACATTCCTATTTTGTTTAATCCTGCCAGAATTCTCTTTGTGGTTTAACTCAAAGCCTACATTTTTAGACTGAATTTAATTTGAATTCTGAGTTGATTCATTGACTTTTCTTTATTGCTATTAAGTGTATGGGGCCTTGGAAAGATAGATATACTTTGTTACCCAATGAAATGTTAAATGCAGCTTAATCGAATTATGTCACAGGCAATTGGAATCTCCAAATGTTGTGGTTTACATTTAGAAATCTATAGGGAAATATAAAAAAAGGAATAACTTGTTAGCATTCCCTAATCTGCAACTAGTAATGATTTACATAGTTATTGAAGTATTATACACATATTTTTGAAAATACACCTGCTCACACACACACACGATTGAACTTATTTTCTATGGAGAAGAAAACCACACTCTTCTTAGGCTCATATGTGTTTTCCATATAATAATAAATTTATTTTTATTTGAACTTTCAGTCGACGCTGGCGTCGTTGGAACCGCTTTAACAGAAGAAAATGTAGGGCTGCAGTAAAATCTGTCACATTTTATTGGCTTGTTATTGTCTTGGTCTTTTTGAACACGTTAACTATCTCATCAGAGCATTACAATCAACCTGACTGGCTGACTCAGATCCAAGGTACAGTCAAAAATTATTTGTCCTGGTCTTGACTATGGGTAGTTTTGTCCTATCAGTGGCTACTTTTGTACTTTGCCATTTTGTTGTTTGCTGTCTGAAGGATATTCAGCCCAGCCAGAGGGAGATAAAAGAAATGACTGAATGTGGTCTTGGATTTCCATAGCTGTAACACAGCTGAGTAATGCAGCAGCACAGACCTGACAATGCTAAATTGTAAATAACTGTACTTTTATCATAAAACTGTGCTTGAAAGATGAGGAGGAAGTGGGAACTGGCACAGCAGGACTTGCTGTGGGCTGGTTGCTTAAGTTACAGTGTGGACTCAAGCTGTGAGCTGAGGAACCATGAACTGCACAACAGATTGGAAAGATGAATAGTTTATAGCTGGCAGGAAGCTTTACATCCTTGTGTAACTTTAGCCATTTAAGCATCAAATACAATCCGACATAAAAAAAAGCAGTACTTCCTTTTTAAGCAAAAAGCTGCAAACTCATATAGAAAGTATAGTAATAATATGTTAAAGTAAAAATGGAATCTATGAGGCAATTCAGAATCTTTTTTTCTTTAATATTTTGTTCCAGATATCGCAAATAAAGTTCTTCTGGCTTTATTCACCTGTGAAATGTTAGTAAAGATGTACAGCTTGGGCCTACAGGCCTATTTTGTTTCTCTCTTTAACCGCTTTGATTGCTTCGTTGTTTGTGGTGGCATTGTTGAAACCATTTTGGTGGAGTTGGAAATTATGTCACCCCTTGGAATTTCAGTGTTTCGCTGTGTTCGTCTCCTGCGTATTTTTAAAGTAACAAGGTAAGATTATCTAATACTGCTAATTCTAAGGATAGCTGAAGAGTGATCAGCAATTGTTTTGTAATACTTCATCATGCACTGCTCTTTTACTGTTTTGTTTGGGGTTTTTTGGTGTGTGTTAACACACGCATTTTAATTTATAGGCACTGGGCATCCCTGAGCAACTTGGTAGCATCCTTGTTAAACTCAATGAAGTCCATTGCTTCACTGTTGCTTCTGCTTTTCCTCTTCATCATAATCTTCTCGTTGCTTGGAATGCAGCTGTTTGGAGGCAAATTTAATTTTGATGAAACTCAAACAAAACGGAGCACCTTCGATAATTTTCCACAAGCCCTTTTAACTGTATTCCAGGTAACTTTCTTTCATCCCGTATGAGACATTTTACCTTTGATCAACAAAACTGTTTAAGTGATCATGTTGCCTGAAAATGAAATCATGAATACTATTTATTCAGTTTACTTTAAGTAGCATTCTGCTCATTAAATTCAGTACTCTGGTAACTTTGCACCATTTGTACCATTTGTTTCATATCTTCTTTGATCTATCTATGCAACATAGCTGTGTGTTACTTCACAGAGTTAAATCTCCTTTGTCCATCAAACACATGACTAGAAGAAGAGGTGGAGTGTTATATTTATTTTGATCAAATTATTTTCTTTAATTTAGTTAGCTGTGTAACATTTCAGCTGTTCTCCAGCAAGAGAAAAATAATAAGTCTTTAAAGAGTGCGTATTTACATTGGGGTCATATCACTATAACAAAAATAAGCATTAATTTCTTTAGAGACCAGGTTTTATTAAAATCTTAAGGCAGACTTGTCTGCTACTAGTGAAATGGTAGGGACATACTTAGAGTTTACTTTTCACTCATTTGTGATGCTTTTTTAAAACTAATTTTTCCCAATTTGGATACTGGCATTAGGCTATTTGGTTTCATCTTGCTCGCCATTTTCACACTTGGCTGTGTACATTACCACAGTATTTGGTTTCAGCCATTGTAGGTGAGAGTTAAAGCTGATCCTGCAGGATTCACCTTGGTGTCAACTTCCTGTCACTTGGGTGGAAATCTCATCTGGTGGCTGCCCAGAGCAAGCAGAAAATCTTTCCATTTAATTTCAAGATAAGGAAATATTAATGAGAAATTTCCTTATGGGGAAGAGTGTTCACATTTGACTTGACATTGCCCCTACAAAAAGTTAGGGCTTTACTTTCCAGTTCAGCTGAGTTAAATTTTATTCAGATTTTAGGCTGTCTCATTTTCAAAGGAATGGAGATTCCTTCAGTTTTAGAAGGCATTCAGGAGTAACCAACTTGTTGGGTGCTGACCAGCAATGAAAATTAGTTGGATAAGTTTAGCTCTACAAAAATGAATTTTAGAAAATGGTGTGCATTTAATTTTCTTAAACAACCATTTAATTGCTTGGAAGGAGAACGAGTGTTACATGTTTTCTCAGGATGGAACTGATAATTTTGAAGAAATATATGAAGTGTCACTAAAGTCTGCATTGCAATACTCAGAATTTTTATTGTAGTACAGTTTTGTGGCCAGTATTTAAAAAAAGAAGAAAAAAAGGAACCGTAAAACATATACTGACTTTATTTTTAAGTGATGGACATTTTTTGACATTGCTACATAAGTGGCATTACTGAAAACCAGGGCTCTTACTTTGGCATGCCAAGATCAATAAAATTTCAATAGAATTTAATTTTCATTATTTTTGCCTTTGAAGTTCAGTCATATAAATGCATAGCATAAAATAAAAGCTGTTAGAGTTAAACCCAAGCTTTCAGGAGAGATTTAAATAGGAATTTTAAAACAATTCATGAAAAGAACATGGTATTGCTTTATGCATACAGAAGGTTAGTTGTGTTGTGTGGTCAGAGGAAATGTATTTCTCTGTTCACTTTTGATGCTGAGTTGCTACTAATCTAAAATCTGCTCCTTAGATCCTAACAGGGGAAGACTGGAATGCTGTCATGTATGATGGCATAATGGCATACGGTGGTCCCTCATCCTCAGGCATGATTGTCTGTATATATTTCATTATCCTCTTCATCTGTGGTAACTGTATCCTTTACCCTGGGTGGAAACACCTCTGAGTGGGGCTGTGTGCCGGGGACATCCACAAAATCCCTGTGGGAGGGGGGAAATGGTCACGGGCAAGGGCTCTCTGCATGTGCCGAGTCCTCCAAACAGACCTTCCCTTGTTCCTGAGGAACCAGGCAGTGATCTCCAGGCCCTCTCTGGCCACCGCCACGGCAGAAAGCAGAGAATGGTTTCTTCTTTCCTTCCCTGGGAGCTGTGCCCTGCTGCTGTTTGTGATGGCTGGCAGTGCAGGGCTGGAGCCCAGCCCGCGGGCAGCGATGCTGCCCCGGCAGCCCCGAGCTCTGGCACAGGCTGAGGGTGAGCCAGGGACCAGGGCACACACCCTGGGACAAAGTCTGCAACATTCCCCTTCCCTGCCTTCAGTGATCTGGAAATGCTTCCTTGGCCCCACGTAGAAACAAACTTCTGCCACTCTCAGAAGTTCTTAAAAGGTCAGGAGGTGATGAAAGGACAAAAACATGGTATTTTCTGCACTATATGGTATTTGTATCAGTATTTGTGGTTAACTGATATGGGCTGAAGAACTGAGTTTGATTGTTGTAGACATGAAAGACAGTGCATTATAAAAATGAATTTTTCAAAATGCCTGAGCAGTCTTCACATATAATAGACAATTTCATATTTGGACTTGCTCAGGCTAGCATGAAGTTGAATTTCATTTATTTAAAAAAATACCTCAAGCATTCTGCTATTTTAAAACCTGTGACCCTAATGGATCCCTGCTCACTTTACAGCCAGTATCAGTCTGGTCCATTAAATGGGTGTTATTTGCACTACACTCCAGCATCACAATCCTCCACGCTGTAGGTTGGGAACATGTGTTTTATATCTCTCACATTGTCAGTGTTTATGCTGATAATAAACCACACAAGTGTGGTAAGGCATAATGTCCTTAAAATGATTTGAAATAGATATCTTGCTAAATGTCTTCTTGGCCATTGCTGTGGATAACTTGGCAGATGCTGAAAGTCTAAATACAGCTCAGAAAGAAGAAGCTGAAGAAAAGGAAAGGAAAAAGAATGCGAGGTAAAATAGATGGGCATGTTGAACCAGCAGGAGGGGGAAGGAGGAGGGTACTGAATTCTTCCATGAGGCTTTTTTTTTATATGAATGTCTTAACCAACTTCAAAATGTGCTGGACTCAGGGGAAAAAAAAAAAAAGGGTTTGTCTAGACACTAAAATAATAGACAAACAGTATAATTTTAGATAAAAATTTGGGTAGTAATTGGGGTGAATTAAGAATGTAATGATAAACCAACTGATATTTAAACATTGCAACAGTAGGATTTATTGTGCAATTAGCACAAGAATTTATCTGTTGTTGCCAGTGCACAGCTCCCTGTGGAATCAGTTCTCTAAGCCTTATATAGACAAGTAGAAAACCTTCTTTTGAAATCAGTGCAAGCCTGTTGAAGTCAATGAAAGTTGTTTGCATGAGTCCAAGGGCACAGTTTATCCCTCTAGAAAGGAGTAATGATCATGCATTGAATGTTTCAGGGATTAGCCTCTGGAATTATATTCAAAATAATAATCTTTTAAATGGATCATTGCATTCAAATGCAGTAGATTTTATTGCTCTGACATCTACAGTTGTACAAAATATTTGAAGTATTTTATTATAAGGCTTTCAGCTTTTCATAGAACTGGTATAGTTCACTTAAAATTGTCTGTCTTTACATGGCATGCTTTGTAATTGTTATTGTATTGTTTTATAGAAAGGAGAGTCTGGAAAATAAAAAAACTGAGAAGGCAGAAGGTGACCAAAAGAAGCCCAAGGATAGTAAGGTGTTTATCCTAAAACCTGTCTCTTTTCTAAGAAACAATTTTACTGATTTTGCCAGGGAATACTTTGTATTGTGCATTGTACAATTCTTTGTATGAGCCCATCATCCCTACATTTTTTTCCAGGCGAAGAAAACTTAGTTCTGATGCTTTGCATCCTCACAGTGTTTCTTAAACCAGAAAAATTCTTTTGGTTCCAGGAAATCCTGAGAGGAGAGGCTCTTAGAGAACAAAATAATTAATGTTAGAAAAATGTGATTTTATTCTTAGGATCTCTGTAGGTGTTTTGCATGTAAGTCCAATGAGATCAGTGAATGATAAACTCTTAGCATGTTCAAACATTCTTGGTAGATCTTATTGAAGTGTGTTATTTCTATTCTTATTGTGATTTACACAGCCAGAGAAATATGGCTACTATAGAAAATAATTTTTGAAAAATAAATACTAAAACATCAGCTCTCCTATGTTCTCAGTTACTCTGCTTCAGAAAACTCATTTCTTTGACTTCAGAGACTTATTTGGTTTGCTTTCTGTGGCCTTTGTACTCTATATTAAAATTTATTTTTCTTCCTGTGCATCCCTTTCATTGCCGTAGGTGACAATTGGTGAATATGGAGAAGGAGAGGAAGAGGATAAAGATCCCTATCCCCCCTGTGATGTACCAGGTATGTGAATACTAGCTAGAAACAGATTTAACTGTGTTTGCTAAAATATCCTAAACTTCCTCTTGGTGAACTTTAAATCAATTCCTTTGAAGCCAGTGAAGTTGTGCTCTCTTATCACTGGATAAATGGGCCTAAATATTATCTTTTTATGCAGCTTCCTAGACAGTACAAGCAGCATTTGAGAGTTAATATTGTGAGCCTCAGGACTGTTTTGGTAACACTATCTCGATGGGAGAGCAAATTCTAAACTTCTCTGAAACATTTGGCAAAAGAGGACATTCCAGGGCTGATGATGTTTGGTCATTTTTTTCTTGGCCCAGCGAACATACTTATCTGAAAATCAGTTCTGCCTGATTGTCTGGATGCATGGCACAGAAACCTGTCCTGAATTTTGAGCACGCGGTGCTCACCCAGTGCCCAGAGCTGAGCACTCAGCACAGGCATGGACAGGCTGCCAGGGCTGAGCTGAACTGGGACTCCAGAGGAGTCCCCAGGTGAGGCTGCTCAGGACCAGCAAAGCCTGTTAATGCACTCCTACACACACCCACACATGCACAACACCTTGTGTCAGAGCTTGTGACAATATTTGGATGTTCACATATTGGTTTATAGGTTTTTTAGAGTCATGCTATGAATGTATATTTCCTATAAGCCATGTGTATTCTCATACAAGCTGTGCTTTTGTATTGTTATGAACAAAACTTTGATATTTTTTAGTTTATAGTAAAAAGAATGTTTAATCTAAAGTAGGTGAAGATGAAGAAGATGAGGAGGATGAGCCAGAGGTACCAGCAGGCCCACGTCCCCGTAGGATATCAGAACTCAACATGAAGGAGAAGATAACACCTATCCCTGAAGGGAGTGCCTTCTTCATCTTCAGCAGCACCAACCCGTAAATATGATTTGAAAAATATTGGTTTGGACATCAAGGTGTAGCAGTGAAGTAACAGACCTCCTTCTAGGGAGACCAGGAGTAGAAATCTAGTGTCTTCAACAGCAAAGAGATTGGCTTCCCTACTAAAATTTTCTGATTGACTTGGTAAATGAGAAGAATTTGAAAAATATATTATTTTTCTTCCCACTGTTGAAGATAATAACATTTTGTACATGTAGTCTGAGTTCTCACATGTCTGCAAAGTACCCTTTGAGGTGTTTTATCTATGTACTATGATAGTCACTGAATAGAAAAGATCTGAAGATCTGCATGAGACAGAATTTCTAGTAACCCTAGTAACCTTTGTGGAGGAGAAACCAGAAAAAGAGAAAAGTAGGAGAAAGGTTGCACATATTCCTCTTAAGGTAACAGCATTTCCCAGATTCAAACAAGCATCAAAGATAAAGACAAATTATTTCAAAAAATCAAGAACTAGTAATAGTTGGATTTTGGGGAGGCAGTGGAATCTTTCACCACTTTAGTCCAACTCCAGAGCATTTGGAGTTCTACCCTGGTGAAGACAGCAAGCTGGACTAGTCAGTAGAAGTCCTTTCTTAATATTTATTTGGCATGGGAGAATGCTGCCTTTCAGTGATAGAGGCCATCAAGTTTAGAAGAAGATCAAGATAAAATGTTTTGGATGCAAAATCATTAAGTTTGTTGAACATTTCAAATTATTTTCAGCTTCAACTAACACTATGTATTCTTGGTCTGAAATGGCCAATTTGCTTAACTAAGATACACCGCACTCCAATCATCAACTTAATAAAAGGAGAAAAAATTTTAGCCAAGAACCTTCTGTGTCTTCATCAGAATTTAGACAATTTCAGTGTTAGTTATGAACCTGATCCTGCCTTTTTGTCAGTTTAATCCCAGACCTGCTCTGTATTTGTGATTCCTTTGGGCTCAGTGACTCTAAGCACATGCAGAGTTACACTTAATGTCATGTGGAGCCTTCCACACCCACCTCTCCTGTGATTCTGTAGGAAAATCTTCATGGAGATTCTGATTTGAGTCCTAAGTAGCACAAGGAGATCTGCAGCCTAAGCTGCATCTCTCAAGATGGGTAATTTTGACAACTTCAGTGAGAATCAAATTGAACTGGGGATCTGAAATGATTTATTATCTAGCCTTGATCTTTCTGACCTGTGATTGCATGTGCACAGTGCCACAAGCACTGGAACTTGTGGTGTTCCCAATAGAAACCAACCCCTCCCAGAGAGCTTTAAGTGCACCTTCACTAGGGGTGAGTTGGATTTTGAATTTATTTACATTCTAAGGAATCAGAGCGATGGCTTCAGGAGTTTTATTGCTTCTAGCTGCTGATTGTTGCTCTGTTCCATCAGCGCTGGCAGAGTAACAGAAAACATGTTGTGTATTAACCATCTGCTAAATTCTGTGTGCAAAAATGGTGTATTTCTGTATCTCCTCTTTAGAATTCGAGTGGGATGCCACAGACTTATCAATCACCACATCTTTACCAATCTCATCCTTGTCTTCATCATGCTGAGCAGTGTTTCCTTAGCAGCAGAAGATCCAATTCGCAGCCACTCTTTTCGAAATAATGTAAGCCTTTCATTTTTGTCTGAAGATAAATATACCCTCACAGATACAATCCTTTGGCCTAGTGCCTGGTTTTTAATTTTCATGTTAAAAAACATTCCTTCTTCTTTTCAAGCTATGCATTTATATTCCTTTTGCTCTAAGAAGCATATATCTTGAAATTGACTTTATTGATGGAACATCAGGAGTATTAGTAGTATTTATTATTTACATAATGCTTTTTCTGTGGCTATAAATATATCAGGATAAAATATTCTCAAGCTAAATAGAATATCTATAATTTTCATATTTTTTCCTGCTTTGCGGCTGGAGTACCTGGTGTGCAATTCCTGAATCACTCTTACTGCCTCACAGTGTTTGATGCTGATTTATAAATGCCAGTTAAAGTTATCACTGTTTATCATGTTTGGAACAGACTCTGATGTGTCCTCTCTTCAGTGGCTCTGTTATGTGGCCTTGGGGCACTTGGATGATCCCTCTGTTAGTGAGTGTAGGGACTCAGGAGGGTGTTACCTCCTCTCTCAGGGAAGCTCATGTGGCCACTCTGAGGGGTTTGAGTTACCCCCACGTTGGACTCAAAGATATTTGGATTCTTGACTGGCTGCATCAGAAACGAAACAAATCTCACTTTCCTCTAAACACACATGTAAGAGGAGGATCAGAGCATTCCCAGCTCTTGCCTTGACTCATAGAAAAATGCCATTTTAGCCTAAAAAGCATTAATTTCAGTAATGTGTCTCTATTAATCAATAAAATTGTATTTTATGTGGGGACTAAACACCTGTGTTCTCTAAAAACAAATTCTTGAATTTGTTTAAGCACATTTTAAGTGCTTAATCTAGTGGAAGACTTAACTGTTACTCAAAAGCACAATTATCAGACAGAGAAACTAAAATAAATCCACTCTCCATGGAGAGTCCATGACCATGGACTTTTTTAGCCTTGTTGCACTTGGTTCAGCTGTGCAGCAAGACTCTCACATTCTTGTGAGTTGGGTTTGCTTTGGGTTAGGTAGGAAATAGCTGAGATGGTGCAGCTGGGTGGTGGTCCATGGGGACTTTGGGGATGCTTTGACAGAACTTCCACCCCTCTCCTGTTTTAGGTACAAAGTGATTTGTAGAGATGGTCACAGAGTCAGAGAAACTCTTCTGCATCCTGCAGGACAGGTGGCCCGGCTGAGGCTGCAGAGGTTGTATCTCTCTGGTTCTTGCTGGTGTTGGTGCAACCTCTGAAATTCTTCTTTTGGCTTTGGCATTCTCTGAACACTTTTCCAGTAAGTTTAGTAAAAACCAAAAAGATAAAACTTTCTCCAGAGGTAAAAAGAGGCCAAAGCACAAAGACACTCTTCATGCACTATTCAGCAGAGCAGTGTACTTCCCTTATCTACAAGGCTGGACCAATGTAATCCTATAAATAAATCACACTAATGGGTAGGAAAAAGAGAGAGCTGGTGGAGAATACTGAAATTGTTATTATGGAAATGACTTCAAGGGCTGATAATTGTATTTTTAACTAGAGGAGCATTAGGAAAATGTAAGTGGAAATTGGTGGTAACTGAAAAGATTATTTCTGTTTGGGACACAGACAAAGTGTGTGAGGGATTTCAGAAAGGTGTTGCCCTCTGAATGTAAGTATTCTCACATGCCCCAGGCCAGCATAATTTTCTTTTTCCTGCCTTGAGGGTTCACATTCCCTCCATCAGCCAGGTCAGCAACAGAATGAAACTTTGCAAGCTGAAATGCCTTTAAATATTATTTTATTTTATTTTATTTTAAGTCTGGAGTGAATTTGTTACTCATTAATCGTTGTCATATGGCTTTAACATTTGCCTATTTTTTCAGCCACACCAAGGGACAGAAGGATGGGATATTCAACGGAATATGGGCAAAAAATTATTTGTTCTTATTTCTTTGTGTGTTGTCTTTTTATTTCTCCTTCCCACTTGGTTAGTTGCTGAACTGCAGGAAGGATTTTTCAGTGCACAACTGTTGGTTAGGTGGATTCCTGGATCCTTGAGATTAAACCCTCAGCCTCCTGCAGTTCACTGATTTAGGTGTTAGTGATGTGGCCACAGCTCTGGGTGGTTCTGAAATACTTGTTCTTGTCCTGTTGACAGCAGTGAGGGCAATCCCACAGCCACAATCCTCTTGGAAACTTCATATTACTCTGCAACTCTTGTGGGTTCTTTTAGATTTCCTACAAATAAGTCACCGCTGCATCTTCCCACTTCAAGGAAAAGGGGTTGTGGTGTTGATTTTAAGTGAATAGTTATTCATTAATTTGCTTTGTGACACTCTGCACAAGCCTGTACAGGAGCAATATAATGTAGCAGAATGTGGGGTGATCTGCACTCTAGAAGCAGCCACTGAAGTTTTATTTTGTGATGCAATACTTTGGTAAAAAACACAGACATTATTAATAAGTATTTATTCTTTGTTTAAGATTCTGTATCTCTGCTAAATGCTGAAGAAAGTATCTGTGAAAGCTGGTAGAGCAAAAGTCTGAATTCAAAGAAATTGTTACCTATTGGGTTCTGTCAATTATTGAGGAGTGAAATCTAATACCTGAGCACAGTGGCATCTGTTAAATTTTTAAGCAAACAAAAATGGTTGTACATTAGCTGGAATTTTAAACTACTCTGTCTAAATCCTCCACCTATCTACTTAGATTATTTCAGGTGTTGTGTATGTGGTCTAAGTTGTGAAAATTATTAAGAGATGGATTTCTTACTGTGGCACGTATTATACCTTGCAGATACTTGGTTACTTTGACTATGCTTTCACAGCCATCTTTACTGTTGAAATCCTGTTAAAGGTAATGCATTGTTAATTGATCCTTGTTAGCCCAAAAGCAGCTTTAGCAATAATGTTTGTAACTTTTTGTTTACCTTCCAGATCCTAGGGTATGCAGATTATGTCTTCACTAGTATGTTTACATTTGAGATCATTTTGAAGGTAACAGGTTTTTAAAGGAAGCTTGTTTAAAAGGATTTTCCTTGTGTGTCACCTGCCAAGAAAAGGCCCTTGAAGTGTTCTTTGCCTTTTCTCTAAGCTATCAAAGCTAAACTTTTTTAAACTAGAGGATTTTTTTATTTGACAGTTCCTCATAGTTTTGATTGGTTATTTTTTTACCATTGGGTGCATGAAGAAGCTGATTTTTTATCATTACATCAGTTTAATAATTCATTTTTTGCCCTTTTTAAACTTACAGTTGTCAGAAAAGGGAAAAATAAATCACTGCGCATGAGCTTTTCCTTCTCCTTGCTCTGGCATTTCTGAAAGAGACAATCAGTCTTATAAGGAGGGAGCATGTAATTTCTCATTTATTTTGCTGAACTATATCCACAGAGCTAAAATAGTAGATAACTATTTTCTTGCAATAGGACTTGCAAGATATCTTGCATTTATCTATCTATACACTAAGATACTTTGCATTTATTTTGGGCATACATTTAAATTCACAGACAGGCATAATTATGCTTGCTTAAATGTATTACCCATGCATGAGCCAAAATTTGGTATTTTAATGTATAGTTTGTGTACTGATTATTAAGGATATCTATTGGGGTTACTCAGATTTTCAATGTACAAGATTTACTGTGGTAAAGAAGATAAATAACCAAAAATTGTATTCACATGAAACAAAATGCTGAACAAGGAAGGAAAATTTTTCATTGGAAATTGGCAAAATGTTTTTTCAGAGATTTACATATGATTCATAAATGTTTCATGCTGTGCTTATTCTCACCTCAAGTTTTTGGTTGAGTAACCCTGATTTATACACTTAAAAATTGCTGGCACACTAAGAATCTGTACCTAAACTATGCATTTCCAGTTGAGGATTAAGCTTAACAAGATCTCTTCTCCCAGCTTTTGCTCATATTGCTGTGCATACTCTTCACAATGCAATTTGATTATTACTAATTGGTGCAATATTTGGGCTGTTTACAAGATAAGCTGTTCTGTAAGTAATAGACTATTTTTATGCTTGTGAATTTTCTCCCAGGCTTATTGTTTATCCCCTTATTTCACATTTTCAGCAGGGAGAAGCTTGCTATAGAATTGATTATTCTTATTTGTAGCACACTAAAATAAATATCCAGGGGTTTTGCTGCTAGAGAAAGGCCAAACTAAAGGAGAGAACAGAGCATTGAAGAGAGCTGTAGCATTAAATCAGACTAGCTCCCAACTCTGAATTTGAGAAGCCATAAAAATATTTTACCATTGTATCTGTGGCAGAAGAGGGGCAGTAAACTTCCACATGCTCTGAGCAGCAGGTTCTCAGCTCCTGCAGTTCCATTTGTGTTTCTCTAGGAGGCAGAGGAATTAGAAAGGGCAGGATAAAGAGGCATAACTGCATGTGTTAAGAAAAGCAAAATTCCTGCAAACTGCAAGAGATTTTGGCACTGAGCAATTTATGAGTTATCCAAGGGAAGCAGGAAACTCTGGAGCTTGGGCTGCTGGAATCTGGAATTGTGAAGATGACACAGAATCAAGAAGCTACATCACAACCAAAAATGTTGATGCTTCTGACTGTGGTTTCTCCAGGAAGCTCTGTAGTGCACTCACATGTAAAGGAAAATAAACTTAGCACACAGATGTGCTGCACAGTCAGGAGCTGACACAGACACCGTGCCTGCTTTGCTAACACATCTGAGACTCTGGCTTTGCTTGCTTGTGCCTGGGGCCTCCATGTCCTCTGCTGTGCTCCCCACAGTGTCTCAGCTGTGCAGAAGGAGAGTGCTCTGCAAGGAGAAAATTCAAAGCTAGACCTGCAGGAACGAAAATATTCCTTAATTTCCAGGAAAAAAAAAAAAACAAATGAAAAAAACCCAAAAAAACCCCCAAAGCCAACCAACCAACCAACCAACCAAAAAAAAAACAAAACCCAAAAACCCCAAAAAAATCCCCAAAAAACAACAACAAAAAAACCCCAAAAACAAACCTGAAATTAGGATAAGCAGTAGCAATATTATCACCTGTAGTGAAGAAAGTTGTACAAAAGCAAGCATGAAACCATAATAACTCTCAGCATGTAAGAAGTCTCCCTGTGCTCTTACTGCTCTCAAACAAGGATTTCCACATTGCACAGTGTTGAGGGTATGAATGAGGATGTGAATAGCAGAAAAGCTGCAACATCACTTTAAATCATTTGAGAATTCTCCCTGCATGCCACTGAAATTCAGTTTATCATGCTATTTGGACAACTTGGGAAAGGTGAAAACATCTGAGCAAAGGTCAGGTTAGGGATCTGTGCTTTCTACTTCCACCTACTGTGCTGATCCCACACCATTTAAACTTACTAGAGAGTTGTAGCAAATTCTTCCACTGGGATTTGTGGTGATTGAAATATCAGTCTCCATGTGAAGATGGGGAGATTTGTACCTCACCTGCACTTTAATGTCAGTTATTCACCTAATTTTTATAGGTGAATAACTGACATTATATTTTGTGTAGCACACGAAACCCTGTGTGCTGCTCTCATCATATACAGTGTAATGGGTAATTGTAGATAGATGTTAGTTTGACACTCAGGGCTGTTTTTGTGCTCAACTCCCACTGATTTTGATGAGTTTATATGTGCTCTGTACAGCTGTAAGTAATTTAATGGTAATTTTATAGTGTAACTATACTATATGTCTCATACCATTGGCATAGGTTAAAGCTTTAGCATTTTTATTTTTCTAGCTTTTGGGAATATTTATTATTTTGATCACCAAAAAGTGGGTTTAACAACAGAATAGGGAGATTAATTAATTTTTGCTTCCCAATAAAATACATCTTTCCTTTGCAGAGGTCCAGCCTTTCTGGTGGTGGTGGTTTGCCATCAGAAGGCCTGGAAATGTCTGCACTCTGAACAGGGATGCAGTGCACTGGGCTGCCCATTGCCTGTAGCTCTGCTCTACTTTGGGAACTGTATTGAAAGCTGTAGTAACCTGCTGTGAGGGGAAGGGAAATAAAATCTCTTCCCTACTCCTCCAGGAACAGCCTAGAGAGTAAAGGGATTAAAATGCACAGTCAGCATGGGGTGTTCTCTAGATGGCATCAGATTTTCTTACCTGTGGAAAACAAGGAATAGCTCAGTTTTCAGGCTCTGTAGGAGGATCTTGAGGCTGAAGAAATTAGACTCATGTGACAGAGCTGACTATGAGGTGTTTTTCAGAGGTATCCTTGTTTTTGTTATGAGTTTTTAGTTTCAGTGCTTCAGACTTAATCAATAACTATGAGGAGACTTGTGAAATATTCTCCTCAGCTGGTGAGTCTGTGCATCTAATGGTTTAATTGGATTCCTCTGTGCATTTTTTAACTGGTACTTACAGTTATGGTAGGAAGTCTAATTCTTGGATTTAGGAGTCAAATGCAGCTTTGTGATACCCAAAACAATCTGCAGCCGTAATTAATGGAGCCTCTATCACTGGCTCCTAAGGAAACCTGCAAATGATGCACACACGATCCACTCTGTAAGCTTTTTTCATTTAAATATAGGGACAGAAAGCAAAAAAAATTAGAGAATGTCCAAAAGGAAGAGCAATGTTTGATATTCACAACAGAACAGCAAAATTTAGGGACCTCTGATTACACAGAATACAAACCATCTATTGGTCATCAGGTTATTCCAAGATAGCCACTCGTGTCTGCCATAAGCCAGAGCTAAATAGGATTGTGGTGCTGCCTTAGGACAGCCTTGTCCTGCTTCTGGACCAGCTTTGGCTCTCAGGTGTTTGGAGTACATTTTCAGCTCCTTCAGTTCTTAAGATAGTATGAGTAATTAGGGGTCAGAATTTGGACCCTACAGTTTAGTAAACATGGAAATCTCAAATGTTTTTTTTTTTGTAGCAATTTTTCTAACAAGGGCCAAATTAATTCAGGGTAATCAGCTCAGCCTCATCTGTTCTTACACAAATTAAACATTTGTTGACATGAGAAACAATTAGTATATTTGTTGATATTGCTTGAGCAGAATTTTCCTGATTTGAATGAAAGATTTAATACATGTAGAGGGATTGTTTTATATCTCAAAGGATTTTAGAAAGTGAGATAGTATTGTATGCATTCACACTCCAGGCAAGTGTCTTGTAAACAGCCTAAATGTGAATTTGAATAAATTGAAATACAGACTAAGTGTGTAACAATTCTATTTTTAGATGACAGCTTTTGGAGCATTCCTTCATAAAGGGTCCTTCTGCAGGAATTATTTTAATTTGCTGGATTTGCTGGTTGTGGGCGTTTCTCTGGTATCATTTGGGATTCAGTAAGTACTACGCTTACAACGTGAATGGTTTATTTTTGCTCTGGGGTTTCACACTGAAATCAGTGTTCCAGCTCCTTTTGTTCCCCCACGGTGTGTGGGTGTGCAGTGCCAGTGCTCAGGGATGGGCTGGCAAGAGGGAGTGCTTCTCATGGGGAGTGTTGTAATTCATTACTAATATGGGTTGGAAACAAATTACTACTTTCCACAATTACCAGGAGAGTGAGGAGGAGCCCCATGACATTGGTATTGGTACAGCAGGGATTTCCTGGGGCTGCAGGAGTTTTAAATCCCTTCTCTTGAGCCATTGTCACACCTGTAATCTGATTTTATGGGCTTGGTCTTTCAGTGTTGATGTGTGGGGTATGGAATTAGACTGTTTGAGGGGGGAGAAGCTGTGCTTTAATCAGCTTGTAAGTGGTAGTGGAGAGGTTTTGTTTTGTTTTGTTTTGTCAGACCAAACACAGTAAAAGAATCTAAATGTACTTCTTGATTCATTGGGTGGTTTTTCTATATTAAAAATAATCTGTGAAAGCCTTAGTGACTCAGAGGGAGCAGGGCAGGGTGTCAGGCAGCTGCTGCCCACTCTGAACCCTGCTGGTACCAGACCTCCTCCTGCACAAACTTTCAGTTTCGCATGGTGCTCCTTAAAACACTCTGCACTCTTATTTCCTCAAAATGCAGTCCTAGCCACTTAAACAGAGAGAATCAAAGTCATTTGAGATCTTTTGATCTCAGGTTAGTTGGAAATTGAAGGATTCATTGGTTTACAGGATTTACACTGTGTCTTCAAAAGAGCTTGTCAGCAGTGGAAAATACTGTGGGGAATATTTTGCTCCATTAGGGTCTTAGATGAGCTTCTAAGCTGTTAATTCCACATTTGCTCCAGAAATCAAAATGATTCTTATGGTATTTATAAGATAGATAATATCTTCTAATAATAAAGAACCCCTTGTATACAGATCTTGAGAGTTCTAGTTGGAGGGTTTTTTTCCAAATTTCCCATTTCAGGAATTTGCAAGGATATTGTTATTCTGTAATGCAATCAGTTACCTTAACAGTAACAGTATGGTTTTTTTTTCCTTTCTTCTAGATCAAGTGCTATCTCAGTTGTGAAGATTCTCAGAGTTTTAAGAGTCTTGAGGCCTCTAAGGGCAATAAACAGAGCAAAAGGACTTAAGGTGTTTATTTTTATTTTAAAAGTTATATTTCTGGTGGCCTGATCCTTCAGTCCTGCCTCAGGTTAAAGATTATTACTCAAGAGAAATTTTCTGCAGAAGTCCACCAAGCAAGAAATCAGTTATTGATTCTTAAACATGTCTGGTGTTAGCCAGCCCAGGCTCTGCCCACAGTTGCTGCAGTCTGTGTGGGCAGGAGCTGTCACTGAGGGCAGATTTGGACTGTGATCAGCCAACCTGTCAGTGCATTTCAGTTGTTTATCCACAGTGCCTATGTAATTTCTGGTCAGTTGATATTGATGGGTCTGTGTCAACAGACTTGCAGACAAATTTAGAAAACAAGTCAAATTACAGTGTTAGGTATAATGCTGGCAACAGAAAAATAGTAATTTTAAAAAAGAATGCAGAAATTACTTTTATGATATGTGGTCTGTGACAAATTGCATTGAAACCTATTTTTTTCTCTCTTCCCAGCATGTTGTTCAATGTGTCTTTGTGGCTATTAGAACTATTGGTAATATCATGATTGTTACAACTCTGCTGCAATTCATGTTTGCTTGTATTGGGGTGCAGCTGTTTAAGGTAAGACACTCTCAGAACTTACAGTCCATCAAGAAAAGAAAAGCTGAACTGAATTCTTGATGCTTTGCTGCTGGGACTGGGCTGGTCCTGTCCTGAGCCAGTCATAGTATAAAAGCATTTATTTTGCATATTCTGCATTTTGTCATTGCTTTTTGTTTTTATGTGTAGGGAAAATTCTACAAGTGCACTGATGAGGCCAAACAGAACCCCGAGGAATGCCGGTGAGGAGATCTTTGGTCTAAGAGTGTGCCTCATTTTGTTCTGAGTAACAAACTGTGCAGGGGCAGGCATTGTGCATGGGTCAGGCTGTTTAGGGTTGTGTCAATTGGAATTGTCATCTTAATCCCACCAGACAACAGAGGTTAGCAAGGAAATAAACCAAACCTGAGGAGGCAATGTCAGAAACAGCTTTGAATAGTGCATTGAGTCACCCTGGGGTCACTTCAGCATTTCACTAATGGCAGTTTCTTTCCCACAGAGGGATTTACATCGTTTATAAGGATGGAGATGTCGACAGTCCCATGGTCAAAGAGAGGGTGTGGCAAAACAGTGATTTCAACTTTGATAATGTCCTGTCTGCTATGATGGCCCTTTTCACAGTCTCCACCTTTGAAGGCTGGCCAGCGTGAGTGGGTTCTCCGTGTTTGCACAGTGTTGTTTCCACAGTTGCATTTTCCAGAACAATTCACTATCATTTACCAGACATTTTGGGCAGTAAATCAGTTTTAAGTGGTGGTGTAAAAAGGGAGGAAATAAAGAAACCTATTATCCTGATTCTGGGGACTTATCCCATATTTCAGGAAAAATAAGAAAAGGTGAACTTTTTTGTATTGTTTGATTCTCAGTCTTGCTACATTTGCTATAAGGATCTTCTCCTCAGGTCTAATGGAAGTAACAATTCTAGATGCTTATCCACCAATGGCCCTTATATAAGGCTGATTTGAAAGTTTTAGGCCTTCAAGTAAACCTTTTACTAAAAAATCAGACAGCAGTACACTCAGGAAAATCTAGGAAGTGCTAACTGCCACTCACTATTTCCCTAAATGAGAAAATTTTATTTGGGGAAATAAATAAATAAATGAAAAATACAAAAGTTGGGTCATTAACTTAATTCTTTCAGAAAAAAAAAGAATATGACAAAGTGTGCTGTGATTCTTCTGGTTTCTGTATTCTTGCAAGCACTATCAGTAAATATAAGAAGATATCAGTGAACATCAGACCATTTCTGAAACCTGTCATCTGAGTCTGCGTATTTTACTATTTTGTCATTTTAATGGTAGTAAAGATAAAATTTTCTTTGTTTTTCAGGCTGCTGTACAAAGCCATTGATTCAAATGGCGAGAATGTAGGACCTGTATACAACTATAGAGTGGAGATTTCCATCTTCTTCATCATCTATATCATCATTATTGCTTTCTTTATGATGAACATATTTGTTGGTTTTGTGATTGTTACATTCCAAGAACAGGGAGAACAGGAGTACAAGAACTGTGAGCTGGACAAAAATCAGGTTAAAATAAATAATGAATTCTTAAGTTTTAAAAGTAGCCTTTTTTTGTTTATGCATGAAGAGCTTCCTTTCTGCTTTGGGGCAGAAGAGGGCACCAAACACATAGCTCAGTATTTATTAATTTTTTTTACTATCTGAGTATTTATTTAATTGGGTATTCAGGTTGTTGTACCTTTCTGTGAGCCCAACCCATGAGTGTTTTTGTTGTGAAAGGTGTCCACTAAGCTTGCTGGCTTACTAGCATCTTGTTTTTTTTGGTGTCAAATTAATAAGAATTTATCCTGAGTCAGAGACAGGTTTTCCACTAAGAACTGGAAAATAATTTTGTGTTCCAAATAACCTGTCCAAAGTTCAAGTTTTCAAAATGTTCCACTTCTAACCCCCATTTATTTAGAAATTCACTGGGAATATTCAGATTAAAATTACAAAAATCTGTCCCCATTTCCTGTTTAATCCTTTGACTGAGAAAGTAAGTGACAATTTTTTGGGTATTTTTGGCTGATTTCATTTAAAGAAAACCAATTGTGAGACTGTAGCAAGGATTTCTTTCTGCACCATGTGCCCTGTTAGTCAGGGCTTGTAAGAAATCATTCAGAGACAAGTAGCCCTGAAGATTTTGGGTACTGATAGATTATAAAATGAATCCATGATGTTCCTACATGTGATTTTGCTGGGCAATTTACCTGAGCTATTAGAAGTAACACCTCCTCAGTATTTATTTTGCTCATTCTAGGGTTTTATGCTAGGCAGACCCATTGGTGGTTGACAAGAGAGTAAAGACAAAACATGGTTTAGAGATGACTTAATAGTCCTGCTATGTACTGTATCCATATTAGTGTATAAAGGCAAAACCCTCCAGAATTTCCATGAGCATTATTTGATTTTTGCATGTGGATATGATTAGATACAGTTGTAAATAATCGAGTAAGGGTTCGTGAGCTCCTTCTGCACTTTATTAATGCTTAATAATAAAAGGTCCTAAATCAAGTAGACAGACAGATTTTGAGTGTTACATTTAACAACTTTCACTTAATGATTGTGTTCCCAGTTGGTGATCTGCTGGGTTATATCTGACAGTTTTTGCTGTGTTTGCTTTTCAGCGGCAGTGTGTGGAGTATGCCCTGAAGGCACGTCCTCTCCGCAGGTATATTCCAAAAAATCCTTACCAGTACAAGTTCTGGTATGTGGTGAATTCTACTGGATTTGAATACATCATGTTTGTCCTCATCATGCTGAACACCCTTTGCTTGGCTATGCAGGTAGGAAAAGCAGGAACTCTCTTGAAGCTGTTGACATAAATTGAGGGGAAGGATATGGGTGCTATAATGACTTTAAATGAGGGCAACCTGTATTTTTTTATGAAGTAGAATTTTAAAGAAAGCACTTCTGATCACAGTACTTTTCTGTGACATGTTCTAGTTGCCTCTTTCTTTCCCTAATATTTCAGATTTTGTTAAGAAAAAGCATGGTTTGAATTCAGTTTACAAAATCATTCTGCTTTTTTCAGTACAGTTGCATACGCTGTCCTCTTAAAAATATGCCTCCTACACACTGTTATTTTGTGACTGCCATACTTCAGGCTTTCTAAGCAGGTGTGACACAAGCCTGTGTAATTTTAAAACCTTGCATATAAAACGTGGGAAAATGTTGTTATCTAATGTTCCTCTTTTGAGGGAACAAGTTTCTTTCTGGAGATTCCCTTAGGATGTTGAGGAATGACAGTTTTGTTCTGCTCAGTGCCTAAACAGGATAGATTTAAACAGTTCCATGCTTGACCAGGGATGCTCAGCTAATATTCACAAATTTTACTAGAAAATGCTTTCCTATGCTGCCTTTTTGTCAACTTTGTCTTAGGCTGCCTTGCTTTCACATCACATTTTAAAGCCTTCACTTTTGTAAGTGTTTTATTTTTCATTCACAGCACTATGGACAGTCTAAGCTATTTAATGATGCCATGGACATTATGAATATGGTTTTCACAGGAGTGTTCACTGTTGAAATGGTTTTGAAACTGATTGCATTCAAACCCAAGGTAAGTTTAAGATATGCTTTAATTAGGTCATCACCACAGGAATTCAGTATGAGTTTCACACTTGTTGTATATTATTCAAAGAACAAAAGGAACCAACATTTCCCATTTTTATTTATCAGAGAAATGATAATAGAAATGTAACACCAGGAAATGAAATGCAGATATCAGAAAAGAGTCTAATGAAGTGGTTGATGAGATCTGAAATGTTTTGAGGTAATAAAAATGTCCCTTTCTAAATCAGATAAATAATTTCCTGTTAGAAGCATTACCACATCTCCTGTTCTGGTACTACATTCATTACTTGACACTAATTTAATCTCCAGTAAAGACCTGTATCCAGTATAATTTCCCATTCTAAAATGCAAAATAGTTTCTTTACTTTATAAAATACAGCCAAATATTACAAACATATGCATAAATAATTCACATATGCAATAGCCTTTTTAGATTTTTATGTTTTCAGTTATATATACATAATATTTAGTAGAAGGCCCCACACTGAGTGGTTGATTCCTTGTTTTAAAGGGACACTGTCAATATGAATGATGCAGGCACATTTTCAAAAGTAGATTTGCAAGAGAAACTGGTAACTATAATTGAAAAAAAAGATAAAACTATCCTGTGGCAGCTAATGCAGCCTTTTTGTTCAGTTCTCATAATGCATTTATGAAGTGCAGAAGTGAATGATGAACAAACAGAATAAATTTGTTTTTAGTACAATGAAATGAATGTTTATTCTGGGCTATGTAAATGAGTAAAACGTGTTACACTTGCTACACTTGGAATTTGAAAAAAGCCAGATGAGCCTTTCGAGGTTTACTGCTCTAACCATCCAAGGCTGGTACTTTTTCTTTCCCATTGCCCTTCTTTCAAAGCAGCCAGGATATCTTCCCAGGGGCTGGCAGAGCTGTGCCCTTTGCTGGTGTGAAGCAGCCCTGGCTCTGTGCAGCCCCATCCCTGCTCTGAGCTGGGCAGTTCTGTGCTCCCAGCACGGCTGCCCGCAGCCCAGGCTGCAGCAGCTGGACAGCAGCTTTCCAGAATTCCAAAACTATTTATTCAGCTTGTATTTAGTACTGAGCTTAGCTATACAGCCTGAGCTACTTGGTTTAAAGCCAGCTTTCTTTGCCTGCAGAAGTGAAGGAATGATCCATCTCTTGAGATCTGGTGTCGAGATGTGAACTGTGGAGTTCGGGGTGAATGTTTACCCGCTCTCCCGTGGTCTCGCTCTGCACTGTCCAGTCCATTGTACATCTCTAATGAATTTATTTGTATTTTTGTGTCAGCTATCTTATTTAAATGCTAAGGGTTTCACATTAAAAATAGCACATTATGAGGCCCCAGAGGAGATAGCTCAGCTGTGTGGACCACAGTGTCATGAGTATGCTGGTTGTGTTTCCTGATCTGTATTTCCTGTTCTATATCCTTGTTTTGCACAGAGGACTTTGCTGCATTTTATCATCTGCTTTTTGAAAGAAGATTGTGAATCCTTGTATGGTTCTCCATGCACTTGTGACTGTAGTCAGAAATAGCAGCTAATGCCAAACACAGTGGTCTGATCATGAGTGTACAAATCACAGTGCTCCATTTGTACTGTGGGCTTCCTACTTGTTAGCAAATGCAATGTGTTAAAACTGGTCTCTAAGACTCTGTACAATTTGAGCTTTAATTCTGTTGCAACATGCTTTCTATCAGACTGGATGCTTTCACTGTGAGACATCCCTGGATCTGAACCCTGAGAGTTTGAAGGGCAGACACTGCCAGTGGAAGGGTCTCTTTTCCTGAATTTTGGTCCCCCATACGTGCAGAACAGCTTAAAATTTTAATTAGCAGGACAAAGTTTAAAGACCATGATGATAATCAGTCTTTTGGAAGAGACTAATGAGCAGGCAGGAAGGGAATAAAGTATATTTAAGGTTGTTCCTGTTATTCTTTGCAGATTGTTACCTTTTAAATTATCAGATACTCTTCAACAAAACCAATTGGCAACACATATTACACAGCTCGTTAATAATCAAAAGTCAGATAGCAGCCTTAAGCAGAATTTTAATGTCTTTAATCTAAATTTCAAAATAGATGCATGTTTAAAACAACAATTAATTGCTTTAACTCATATTAAAGTTTAATAATAGTAGGAACAATCTGAAACCAAACTTAATGCTTTGCTTTAGGATCCATGAAGAAAGACTGATAAATTTCTTCTATGTTTGTGTCACTGGTGGGTGGGTCTCTTAGGCTAGTCTGACAGAATAAAGTTTTATTTATTAATTTTGTGCCTTTAAAAAGTTGTTTCAGAGATGTTCAAAGCATCAAATAAAAACTCCATTTAACTCTGTAAAAATAAGAATAGGTAAAAACCTGTTAGTTTTTATCTTATCTGCTTGACAGTGTCCCCTTAATGTGCAGACAAAAGTCCTGTGAAAACGGTGATCTTTTGGTTTTGCTGGTCATATAAACTTAAGGCTACTATAAATTATTGATGCTCTTCCTATGATATTGTGTTGTGTAAAACCAAGGCACTGCAGACTGCCTTGTAGTTCTGAGATACATAAAACCTGGAGAAGTGCAATAGTAAAGGTGAGGCTGAGTGTCTGGCACACTTGACTGGGAGATTGGATCACACAAGGCTTTGCAGAATGAGGCCCTAAATTTTCCAAGAGAGTACTAAAAGAACTAAAATATTTATGTGGTAGATACATGAAAACATATTTTGTTGCTAATTCCCTATGCCTACCTATTCCCCAGGATTTGTGATTTTGTCCTTCGGCATTTGTCAATGAGCAAATTTTTCATAATATAAGCTAAAAGAACAGGTCTTTTTCCTCCCATTTGCTAAAATCTGTTACTCAGCATGGTTCAGTGCCGTTCAAAACAAAATACAGCAATGGAATAAAAAATAATCCATCCACACATACCGTATGTACAGCCTCCTGGTAGCCAGTTGTTGCTTAAACTTGTAATGATTTTCCATGTCGTTTTACATCAGATTTTTGTAAGAAAAAAGGAAAGATGGCTAGTAAGTGAATTGATCTTGGGTCCTTGCAGTGGTGAAAACAACTTATTTGCATGATGTTTATTTGCTGTGACTTGTCCATTCCTCCCTTTTCCAAAACCATCTTTATTTTCTCTTAGTTTTTTGTTTATTTGTATGCTTTTGCTTTACATATTAGTTTGAACAATATTTGTCTATACTGATGGAAAAGGTTTCATAAAATCAAGAAATAAATGTGTAAATTATTTTAGCTGTAAAGTGTTTTAGCTGTTTTGAATCAAAACGTGATTTTTTTATTTCAGTGCTTTATCTTGTAGCATGTCTAGTAAAGTAACTTTTTCTATAGTTGAAATTATCCTTCATTTGGAGGACCTTTTTTGGTTCCCATTGTAGAGGAAGATGGATAGCACAGTTCAGGATCGTGCTGACTATGTGTTTGCTGTTTGCCAATAGTCTCTTATTTTGTATATATACAGCTAAAAATATTGGTATTCTAAAATCAAGGAAGATACTTAGAAATAAGGAATGTAAATGATCAGGAAGAACATGATGAGAGCAGCTCCCTTTCTTTGGTTGGCAGCTGCTAATCACATTAGGATTACAAATTTCAGTATTATTGGGGTGCTTCAGTGTGATTCTTAGTAAAGCTTTGGGAATGGCATGTTCCCATGAGCAGGAAGAGTAAGGAGGGAGCAGCAGGGAATTGTGTAAGAGCTCTTTGGAGTGGAGGCATTTCTTCAGGAGGCCAAATTCAAGAGCACTGGCTTTTGCTCTGAAACTGGAATTGGAGGTTGATCCCAAAGAACCAGAGAAGTGCAAAGGGCTGTGGAGGTAACAATACTCTGATCTATTTTCCTCTTTCAGCCCCTTCCTTAGACAAAGGAATGAGGGTAGCAATTTGTGTTTTAAAAGAGTAGCATTAGAAACATAATGAGTCTTTCCTGACCCAGCTTCCTCTCCAAGAGTGTGGAGCTGTTTTCTACTGTAGCAGCTCTCTCATAGTCTCCAAGAGGACATTTCCACTCAAAATAAGTCTTTCTTCAAATATTAATGCACTCAAGTGCATTACTTTGAAATGTCAAATTACTAGAAATTTTAACAGCTTAAAATCTTGAGAAAAATATCAGTCCAATTCTAAAATTGGTATTGGAACTGATTTTTCTTTTCTCTGCTAACAACTCATGTCATAACTTAACTACTCAGCTAAAACATTGTCTTAGAGCAAACAGTGTAATAAAAATTGTAACTAGAATAAGGTTAGATTAGCATGTTCGTAATTTTAAACTTCTTGCTAAATGTATTATTTTAGAGCTTCAACAGTGGCTGAAAAGTTAGTATTTAAAATTAATTACCAAGAAATGTACGTGTGCAAAATGTACATTCCAGCTTTTCTCATGTAATGCACTTTTCTTAGGCATGCTAGACTGATACTTTAATGTATCTGAATGAGGTAAAGGGCAAGTTCAGTAAGAATTTTTGCAGTTTTGGATTTCTATAATAACTAGGAAAAAGCCACATATTGCAGAAACCTCTGGTCTCCATAGTTATCTTAACTATTGTAATATATCTTGATTTGTTCCACACTGGAACCTACCTGGAGGATTCTTCTGAAGTACCTCTTTGCTCAAACGTGCTGTTTTATGGCCACAGTCAGCTAATTGCATTATAGACCTTTATAACCCTTTGCAGCCATGTCCCAGGAACACACATGTGGGGAATATATTTAAAGGCATAAAACATCAGAAGGGTGATGAAGCAATTGATGAAAATGAGTTTTCAGATGCTGGATTGGCTGCACCAACCAAAAGCATTAAGAAATTGTTCAGGTTGCTGTGGTTCACTGGCTTCGCTGGCTGCAGAATCACCCCCTGACTGCAAATGTGGGATGAGTTCCTATATTAGACCTAGTTTATGAATAGAAGATTAAGTCAGTTCTCTAATCTTTAGGCACAGTTTCACGTTAATAACTGTGCATGTTTAGCCAGTGATGAGATGTGACCCTTTGAATATTTTTACCAAGCACTTAGATAAGACTATCACAAAATCCTTGATGATAAGGAGGTTTCAATTGGCTTGGTCTTGCAGATATATAATGAAAGGGGTCTTGTTGTCCTCATTAGGGTGTATATGTTAGAATTTTTCAGCCTTGCTAGAAGCCCAAAACCAATTTTGGATGCTGGCTTGCTTGCCAACATCGTGCTTATCTGGTGGTGTGTTCTGCATGTGTAGAGTGTGTGTGTGTCTGTGTGTGTGTCTGTACATGTATATATATATTTATATATATACACACACATGCACATTTATGTTGCTTTTCCTTCAGTAGGCAATATTGTTTGGTTTTGTTTTGTTTTCTCATTAGACCACAGGTTTTGTTTAACTAATTTCTGTTTATGCAAAACTAAACAGAAGTATGCAAATATTTGACATTTCATGTGTAATCACAAACGTTTGCACCCTGCCTGCTCTGTTCAGGGCTATTTTAGTGATGCCTGGAATACGTTTGACTCCCTCATCGTTATTGGCAGCATAGTAGACGTCGTTCTCAGTGAAGCTGATGTGAGTATATCCCAGCTTACTTTCCCCAGTCCCTACTTCTCTTTCTCTGTCTCCCCACTATTTCCATCATCTGGACAAGTCACAGATTTTGATCTGATGTTTCTAAAGTTTTGAGTACAGACCAGTCATAGGTCAATTATGTTGATATGGGAAATAAATAGCCTTTTTTTTCTACCAATCTTTTTTTAGCTATGAAAGGGAAAGTTTAGATTGTATAGTGGTACATCAGAGAAGCCTAGAGTGTTTCTGTGTTATAACGCTGTCCTTTTCTTCTCTTTTTCTGTTTGTGTTTTTCTCTTGCTCTCTTTCTGCTGAATGCTTGTCCTAACAGCACTATTTCACTGATGCATGGAACACTTTTGATGCCTTAATTGTTGTTGGTAGCGTCGTTGATATTGCTATAACAGAAGTTAATGTAAGTAGCAACTGTTCATGCACTAAAAAGTAATTGCTGTCATCAAGAAATACAGAAAATGTAAACTTAATCCCATAAAAGTCCTTTTTATAAACGTATGTTTAAGCCTGGAATCAAAGACCAAAACACTGATACAGATGTTTGTACAAGCTGCTGTTATTTATTTATATACTTATATAGTTGCACACAGCACAGTGAGGCAATAAAAATTGTTTTTCTATATATGCACAGAAAATTAAAAAAAAAAGGATTTAAGCTTATGTTACTATCTTTCTTGAAGCCCATTGCTTTTTGTAGGTAACTTGACCAATATAATTCAAGATTCTGTAAGTTTTCAGTGGCTTGGTTTAACAAATGATGATTACTTTTTCTGTGGGAGGTTTGGGTTTGGAGGCCATTCATATCTCATGAGGTTGCAGAAGAAGGCCACATAGAAAGTCAGGCTTTCCATGCTGTGGAAAATAGAATGTTTATTTTTTCCCTGCAGTAAGTGCTTAGAAGTTTGAATTACTCTTAAAGTACTTAGAAAACTCCATCATTTACTAAATTTTTTTCCGATGATCGTTGCACATAATAGGCGTTTGGGCAACAGATTCACCTTGAAGTTGCTTCCTGGTCTTGTGTTAAACTGTGAGAATCTCATGACTGACTGACTTTTTTGGAAAGAAAATGGAGGAGTGATGAGAGAACATGGGAGCAGAGGAACTTTATCCTGACCTTTAGATTTCAGTCTGTTTTTTCTCAGTTCTGTGGGGATGGATCTTTCTGTGAACTGAAGGAACTTGAGCTGATAGGGAGGGTCAGTCAGCCCAGAACTGCTGTGCCCTTTGAGACTTTTCTTTAAGCATAGTTATTCTTCATGGAGTTTATTTGTAAAAGCTGCGTCTGATTTATTTTGATTGGGTTTTTTCCCCTGTTTTGTTTGCTTTAGGGGTTATTTTATTTCCCCAGAGAAGTTTTGCATTTAGACTTACAGCTCAAGTGTTTGCATTTACCCACGATTTCCATTGACAGTAGTACCGGTGTAGGTGAGCACAGTATTTGAGTAGAGTAAAAAGTAAAAAGAATAGCTTTCCCTCATAACTGCAAAAGGTATTTGATTGTGAAGAGGTTGAGGGATAGCTCAGAGGTGCTTCCACGACCAAAGCAGATGTGTCTGTATTCAGCAGAGCGTGGGCAGTGCTCGTTGGGCAGCACTCCTTGTAACTCTAACTGAGCTCTCAGCTGTGAAGAACACTGGCATTTAGCAATTCTCACAGCTGTCTTGAAAATATTCTGGAGACCAAATAATGATGTCCAAGATAAGTGCACACCACAGTCAACAACCAGCAGTGCCATTTCTTAGTTTTCATGTTATTCTCACAAGAGGAAAAAAATGCTCATCTTTGATTTCTTTTACTTTTGCACAGCAGACTCTCTGTGTACTAAGCATTGTCTGTTTCTGGTCTTGCCACTTTTCTGTGCTTTGTTTGTGCAAGTCAAGAATGTATTATGATTTCTGTATATTTCTGGCCTTGATTTCCCATTTTCAACATTAAACATTTAACATTGCAGAGTGTTCAGGGAAATTTCTTAGATTTTTACTTCTATTGTTTTGATTCTACTGAACTATTCCTACTGGAGTAGTTTAGTGTAAATTTCTGTCATCCAAGTCCAGTATTTCAGAATCTTTTCCTCAGTATTTTTTCAGTATTCTGAATCGTGCCATTCCACCTGTACTTGTTATCTAAGGCTGGCAGTGATCTTGGGAAAGCTACATCTCCTCTGAGATGCTAATGAGACTTAGCTTTCAATGGGATTTCAAGCATGATTGAAACAGCACCTGTGAAAATCCTCACGATAGAAACTCCTTAAGCTGAGAGAGCCCAGCCTTGTTTGAGCAGGGTAAATCACCAGCACTGACAGAAAATCAGTCTTGTCACAGTTCTAATGGCAGGGGCAGGACCATCTAGATTGGGCAGTGCAAGGCAGACATGAGTGTGAATATTTCATGTTCTCAGTGTGAGCTAAACATTGCTGGGGGCTCACAGACGGGATTGCCCCGTGCTGTGGACACAGCTCAGCATCATCCTGACAGTGCACCGGGGGATGCTTAGACCCTGTGCAGAGGCCAGTGAGCTCTTCCAGCCCACAACAAGTTTGCATCTGACCCAGTTTTTACAGGAGAATGGATTGGACTGTCTAGGTACACACTGTCTCGATTTCACTATTAAATACTGGAAAATAAATGTCATCTCTTTTATTTTGTTAATTTTTTTAACCTTCTGTAAGAATATATATGCTTCCCTGAGGCTGATTCTTCTGATCCAGTAACCTGCTATTCTCACATAATCTGGGAAATTACTATAGTTTGAATATTTCTGGTGCCTGTGGAATTCAGTCTTTAACGTATTAAGCAATTTACAGGATTGCTCAGCATTCCCAAGGACTGGATCAGTGACCAACTCAAGAAATGAACCACCTCAGAGCAACATATATTTTGGAAATAAAATATTATCTTTGATTATCTATTTAATTTACTCTTTCATTTAATATCCCTTCCTTCACCCTCCTTCTTTTATGAACCTAATTGGTTTTCATGTTCATTTTATTTTTAGAAATTATTAGAGGCAAGTATATATAAGTAAATATACATGTGGTATAGCAATAAAAAAATTAAAATCACTACTAAAACCTATATAATTACTTCTGGGTTCTGTGGCCTTTTGTTTTCAGAAACTTTCACATGTCATGCAAGATCGTGTGTGGTCATAGAAATGGTTATTTTTCAATGAAAAATGCAGAGTAATGATTGGCAGGCACAAAATGTGGTCAGTCCAATCTGGGAGAGGGACATATATAACTTATGATAATGAGAGAGAAATAAATTGGAAATAAAATCTTAATGAATAAGTTGTTAAAAAGAAATAACATACAAGTTTCAATCTGGCCTGATTGCATAAAAATTACCTTATTTGTCAGCTCAGAAGCCATTTGGATGACCAACACTGAATGACTTAGAAGCATGATCACATTGTTGCCGTAGTGTTTGTGAAAGTTTTAATTCACATTTTTTATTTAAGTTTCTTTTGCCGTTCATGTGCTGCCAAAATTTTGAGAAAATAATGGAGAGTTGCCTTTCCTCATCTTTTATGTAAATTATTAATGCCATCTTTATGGGACTGATTTTATTCTTGACATTAAAAAAACCCTTCAGGTTTTCTGCTGAAATAGGACTTAACGAACAGCATTTATGTCTTCCTCCTGAGCCCCTCAGGAAAACCCACTTGTCTTGAATCTTGATCTTGTGCTTGTGTGAAGGAGTGGAGTAAAGCCTCATGTCTGCCTCCTGTAAGAGATTCAGGATCCAACTTTGAACAAGAGCAGTCCAATTTAGTTTGAGTGCCACTTTATGCACCCCATCATATGTTAGAGCTTGGGTGTTGGTGCTAGTAATTTGTATTTTTGGATACTGTTGATATATTTTGTAAACTTTTGCAAACATTTCTCTTTAGGCTTAAGGGTAGGTCATAAAAATATGTTCTCATACAGCTTTGCTTTCATTAGTGTGAAGTGTTAATGCAGTATCAAACCTCTGCAGTGTTGCAATATCTAATTTGGAGCTAGAAATAATTTTTTATTAGTTATCATATAATAACATATGAATTGCGACTTTAGAACTTAAATATGTATTTTACGGGGAAGAGGCACTTATAAAAATATTTGCAGGGGTTTCTCACATTGACTTAAAATTTTGATTAATTTATGTCTGTGGGCATTTGGTTCATGTTGAACAGGGAATATAGAGACTACGGATAAGACCACAAAGAAAATTTCTTGCTCACATCTGAATTGCAGTAACTATTCTCTGAACAAATCGTGTGTGTTTATGCATATGCACTCACAGCACACATTTCTGCAGATATTTTGGCAACCTGAATGTTTTGCTATGAGTGCTATTTTCATCACATGTGTTTGTCATTCAGATGCTTCCTTCTTAGTTATAGTGATGAGGACATTATCATCATGTGTCATTTGTTCTGACATACTCTTGGACCCTTTGGCACAATATGTAAAAAAGAAGCTTTTGACCAGCACCATTTACTAACATCACTGGTTTTCACCGTGTTTATTTTTTGTTTAAGCACAGAGTTTGCTTCCAAGGCATGATCCAATCTGTTTCGCACTGTTCACAGTTTGACACTGAAGTTCTTTTTAGTCAGGATGTTTATTTTTAACATTTGTTGCAAACATTTGTGTAACAAGGAGTTCCTGTTTAGGAAATGTGCTAAATTTTTCATAAGCAGCATTAGTACTTGACCAAAATTGGTAGCAGGTTGCAAACATTTTCATCAGTGAGTCAGAAGTTTAGGTTGATCATTGGTTATATTTTTTTGAGGATTGGGATGGTCTGAGGAAGAAAACTGTTGTGTTGCACTTCAATTAAGTAAAAAAGAAAAATCATATATCACTGCCTATTTGAAGTGTTTAAGGATTGGCTCAAAATTCCACGGCTGTGAAGTGCTTTGCTGACCTGGGCTGACAGAACAGGCAGAGCCACGAGGGAGTGTCCGTGCTCGTTCCCCTCGCTGCAGGGTGTCTGTCAGCCAAGCAGGGAGAGCAGAAACTGTCCATTTATTCCAGCTGTGACCATTGCCAGACTTGTAGCAGACAGAAGCATACCTGCCATCTTAGGAATCACAGAGTCCCAGTTTCTGGGGGACAAAAAAATCGTGGTAATGACCAGCCAGTCCCAAAGCATTTGGGACCAACTGGCATTGGAAAGATTGGTAGAAAATGAGGGGAAAGAGGAGGCTGGAGGTAGATTGTCCGACCACAGGTAATTTAATTTACCTTCTTGTCTGCAGATACCATCCCTCTGCTCAACCTGTCCCCCTCAGTCCCTAGTCTATTCTAAGAGTTCCCTACATGTACAAAATCAAAATGTGCCACATTTTACGTGTGTGTGTGCACAAGATGTCACTGGTGCTGCGAATCAGGCTGTGTGCTCAGGGACTGTCTGGTTTTCCCTTATCTGTGGGAAGCAGACACTCTGTTTTTGTCAGTCTGTCTGTTACTGTTGCTGAAGATTGTCTTATCTTTATCTCAGTTTCCCAGATCTGAGCATTGCTTCATGCTGGACGGACACACGTAACCATTAACTAACTTTGTCTCCCAGATGAGCATTTCCTTTATAAAAAAGTATGAATAATGGTTTTTTTTTTGTGATATATCACTACACGAGCTTCATTAAAATTGCTATTAGTAAAATAAACTAAGCTGCTGTGTTATCAGAGGTAAATGCCAGAGAGAGTAAAAAATTAGATACACCCTTTGATGTCAAACCCAAAACACTTGCCCAGTGGTGAATACTTTCAGCTTCAGCAGGAACAACTTCTCTTGTATCAGTTGCTCATGCTCTTACTTTGTTTCTAGATTTATTTTCCCCTCGGCATTATTGTACAATTTGCTTTTTGTGAAGAGAGTGTTTTTATTTTTCATCACTGGCCTGCACTTTCCAGTGTCCATAATTTGTAATCTCTTGGATATGACACTCCCCCACTCCCGAGCAGCATCAGATCAGCCATCAGAACCAGGGAATTAGGACCTCTTAGTCCAAAGAAACTGAGGAAGAGGGATTTGTAAGGGGGGTGTGCATTGGGCAGTCCTGGGTATACACCACTGTGCAAACACAAATCCCCTCAGTGACCTCCTGACAAAAAATAAAATGAGGGATTGTTATTCCAGAGCAACTCCAGTAGAACTGATCACATAGTTTGGGTAATCTGACCTCTGCATTTTTAAAAGTGAGAACTAAGTGATTACTAAGAGGGTTATATTTAGAATACGTTGTTTTTACTGACTTTTCCTTTAGAGATTTTTTTGTTCATAACCAAGTCATGATGCAAACTCATTAATTTTGCATTTGGAAAAGTGATTAAATAAAACATGAAGGACCAAAATATCCTTTTTCTGGTGTTATCTATCCCATTATATATTGCCATCCAAATACTGATGCTAACTTATTTGGGGCCCCCTCCTGCTCCCATAAAACATAGAGGGAAAAATTCCCAAATGCCAACTCCAAAATTTTATTTCATTTTTTTTGGTGTCGACTTGTGATGATACTGTAATTTAATCTGATCTCTATCTGTCAAATACTATGTTCAGTTTTTGATCATACAAAATACCAAAGCAAATTAAGTAATTTGCTCACTATTTAAGAGAGTATCAAGCTCAACCTGACTCAGTCATCAGAGATTAATATGACATTTCAGGCTTCATCTGCAGAATGTGTAATTAAACCCTTTTTCTTTAAACTTCAGATCAAAAGGATTTTTTTTTCTGTGCTAAAAAGTCAGTAGCAGTGTGGGTCTGTGTGCACTGGTGCAGGCTTGGGATTCATTTAGTTAGGCAGCTTTGCAGGATTGCTTCCGTGATCTGTGATATTTTGACATTTATGGTGTTTGTGATAATGACGTTTTCCTTGATTATATTTTGATGATTTTATCTCAAAGTGTTGAAATATACAGAGAATTTCTAATGAAGCAGTTGTCTTTCCTTAGCAGCAGATTTTCCATCTATTTTATATAAGTTCTTAGAAAGTTTAGATGTTACAGCCAGTTTTACAAATACTCTGCTTGTTTAATAAGGGGATCTGGGTTTTTGTTAATTTAATGCATAAATTTAGTAATAATCCTTTATACAGTTAAAAATTGCTTTGTTTCAGAATATATTGATATCCTGGCAGGGCAGTAATGTGTCCATATATAAATTGCACATAGTTGAGCAAACCTTTATCATTACCTTATTTTTCCCTAGTGTTGCCTTTATATCAAAGAAAAAAGTAATAGAGAACACAATTAGTATTTTAATAATGATCCGATTTTTTAAAGGTACTACCTCTTGTTGCTTTTCTTTATCATAATAAGTTTGCATAATACATTTTCAACAGAGGTAGCTCCTTTCTTTTCCCTTCCTTTTCCTCAAGTTTTATCTAGAGTACCAGCAGCCTGTGAGCTCTGAGTAGGTGAAGTGTGGCACTGAGTGTGGCTGGTGCCTGCACAGCGTGCTGGAGCAGCTCTGGGGTGTGGGCACTGTGCTCATTGCTGCTCTGAGTGACAGGAATTGTTGAAAGGTGCCTCTTTAAAAGGAGGATATTTTAGGCAAGAGGGTAAGACTCATCACTAGGATCTAACATCCATAATCCCATTTTTTCTAGTGCTATAAATGTTTTTAAAGACGCTCCAATTTTGGAAGAAGCTGCTGCGAGTTTGCTATTGCACAAGCAAGCACAGAACGTTGGTCCTTTAAGCTTTGCTGCCTGCTCTGCAAAGTGTGTGACCATTTAGGCTCCCAGGAAAGCTTCTTCGAAAGCAGAGAGAATAAGAGGAGAAAAGTGAGGTGTTCCTGACAGCACACAGAGTCTGGCTCTGTGAACAAGGAGTTGGGCTTTGCTCCCTGTCGCTCCTGAGGGCTGCACAGATCTGTTCCAAAAGGATCGATCAAACCCTGATCCCTTTCTCCATGCCTGACGCTGTTCCCTCAGCTCAGGTGTGGGGAGAGAGTTCAAGAGCTGCCTCCCATGCCCTGCTGGGGCAGGCTCAGCCCCCAGGACATGGGGCTAAGGATGTTTTCGTGTCCCTTTGTCCTTGGGAACTGCAGCGCCCAGAGCTCATCACTGAGTCACCTCCCGTGGATTCTTGCTGTAGGGCAGCTCCTGCTGTGATATCAAACACAACTGCCTGACTCTGGTTAGATTCCAGTGATGGAGTCATTAATCTTCAAAAAAGGCTGAGCAGAAAAGGACCTTGAAAGACTAGTTTGGCCCCAAAGCTTTGTTCCTCAGTTTTGAGTGGGCTTCCTGTTATGATTTCATACAACCTGTGAAAATTATGGCTAACTTTTTTTGGCCTACATAGGAGCAAATATTTTATTTTGTATTTTCTTTCCATTTTATCTTTTAAACATGTTTTATACCAACAGATTTATTATGAGTCAGAAACAGTGTTTTAGCCAACATGAACAGACAAGAGGATGGTTTAACAAGGGAATTAATGTTTTGTTCAGGACATATATTGAGTTGAAATATGTTAATTTTCATTTAGAAATTAAAAAAAATGTTCTTAATTTTGTTTATGGTTAAGCTGACCTTTTAAATATTTTATTTGATTTTAATATTTAATGTTCTTAATTTCTTAAAGCCAAAGCCAACTGAAACAGTCACAACTGATGAGTCTGGGGTAAGATCAGTAAAGTGACCCCAGTGGTTTTACCTATACTTGAGTTTATTCTTTTTACCATGTCTTTTTTCCACCAAGTTTTTCTGTATTTTTCATTCCTGTCTGACTGCAAAGGTGTTATGCAGTGGTTTGCATTCATTGTCAGTGTTCTATTGGAGTCTATTACAAACAAACCCAATATGATCCTATTAACAAACCAGAAAACTTGGAAATGCATGTGCTGTGTGAAGCATTTCTACAGGTCCTATGTTTTCAGCATGTAATTTTTCCTTTCATATCATGGTTATCAAGGTGAACAGGCTCTCGAGATACATTTCCAAATCTTACCTCTTCCACCTTTGTATTTTATGTTGTTTTTCTGGAAGTGTTGCATGTTTGAGTTTGTATTTGGTTTGACTTCTCCTGATGCTCTTCAGAACTCTGAGGACAGCGCTCGGATCTCCATCACTTTTTTCCGTCTCTTCCGTGTGATGAGGTTGGTGAAGCTGCTGAGCAGAGGAGAAGGAATCAGAACATTACTCTGGACATTTATCAAGTCATTTCAGGTTAGCACAAGTTATTTAAATTTGCTTTATAATTACAGCCATTTATACACCAAATTTTATGAAGCAATACCCTGTAGAATGCAAAAATATTTTTTAAGTTAATGTCATCAATAATGGCATATTTAAATATATTTGCATACCAATGCCAAAATTATTTTCACCAATTCCTTCTGGGAGTCTGAGGGTCATTCTTTGTCATTTAATATTAGCTGTTACTGTGAGGTTCCAATGGTACTTCTGGAAAAATATTTGGCATATTTAAAGAGATGGGATAGGTTTGACATACATAAATCTTATGCTTCCACATATTTTTATTAGATGACTGGAAAAGAAGAATTTAACACATAAATTAAACTAATTTCATAAGTGAAATAGGTACTTGAATCATTGCTCCTGGAAATTGATGAATGTGAAGTTAATGGAACTCTGTATAGAAAAAAGTATCTTTGTGTTGTCAGAATCAGTAATGAAAGTAAAATTAAAAACATAAAAGATGATCCTTCCCTCTGGATTGCAGGCAGAAGTAATTTAAAATACAATGAAGCTGGTATACATTGCATGCAGCAAAGTATTAAGAGTGACAGGTAATAACATTTTAAGCACTTGCATAGGAGGAAAAACCTTGGAAAAGTCTGTGTTGAACAGAGAAATTACTTTTGCAAATTGAAATAGAAATGATGGTGTGAGATTATTAAAAGACAATGCACCTGTCCCTTTCTAGGCTCTGCCTTACGTTGCCCTTCTGATAGCCATGCTGTTCTTCATCTATGCTGTCATTGGAATGCAGGTAATTAGAGATTATTTTTAGCACTAAACAATAGTACAGATCTGTTTGAGACTTGTTTCTTAAGTTGCTTATTGAAACATTCCTTTGATAGTCGTGCTATGTATAAGGCAGAGCTTTAAGAGATTTCCTTGATTAGGAAATTCCAAAAGGCAAGAGAAAAGAACTTGGTGTGTTGCTTTTTTCCCCTTGTGTTATATTTACTGCACTTATATATATACTGAAAAATCTACAGTGTAATGAAAGTGTTTCTGTGGCATTTCATGCATCCTGAAGGAAGTTTAGATTGCAAGACCTAAAGCCTCTTACAGCACAGGTCACTGGATGAGAGTCAAAATTCTGGTTTGTTGTAGGTGTTTGGAAAAGTGGCCATGAGGGACAACAATCAAATAAACAGAAACAACAATTTTCAGACTTTCCCCCAAGCTGTGCTTCTTCTCTTCAGGTGAGCAAACCTTAACTCTCACTCAGTACATCCCATTTCACTGATCTATGAAAAATGTGCAAAATGTTCTTGCAAGGGAGAATCAGCTCAGCTCAACGAGCACCTCCTGTTTGTGGCTGTGTGCTGAGTGTCCTTTGGCACAGAGTGTTCGAGGAGGTGATACAGAACTCCTCACAGCTCCTGGGAAACTCCTGCTTTGGGCAGCATTCAGGCAGAGCCCAAACCTGCAGCCCAGACATCAACCTGCCTGAGCATGGGGAAAGCTGCAGAAGACTCTGCCCTTACTGGTGGTATCTTTAGAAGTGCAACTTGTGTGATAACTTGAAGAAACTAAAAATTATTGCAAACATAAAGAAATAAACTGTTTACATTTGCTGAAGGGAGTGTAACTTGCAGAAGGGAAATTCCAGAGGAGCCGTAGGAGAAGCTTCCTGATGGTGAAGGCAGCTAAATCTTCACGGTGGTGGGGTGGGGATTTCCATGACTGGAGAGTTTAAAAAGAAGGCAAACATTTGCCAGGAGTGTTTCAAAATGTCCTGGAGCAAGGAGAGAGCGACATGGGGCAGGGATGCCTCTAAAGGTGACAACCTTGAGCTGTCTCTTGCCTGAGATTCTGTAATTCAGCTCCTGTGCATTGTTACTGACCTGGCTGGAAAAGCTGGCAGGACATTCCTGGCACCAGAGGCATCACCCGCTGAGATCTAAGTCACTTTATGCATTTGACACCAGGTAAACAGCAAAAGATGTCATAATTATGTAATTGTCATTTAAAAATTTGAAATTGTGGGACTGCACACAGGCTTTATGCAAATGTGAAAAAAAAAAACAATAGCAGAAATTAGAGAGAGGCATTTCTTCCAACACAGGGGAAAGTTCATCTTTTACAAATATGTACTTTGAAATGTTATGACTGATTTTCATATACAACACTGCTTTTGGACATAGTAATGCCACTACAATAAGTATTTAACTTGTAAATCACAGTTTGGGGTTACAGTTTTTAAATTCAAGCCTTAGTACATTACTCTACCTTTTAAAATGTGTCTGCAATGTCAGATTATGCTTGTCAGTTCTAAAACTTGCTCTGTACTTTTCTTTAATTAGTTTCTTCTCTGAAACTTTCATAGTCTGTCTTCACATTTGTGCTTGTGTACAATGTGTACAGAATGTAACAAATGAATTCATTTTGAATCCATCTTGATCAAATAATGCTGCATTTGTCTTTGTGGTGTTATGAAGGTGTGCAACTGGAGAAGCCTGGCAGGAAATCATGCTGGCATGTTTGCCTGGAAAGCGCTGTGATCCCGAATCTGATTATAATCCTGGGGAAGAATACACATGTGGAAGCAATTTTGCCATCATTTATTTTATCAGTTTTTACATGCTCTGTGCATTTTTGGTGAGTTTAGCTTGTGCTTATTAACAGCAATGAGCTTTGACATTTTGGGTTTCTTCTGAATGAAGAGTTTGAGAGAATGACTGAATATCCCACATCCAAAATATTTTGGCAAGGTTATGTTTTCCCATACAGAGTTTTAAATACTATATTTCCTACCAATTTTTCACAGTGAGAGTGGTGAAACACTGGCACAGGTTGCCCAGAGGAGTGGTTCAAGATCCCCATCCCTGGGAATATCCAAAGTTAGGTTGGACAGAGCCCTGAGCAGCCTGATCCAGCTGAAGATGTCCTTGCTTATTGCAGGGAATTGGTGTGGATGACCTTTAGAGGTCCTTACCAACCCAAACTATTCCATGATTCTAAATCCCCACGAGTGAGGCTTTCTTCTGACTGCACGTGTGCAGGGTGGTTGGCTGCACATTTGAAAGCTGAGCTAGCAGTCTTTTCATAGCTGCTATTTCATGCATTTCTCATTAAATATTCATTAATAATGGAGCTGCAATTCCTATGACTGAGCAGTACTGCTGTTTGTTTTGTTTAAACTTAGCAGAATTTGGATTTGCATCTCTACAAGTGTCCTCATGTTTGGCACATGAGAAGTGAACAATAACTTTTTCCCCTAGTCTGTGGCAGAAATGGATTATTTGCTGTGAAATAATAATTGAAATATGTTTTTCCTCATTGCAGGTGTCTGGTATAAGCTGATTGATTTGTTCTATTCACAGTAATTGTTTCCTTGCTAAAGGAGAGTGGTCCAACAAAATTCTGTGAACTGATGTAAACATGTGTTCTGTTTCTCTGTGTCACCTTCTGTGTTAACAAAATGAATTGTCATGGAATTGAATCCTATTCCTGAGATACACACAGTGTCATAATGTGTGTATTGGATCCATTCTTCAATTTGATGTAGTGAGATCTGATAAATTCAGGAAGAGAAACAAAACTGTGTTGTAGCCTATGTCAAAAAATTGAGTACTCTAAAATACCATGTTCTTATGTCATTATTTGATAGACTTCCATTTAGTTAAATGCAAATATTTTCAGTGACATTTGATGATATTTGCCAAAAACTATTGATTTACTTGAGTTATTAAGCTACTACACAATAAATTGATAAAAATTCAAAATAATCAAGGAAAATTGTTCTGAATTATTTTATTTTTTATTTTAGATTATAAACTTATTTGTGGCTGTCATTATGGATAATTTTGATTATTTGACACGTGACTGGTCTATTCTGGGCCCCCATCATTTGGATGAATTCAAAAGAATATGGTCAGAATATGACCCCGAAGCAAAGTAAGTTAGATCATTTCTCTGATGTTATTTATTTGGTAAAAACAAGCAGAGCAGGGTGTGTATTTTGGGAGTGGATGTTTGTTCACTGGTGTGTGTTGTTCCAGGGGAAGGATAAAGCACCTCGACGTGGTGACGTTGCTGAGACGGATTCAGCCACCGCTCGGTTTTGGCAAGTTGTGCCCTCACCGAGTGGCCTGCAAGGTGGGTTCCACCTAATTTTGTCTGGCTGCAACATGGTAGACCAGGCTGGAGTGAATAATAGCGTGTAACAGTATGTAGCAGCAAGTGATAAGAAAGAAAATTAATGGGAATTTAAAATGTTATAGAATCTTTCAGGCAAAATGTGTAATTTTGATAAGGATTAATGGCATTTTAATGTAAAAGTTGAAGAGCAATTCAAAGGAGCTGAATGAGCTACATTATTTGATAGCTTCAGAATTATGGCTATTGAGATTTTAGCAATTTCATTGGGAATAAGATCAAACCTATTAATTGAATGATTGCTACAAAGTACTGCCATTTGGATTCCTTGTATATCTGTTTTATAAAAAGGTAAAGTTGACATGTAAACCTCTGGGCTGGAATTCAATGCAACAAGGCATACTTAAAGCAAACCTCTATCTGTCCATATGCTAACATCAATTATTCATTGAGCAATGCTTTTAAACTAGAATAGAAGAAAGTCCAAGTCAGACATTAGGAAAAGATTTTGATAGCTGAAATTGTGTCCTTTTGGCAGTCAGGGTCACAGCACTGCTGCTCTAGAAGGAGAACTCTGGTGCAGGGTTGGACTGAACCAAAGAGAAAAGCCCCTTTCACAGCAGTTCAGAGTAGCTGGCATAAGCTGGCACATCACCACCTGAGGAATGAATGGGCTGGGACAATTCAGACCTGCTGCTCTGGCTCTTTATGGAGCGTGAGGAGCCCCTGGGGAGCCTGGGACACAATGCAGCTGGAGTGCATGCCCTCAAAGAACTGCTTTTCTCCTTAGTACTGGCACAGTGGGACTCAGTCAAAACCTGGGCTTCAGTGTTTGAAAGTTAGCTCATTAAACAGCTTGAGAAATCTTCTGTACAGTTTTAACTTTTGTATAAGCATACATGTCATTAAAAAAGAAGCAATATTGTTCTTATTCATATTATACACAGGAGGATGGAAAACTCAACTTTGAAGAACTTACATAATTTATACTCTCAGTAATACTATTCTTTGAACACATCAGCTTTTCAAAAATTGACATTACAGGAGGTTTTTTTTCAAAGAAAACAGCATCAACATTTGTTTTCCTTTTCTCATTTTCAGAGGTTAGTAGCCATGAATATGCCACTCAACAGTGATGGGACTGTCATGTTCAACGCTACTTTATTTGCTTTGGTTAGGACTGCTCTAAAGATAAAAACAGAAGGTAAGGTTCTTCACTGTAAAGCCTTCACAGCCCTTGTCAGAAAGAACAATGAGGAAAACTTGCAATTTATTTCTTTTGTTGGATGTGAGTAGGGCTGCCTTGGTCTCATGGATCTGGTTTGCTTTTGGGTCATGGATTGTATTCACTGTTGCTAGGAATGATTTGCTACAAAATGAAAGGAAAGGGATAGTGAGGCCAGAGCCCAAGATACCTCAGAAATTATTCTGTGGTTTTGTCTGGTCAGATAAAAATGTGCAGCACTGGCATAGCAGGAGTTCTACTGCCAGAAATGAATGAATTTCCCTTCCTACCCAAATAAGGTGCTCCTTCCTCACTACTTTTTTGTTCAGTGCTTTGCATCCCACAGTGGTGCAACTTTTGCACACTTGAAAGCAACATTCCCAGTCTGGTCGAAGCCAGTTCTGACTGGGTTGAATATATATCTCTCATTTACATTAAAGAGGGAAAGGTTTTTAAAGATAGAGGGATGTTTCAAAGATCTTTCTACTTGTATACACTTTTTGATTTTTTTTGCCATCTTTTACTGCTTTTGCTTCTGGGTTCTGCTGGCAATAACAAACTTAGATTAAGGCCCCTCAGGCATTGCTGTGTGAGCAATGCAAGAGATGAAATACTGCTCAGTACTCAGTTGTTTGAACCTTCAAGCCTGTACAACTGAGTAATTACTGTGATTAAGTAAATAAAGGCTCAGCTTTGCTTCAAGGAATAAGTGGCTTGTAAAGAAAAAGTCATCACTTTCTGGACAATTTAAGCAGGAGTGACAGAGTGAGGCCAAGGTCTGAAAGTCACCTTTGATCTCTGCGCTGCTCCAGATCTGGATTTGAAAGCACCAGGAATTTGGTGTCTTATGCCCTTTTTTCTGTTTAGTTGTGGCATTGTCTGCTACATCACATAGCATGGGCTTGCCCCAAAGGATCTCTATCAGAGTCTTTAATTGTATGCAGCTAATTAATATCCAAAGGATTATTCACTGTAGCTGAATACCATAATTACCATCCTCTGTTTCACCATTCCTTGCCACAGGTAACCTGGAGCAAGCCAATGAAGAACTCAGAGCAGTCATAAAGAAAATATGGAAGAAAACGAGCATGAAGTTACTTGACCAAGTTGTCCCTCCCGCTGGCGGTCAGTCTGATAAACTCTGCCATGTGCTGTTCTCTGTGCATGTTGGTCCTTCTGGAGTGTCAGGAACCAAAGAAACAAAACTGCTAAATTTTGCAATTATAATGTGATTTAAGGACGACAAAAAAATAGCAAAATAAATATTGAGACGATGATATCCTATTGCAACAGACAGTATATAGAGGACTGATAAGTGAAACTTAGATCAAAATGAGAGAGGAAGGAAAATGTTATGCTTATTTTCTTGCTTGAAAGAAATACCTTATTAGACCTAAATATAGTCTTGATTTTAAATCATTCAGCAAAAAAAACTAGCTTGATTTCATTGAGCAAAACACCATGTTTTGTACTATGCTACATTTAGCTTATTTGCTTGTATATGTTGAATACTTCTGGGAGGAAAAAGAATTGATTGCCAGCTTAAATTTTTTTTTGCTAAATTAATAAAGCGAGAAGCTAAATTATCTCAGTTACACTAGTTTAAACCAGAGCCATTCCACAGATGATGGAAATGGTTCAGATTTATGCTGATAAGACTGAGATATGAATGTGGCCCATTTAAAGAGATATCTGAATTCTAATGACACCAAACATTTGTGAGAACTACAAGGCACACTTATTAAATGTTCTTACGTGCCATAAAATGACATGTCAGTATCTCTCTTTGTAAATATATATATTCTGATATATATATTTAGCCTTTTTCAATATATACATTTTTATTAATTTGCTGTAGTGTAGGTTTAGGTGACTGTTTTCTACTTGCTTTTTCAAGTTTTAAAGGTGCAGGATCTGTCTCCCTGTCACTCATACCCAGGGTATATTTACCCAGATGTCCAATCCTCAGATCCAGTGTAATCCCCTGGTGTTTCTTGAAGTTTACTGTGTCTTCCCAGGTTATGGCAGCTCCCAGCCCCTGGACGGGGATGACCCAAGAATGGGATGGCCCCAGAAGGGGATGCTCAGTGCCAGGAGGAGGAGGAGCACTGCCTGCACTGCTCTTGGCATCACCCAGGAGCAGCAGCAGCAGCTCTGAGGCTGGAGGAGCCAGCCTGTTGGTGGGGTGGCTGCTGGATAATAGTGGGGATGAAGCCAAAAATCTGGCTCAATTGACTCGCCAAAGGGGAACTGATGCTGCACATTTAAAACAACTTTTGTGTTCTACTCTGTTGTTTTTAGCCTTACACCTAAGTGCTTGCATGGCATAGATGAATCGCTTTGTTATTGTTGTAACTTTGTGCTTGAGCTTTTTCTGCAGCCTCTGTTCCTTTCAACTATGAGTCTTTCCGAATATTCTGAAGCAATTCTGTTTTAGGGTGGTGGCATGGAATTAGTGTTGCCTCTTGCCAACTTTATTCCCCTACATTTTTATTGAAATAGAGACGCATGCTTCAGAATAGTGAGCTCTGCCTGCCTAAATCAATCTGACAAAGAACTTGTACGGATTACATTCCTAGAACTAATCTCACCTAGTGATTCACTCTTAACTGCAGCTTCATTTCATTGCTGAGTATAAGCTGTGTATTCATTTTCAGCTATACTAAAATTCATTGCTAAATGTTTATTCTGCAAATGTAGCTCTTCAGTGTAGCTGGAAGGCTGAAAACCTGGATGTGCACAGTTGATAGGAAATAGGATGGCTTTGGCAACCCAGTATAAATGGGAATGTGTCGGGAATTCCTGCAGATTTAAGAGTTTTCAATTCTAGTTTACTTTGTTCCTCTGTAGATCTTGTTATGATTTACCTGAAAATATTGTAAATCACCTAGAAAAAAGGAGGAAATACAGTTATTTTACATTCATATGCCATAGGAGTGTAAAATAGCTTAGTGTACAGTAGAAATTGGTTTTGATGTTTAATATTCAATGGAAAATTGTCTATGAATTAACACCAGTGACAACTGATACTAACAATTTTCCAAGAGATGGAAGATTCTCTTCAATATAAAACAACAAAATGTTCAAATTCAATATGTTAAAATCACTTGCACTTAAAATTATTGAGAGGTGCAGTTTATAGCAGTTTGCTCCAGTATTACTTGTGCTGATATTACTGAATGCTGGGTCCTTTGTATGTCATGGCCATGTCTCCAAAACACTTATTTGCAGAGCAGAATGAAAAGAATCCATATAGCAGGTGTTTTTTCCCCTCTTGGATTATAAATAGATGCACTGGAGATAAACAGTTAATTCTTAGTACTGATTAAATAACTTCTTATTATAACTCAGTGAGACTGTTAATAGTTAGAAAGACATTTTCAGTACAGAAAAGTGAAACTGCTTTGCGAAAACATAGAATGTCAGTCAAATGTCTGATGAATGAATGAGACTAGAGAGTAAGAGAAATACATAAAGAACTCACCTATATTCTCTAAACTTCCCAGTGTCCACCTGCAAATCCATTTAATCCTGCCTAGTACCTTTTGCCCCTTCAAGAGCTTCCTTTTGAAATGATTACTATTGCTGCCACTAATTGTAATTAGCGATTTGTCTGTTCTGTGATCAGTTCTGCTTAGCTGCCTTCCTATAGCTGTCTGTATCTGGCTGTATGTGTGTGAGTCAGAAAAAGAGAGTCAAGGATGGCTCCCCTTGGCCGGGAGCAGCTCCTGTGTGCTCGTGTCTGCAGTCCGCCTGGCTGTGCCTGTGACGTGCACGAGCGCCGTGGGGACACAGCCAGCCTTTGGCACAGCCCAGCAAGCTGGCAGTGCGTTGGCCTGATGTGCTTATGAGCAACTGGTCCAGAGTGATCAGTAAGGGCCCTTCGTTTCTGCATCCTGCTGTTTCTCAGGTGCTGCCATCCCAGGCACAGTCAGTGGCGGGGCAGTGTCGCAGCCTGGCGCGGGACACGCTGAGTGCCACCCCGGCAGTGTGTGCTGTATCCAGTCTGTCACTTCTGTGTGCTTGTTCTTTCGGGGAGCCATTTGCTGACTCGCTTCCTTAAAAGCTCTGTTCAAGTGCTTGGAACTTAGTATGAAGGATGGGGAAAGGCTTATGTGGGGAGTGAAACCAGAGCTATGTCGCAAATCAGTGGATTTGTCTAAACTAGGGAAGGGAAAGTTTACATTACAGGCTGTGTAAGAGATCTCATCCTAATACAATGAGCCATTAGTCTCCTGAAGAGCTGCAAAGGGAGATTACAGGTGAACGTCAAAGCAAATGTTCACAGAAAGTTTATTAATGAGATTCATGGAGTCAATGAAAAAGGTTTTTATTGCTGAGATGGAATCCATAGATGGTGAGCTTTTCATGTGAAGTGTTTCTGATATTTCCTGCTAGTTCCTCCTTTCCTAGGAGGAGCTGGGGGGCTCTGACCCTTGAGGGGTCATCAGAGTTTGGCAGAGCAGGCTCTTTTATATGCTCAGATACTTCCTCCAACAGACTGGTCTCCCAACCAGTATCTCTTGAAGCAATTGTTATAACTATTTTTATTTTTAAATATTTAAAGACAAACTGCTGAGAGAAGACAATCTGGGTGCATTTTCACTGTACTTAAAGCCTGTTGTACTTTCTCACATGCATACAGCCCATTTCAGACATTATAATGAGAGGAGCTGATTTTGCATGGTAGACGTTTCATTTTGAGATAAATTTTGTCAGAGAGGTAAAAATAAATTTAAAAAGTGTTGTCCATGGAATGGATCCCTCACCCTCTTTGATGAAAGCAAGTCACTAAAAGAAGTCAATTTCAATTACAAAAACCAGTCATTACAGGTAAAAATAGTGCTACAAATACTATCCTTAGTGAGATACATTGGCACATATTATTGATAAGATACGTGGGCACTTTATTTTAATCAAATGTTAAAAAAAACCCATAATTTCTAATAGAGGTGTGTTAAAATGTGTCTGGGCTTGTTAGATTTTCATGTTCAGTCAAGTCATGACTGGACAGAAAACCAGCTGATGCCTAAACCACACCAGCCCATCTTTATGTGCAGCAAGGACCAGAAATCCTATTGCCAAAATCTACACCTGGATACTGAAATCATGGGGAGATTGAACAGTACAGCAGGAAGGGAAATTGAACTTCATATCAGATAACTCTAGGGTAAAAAAAAAGTGTGACAACAAAAGCAATGTTTTTGAATAGAAAGCTATTTCTAGTTTTCTGGCAAGCATTAGTCACTGAGAGATCAATTTTGCCCAGCTGAATGATTCAATGGACTCATGAACAGCCCCATTCATTCTTAACCTGCTATGAGACAGGAGATTTTGGTGTCCTCACAAGGCACCTGCCTTTGGAAACTTTCAAATTTGGATTTTGTTCACAACAGTGACTCTGTAAAAAAGCTGCATTTTACTGCCCTGGCTGTTTGCCTGTTGTTTGAATTGTACAAAACTCACTGATGGAAGTTATTTTCATTCCTTTCAGCATTACAGAACTGACACAATACATACACTGACAAGAAAACGTGATTCATCAGTGACAAAAAAAGGCAGAGGCACTCTTGTGAACATCAATTATGTCAGACATAGTAGAGTTCATTAAATCTATTTACTCTAAGTAACTAAAGCCAGTACTCCAGCTTCTATGCATATACAAACATGTTTATGGTTTTGGTAGAAACTTAGAAGTACACAAGTCTTGGTAAAGTATTGAATTTTCTCTTTTATTAGGATGAGTTCACTTAACTGACTGAACCAAAGCTGCTTGCTGAAACATTGCTTTTGAGCCCCTGACAGGCTCCACTGCTGGAAGCGTAGTATCTGTTGCACCCATCACATTTCCCCCAAATCAGATGTGAGTGTACAGGCTATTGATAAATGTGCTGACTTGGGAGAGATCTGTCTGGTCTGTTCATTTAGATGATGAGGTAACCGTGGGGAAGTTCTATGCCACCTTCCTGATACAGGACTACTTTAGGAAATTCAAGAAACGCAAAGAACAAGGACTGGTGGGGAAATATCCTGCGAAGAACACCACGATTGCTCTGCAGGTGATTTTTTTATGTTTTTAACTAACCATTTTGTGAGCTTACTTGAAATAGCAGGTAGATGAATATTGATGATTGTGCAGTGCTGCCAGGATTTTATTTAGCTGGGACACTTTTGGCCCTTATTCATCAGAAAAGTAAAAGCTAATCCTGCTGTTCTGTCTATAACAAGGTAAGTGCAAAAACTTATTCTCTATGGATTACTCAAACAGTGGCAATAGTTATGGAATTTCTTAGCAAGTCTAGCAGGTAAATCAGTCTAAAGTTGCTGGTTGTATGTTGGATAAATAAAGCTCTGAGCTATCATTTGTGTTCTTTGTTTCGCTTTAATTGTTCGATTTCTTGTGTACCCAAAATGCTACAAGCTAATTCTCAGGGAACTTCCTACTGTGCATTACCTCATAGTAAATAGGTTTTTATACAGTATCATTTTTATTAATTCTCATTTTTCCTTTTCCTTTTCCACTTACGAAATGGTGAAATATCTTCCTATTTTTTTATTATTTGCAAATTCTGAATTTTTCATCCATGAATTTCTTTCATAGGAAGTATTAACAATACTGCATTAATGTCACACACTTCTGTCTATCTCTTAAAACAAGCTATCACATGGAAACAAGGACTATAGATTTGGCCTTCTGTCTCTCAACAGGCCTGCAGCAAGCAGTCCATAGAGTACATGTGATCTAAAGAGCAAATTCTAACAACTTCTTTCCACTGGTACCTTTGTAGAATGAACTTTGAAACAGGCAAATGGAAAGCTGTTCTCAAATAATTCCAGACATCATACACTGCACATTTTTTATTGGATTGGTACTTTGTGAATTTCAGTTAATGATTAGCAGTTTGCTACAAGTTATAAATATATTTGTTTCTCATAGTTTTTTATTCTGATGCCAAAATTTAGGACTGTGTTTTGAAAATCCCTTCCTAAAAGAGGAGAACAGTGTTAACTTGATTCAGATACTGTTTATTAAAACCTTGTTGGTTTGTACTTCAGTTTAGCAAAATGACCTTTGCTGTGTTAAGTGAGTGACGTGTTTCATTCCCATTTCCTAAGAAAGTCTCTGCTGGCAGCTCTGACTGCCATTGTGTTCCAAATCACCACAAGTGTAAGAGATGCAACAAGCAGGGGAAGATTCACCACAGTCCTTTCTATGTGTTTGTGCTCACGTGGCTTGCCAGGGATGTATGAACTGTATTTGCATACAGGAAAGAAGAGAAAATTATTGGTAATGGAACTGATAAAAAGGCTGTAAACAGTTGAGAGGGCAGTGAAAGGTGTTGGATTTTTAGGAAGGACTTTTCAGATTTCTTTATTGCAGAAGCATTTGAGCATAAGGAGGTCAAAGTTTTGAGCCTCAGTATTACAGGTTTCTGCTTGTGTTTTTGAAATTGCACACACAACAATGTAGAGAGAACCACTGAGCTGTCAAATGTGAGTGTGCTCTCTTGTTTATTGTCAGACTCTGCTTCCTGTTCAATGACTGAGGGCAAGGTGGAACTGGAAAGACTCAGCTCTTCCTCTCTCATTAGGCAAATATTTTTCAATTAAAAAAAATGACCATGAATCTTTACTAGAAATCTAGGATTTGAGGCATGAAGATTTTTTTTTCTGATTAAAACAATGGTATTAAAATGACCCAGGCCAGTAGATGGGAAGATTATTGTTTTTTTCCCATCTTCCTCTTTTCTGCTTTTGTCTTTCTAACAAATCAGTAGGAACTCAACTTGATTGACCAAATGGAAATATTGTTTCAAAGAGACCTGAAACCTGTGGTTGGAAAAAAAGCCCAGTCAGGTATATAAATGAATAATATAATTTTAAACTGGAAGCTGCAGCATGTCAAATTCAAAGTCATAATGCTGTGTTTATTAAAATAATTACTTATATGAGGATACAGCTTTAAAACAGAGCTGCATATCATGCTGCAAAATCCTTAAGCAAACCAGCAGATAAAAGCAATTTCACCTGTTCCAATTTCTGTCAAAAGCCATATGAGCCATAAATGCTCTTGTGCTTTTGCTGATACCTGTGACTTTCTCTTGGGGTGAATGGACTGGTTAATTAGTGAAGAACATTGTTCTTAAGGATCTAATAAACCCTGCAGTTCCTGCATTATCTAGCCTGGCTTTCCTTATCTCCTATCTCTTGCAAGAGAGGAAGAAAACAACCTGCTGTTCTCTTCAGCTATTTACAGTCCCTTCCTAACCTTTGAGTGAAGCAAGAGGTGAGTTACAGTTTATAATCCTGCTGATTCCTACAGTTGGCCATGTCACACTTTCCTGCCCTCAGAGAGTAAAAACTCCTGTGAGACAGAAGGCTCCTGGTGACAGAATCCATTGTGTTTTAATTCAAAGGACAAGTGTTGGGCAAAACATTAATGGTGAGATTTTCCCTCTTTTATTGGACTGAAACAGCTTTTTAAAAAATATAATTTCTTAAAAATATAAATTCCTCTTTTATTCCTCAGGAGGCTGGGTTTTTCACAATAATTTCATTCAGTACTTTGGAAGATACTGAAGGGAAACCCTGTAACTGTCAAATGGCCTAAGGTCCTGTTTTTCCAAGGGAATTACACTTTTTCTTTTTAACTACTCCTTTAACTGTAATCTAGGATATTAAATTGGATGCCTTCATTTTAACTAAAACTTTAAAAAAATGTACTTCTTTTGCTACTGTCTCTGATAGAATGACTTATATGAACACAGGCAGGAAAGTGACACGGAATAATTTAAGAACTTTTACATGCAAGATAAAAAGGGTTTTTAAGACTGCAAAACAATCTCCACAATATTACAACTAGAGTTCAAGGTCATAAAAATAATGTTTGCTGCAAGAAAAGCACTTCCAGAAAAAGTGTAGTATGAAAGACAGGGAGCCATCCACACTCTCTTCAGTTAGCTTTAGAGAATTGCATATATAGAGTAAAATTGTGTGAGCTCAGAAAGTCCAGTCAGGCTTTCTGATGGCCTACAGTAGTTGTTTCAATAAGTTCTGTTTCACCAGGTGTGGGAATAAATCTTCCCTTGGAAGCCACATTACTTAGCTAAAGATCCAGTCCGTGCCCTCAGGAAGGAAGAATGACCAAGTGTAAAAATACTGTTCTTAGAAGATCTTATCTTCAGAGAGACACACAGAGCATTTCACTTCAGGGTGAATGAACACTAGGATATACAGAATAGGGACTTTATGTCATTAAGACTCAGGCATTTTAACACATGGAACTGAAACTTGCATCGTTTGCCCAAGTTTTGTCAGCTTATATGAAGCCAAAACTTGTGAACTGTGTCACAAGAATGTCCCTGGCACCCCCTCATGTGTGGGGGCCAGAATCTCCACCCAACTCCAATAAAGGAAGCAGCTTCTTCTGACGCTGGATTTAAGATGTGTTTGTTGCAGGAGAAGAAACCATGGTAGTTTGGGTTGAGTTAGAAAATTAGAGCAGAGCTCCCTGCAGAAGTTGATTTGCTTTGTGCATGCCAGAGCATGCAGCAGGCAGGGATTCCTCTTCTTACTTCACAGTAACTTCATTCAGGGTGATTTTTATTCTGTAGAGCTCAGGTTTTCCTCAAAGGTGTAGCATTTGTTGTCAGCCTAACCCAGGCTGCTGTTTGGGTACGTGTCAGAGGGGAGGCAACAGCCTAGAAAGTGAAGAGGGGATGATTATCTGCTCATGCTGTTAAGTCAAGGAAGTCTTTTTGTCATGGAGTTTCAATTATGTCAAGTCAAGGAAGTCTTTCTGCCATGAAGTTTCAAATCTCTCCTCACTCAGAAAAGGACACTTCAGATAATAACCAACAGCAATTTGTTTAAATTTGCGTATTGTCACCAAACCCATCTTCAGAGCTGCAGTAACAGCATCCCTTGGAACCCCACAGTTTGTCTTCTGCCGACCCAGGGAATTCATGCCCTTTTGAAGGTCAGACAAAAAGGGGCTCTGAAATGATGGGTGACCAGTTTGAGTCAGCTATTTATGCCATTTTTGTGGTGTTACACATGCCCTGAGGTCACCAACAAAAAGGATTTCGGTTGTCTTTCTTGTGCCATTGACTGATACTTACGCAGTGACCACAAATATATTTTCTGGGTCAGAAAGGCATGTCTTTGTGTAGTGATGGAAACTTGTATTGAGCCAAACAGTGGTCACATTGCTAGTAAAATAGATGTTAAGTGAAGCATGAACAATTTTAATTACTTTCATCTAGCACAGAGAGGGAATGAACTAATTCTGCACTATTTTTCCTATGGAAAACACTTACTGTAACATCTGTATATAGATGTATACATCTGTATATAGATGTGTTAGATATGTAACACATCTATATTTCATATTTATTTAGTGTAGCCCTCTTTTTTAATACACACAAATAAAAGTAAAAGGATATTTTCTTTCACATCCCAGGTACATAAAAGCACTGATTTATTGACCTGAGCCTGATTTTGGAAACATGTTTCAGATTAAACTAATTATGCTTTTTTTTTCCCCTGCAAATGTTACAACTACTATTAACCCTGCAGTAAACAGTGACAGAAGAAGGAAAAAGCCAAACCCTCTGGTAGGCATCAGCCGAGGGGTTAATTTGTTGCTCGAGTTCCATTTAATTGTGCTCCCATGTCCATGTGGTGCTCCCAGAAGGGCTCAGCTCTGGCAGCCTTTGTGCAGCTGCAGCGCTCAGTGCTGGGAGCGGCTCTGCCAGGATGGAGAACTCGGGGCAATCCAGGCTTGACTACTATGTCTCCTATGTCCACTGCTATAGTGTAGGTCATTCAGCTATTTTTCTGCATGCTTATTTCCTTTTTTAAAGTAGTTCTGTCATTGTATTCTGTTCATGCTAACCTCAGTTTATTTTTATGTTGAAGTGTCAGTGTAGCTCTGAGGTTTTTTACTCTTCGTAGTTTTCTTTGCTCTAAAATAAGCAGATAGTAAAAACAAGTTCTTTACTTATAAATCTAATGGTTTACAGGAACGTTTTTAGAGTCATTCCAGGATTCCAGGATTTTGCAGCTCTGAAAACTGAAGCATTTAGAATTCATGTTTGTGTTTTTTTCCCATTTCTAGTGAGTTTATATAGCAATGTACATAAATATACATCATTGTTCTAAAGTCTGTGAAGCAAAGTTTGCCAGTGTCTTCCAGTTCCTGGTACCACTCCAGGATGCCTCAAAAGAGGGACCACTGGGTATTTTACTGACTGGAAATAGTGTAGGTGACAAGGACATCATTTAAATAAGGGTAATGTGCTTGCTCTTCTTAAAATAAGATTAAACTGCATGTATATGTAGGTTAGACCATACCTTAAAATGGTTGTGGACTGAATTTAGGTACAGGGAAAACGATTTTTTGTAGTTCCAATATTTATAAGCATTTGAGGTTTTTTTTCTGAAAGTCATGACTGGAGTCTTGCATTAGACACAGATTTCTTAATATAAGACATGTATTTAAAATGGTGTTAGTCTCTTATGCATACTGTAGATGTGGGAAGTTGATTTAAAATCTGTTTGGCATTTTTTAAAAGCAGTCTTTTCAAAATGTTTACATGTTTAACATCCAAATGTTTTAGTTCGGTGTGAGTTGCCTTTCAAGCCTTTTAAGGCATATCTCTAAATAACCTGTCTAGGGGTAGTTATTGGTCATATGATGTCTTTTCTCACTGAGGATGAGGAACTCCTACATTTCTGTTATTTCTGCTTTTGAAAACACGTCTATGTCATCTTAGTGGTGTGTCAGAGACAGGGGCATCAGTCATTGTCTCTTGAGATGCTCTTTAGGACCCAGCACTGGTGGATCAGTGCCTTGTGCCATCCAGAAAACATTGCAGGTGCTGTTGTGCCTCCCGAGCACAGCTGCACACAATTACCATGTTCATCTGCAGTCATTCTGGGCATTGATGGGAAAGCCCAATTAAAGACATGCTTGGGTTTCTCATGCAATTATGTTGCTCAGCACTCGATGTGTCACTGCTTTGCTGAGTAACCTTTGGACTGATACTTCTCATCTCTCTCTTACCTACAAGGAAAAAAGATGAAGCAAGGAAAGAATCAAAAATTAAATTTTGGTTAAACAATGAGTCTGAACAAGAAATAATTTCTTTTGCAAACTTCTAGTGAAATCTGTAGAACAGAGTTAGAGCCCTGTTAGAGCTGTGAGGAAGAAATCCCTCTATAAGACTCAAATTTTACTTTTTTAAAAAGTCATTATAGTCTGGTGCTTCAGGAATGTGGCACATCTTGAATCTCTGTATGTAATAAAAACTTATGAAGTTCTGTATAGGGTAATAACCACCTCCTAAGAACTTTAGCAGTCCTAATGAAAAAGAAACAAGCACACCTCTGGCAAGGGTAGACAATTCACTGTCCAGGCTCTCTTTTTTGAAGAGCCCCATCTGCACAGTTCTTGTTTTTATCTCTGATTTAAATGTAGCAGTTTTTAGAACCTCACAAATGGAGGACATGGAGTGCTCCCATTGCTCTCTTGTGTGTTGCATTGTCACCAGGGTTCTTGCTGGGCAGACTAAAAAGTGCAGTATTATGTAGGGAATGTGTGTCTGAAGGACACTTCTTCCCTGTAAACGAAAGAAGAGGTGTGGGGAAGGTCAGTTTGATATTTGTGTGCACTCTTTTGTTTTAGAGATCTTTGGGTTTGGTGATTGAATGTAAAGTCAAATGTTTGATCAGTCCATGGTGCCCCTTCAGTCTTTGCAGAGGACATTAAGTGTTCATTAAGGTTCAAATAAGGGATTTTCCTACTGACATAAAAGTACCAATTCCTGTGTTTTTATGTCAGTCCCAATTTAGCTGACTGATCTAATGAAGAATTGTCCTATCACTGAGAGATCAGCGTGAGAATTTGTATCATTATGTGGTGCTCCCCATAAAATATTTCTTAGATTACTTATGATGCTGTTGGATTGCACCAGGTAAGATGAGACAGTAAGTGGGAGTAGTCATTTTCAGGAGAGAGTTCACAAAATTGTTTTAGGTCATTCATTAGAGCAAATAAACAGGAATATTTCAGTTCTGTAGAGTGGTGTTGCTTGAGAGCTTCAGTGCTGGCTGTGAGTGAATAAATCTGCTGGGTTTAGTATAATAAACATATACCTTTGCCTATGATGATCCAGGTTTCTTTCTTCCACTGCTGACTGTGTAAATGCAAGAGGTCTGTTACTTGGAAGTGAGTTTTACTGGAGAGAGATGAGATGATAAAGGCTGCCTGCTTTCTCTGGAGTAAAGGAGGGGTAATTCACCAAGAAGTAAGCCAGAAGGCAGTTGGAAATGTAATGAAAATTAAATTACTGTTCATGTGTTGCTGTCGAACACGTGGCTTTTCTCAGCTTCCAGGCATGTATTTGTGGGGCTTTGTCACGATTTGGCAGACAGGAATATGAGCCAGTAGATTTTGTCAGAGTTAGATTTTGTCTGGTGCTGCTCTCTGACAGCGCTGTGTTCACAGAAGGGCTCAGCTCGAAGGCAGCCTGGGCTGGCAGAAAACTCAGAGCTTTTGTGCAGTGGTAGAGCAGCACACTCAGCCAGAGCTGAGAGATGGGCTCCTCCAGCATGAATAACTCTGGACAATCAAGAATTTGCTGTGTCTCTTATTAAGTGGATCTTATTATGTGTATCTTATTACTATGTGTTCAGTGTTAGTGTAGGTCTACTCAGGTGTTTTTCTGGATGCTAATTACCTTTTTTTAGCAGTTTTCAAATTGTATTCTGTTCATACTAAGCTCAGTTTATTTTTATGTTAAAATTCCTGTTGAAGTTTTTTGTTCTTTTTAATTCTCTTTGCTCTAAAGTCAGCACAGGTAGTGAGTGTGAAATGCAAGTGGCTCTTCTAGCTAATGGTCAAATAACCAAAATATAATAGCAGTCCTCTAGCAAATAAATAATGCCTTTGTCTCTGTTAAATCAGTAGAAGCCTCTAGTCTTCCCCTTGAAGAGGTGTACCTTAAAGTGTTAATTTTACTTTCCTTTAGCACCTTGCAAAATGATGACATTAGCAACCTTGCTGAGGTTCTGACTATGCAATTAGCATAAGAAGTGGGAGAAAGCACAATGTATTCATGAAATGAGTATTGTATATTAACTCACTAGTAAATGATTTTTAGAGCCTTGTTCAATTATAGCATAACTCTCAAAGTTCATCCCTGAGGAAGAAAACTGACTTGCCAAATAGATGTAGATAATTTGATTAGTCAGGCACCTTTTCCAGGGAGGGAAGTACTGGAGTGAGTGAAACCTGAAGTGGAGCCTGTAGTAAATCTGCATGGTTAAGCTCAAAGCTTTTTGGTTCATCCCTTTCCAGGTTCTGATTGCCCACGCTGCATAAATGCCATTTTTCTCCCCAGCCAAGCAGCTGTTTCTGTTTTGAGCAGTTCTGAATATGCTCCTGGGAGTGTGTGAGGAAACAGCATGAATGAGACCAAGCCATGTTTGGCATCCTCCAGGGTCTCTCATCTCCTTCTGCAGCTCTGAAATGCACAAAATTCTCTACACATTCTTGTGCTACCCCAGGGCAAGTAATGTGCAATGTCAGTGTTGTGCTGGGACAGCCCTCACATCTCCTTCAAAAATGCTAAAAAAGAATAAATCAGGTTTTCAGATCATAATCAAAAATTCAGCCAAGTGCTGTGTAGGATTTTTAGTGGTGTGTAAGTGTAGTGGTAAAGGGTTAAACACACACATCTTGGGTTTTTCTGAACCTGAGCAGATAAAAGAAGTTGCTGGGAAGAACGAGATTGTGATTCTTGCTTAGCATCATAGCAGGCATTTAAATCAGGAGGTTAAATCAGGAAGAATGTCTCCTTTTTGAAGTAAGGCCTGCACAAAGCACTGAGCTCTCTCCCTGGGCTATGACGTCTCCTCCCTGATGTGCAGGTCTGTCCTGGACAGTGTCAGCATTATCCCGTTTCCTAAATGTTGCTTGTGGTAGCAAACTTGAGAGGAATATGAACTGTTGTGCACTGAGTCTCTGCTGCTGTAACCCAATGGTTTTCTATCCTAAATGAAAGCTTTAAACCAAAAATCTGCAAATCACAGTGCAGTGCAGATGAGCTGGAATTATTTCACTGCTTTCTTTTCCATCTGAGCTCTGCTAAAATTGCTGTTGCTATAGCAAGATCTCCTTGTGTTTCCTTTGTTGACACAGGCTGCAAACATGTTTTGAACATTATATATACATCTCATTGAAATGCATTTTATTATAGTTCTTGCTGATTACTTACACTTTTTAATAAGATTAATTTTTCTTCTATAGGGGTCCATAAATCAGTGGTGTTTTAGTCAGTGTCTACACTGTGATAATAAAGACATGATCACCTCAGTACTACCAGGGTGGTACTGGGATATATAAACTTTTTATTAATAACAGTTAAGGAACTTACAGCAGAATACATCCTCTGTGGTTGTCAGGATACAAAAACTGTTAATTGTCCTTTAAAATAATTTTAACACCAGTAATTAAAGAGCAAAAAAGGATTTGCATTCCTAATGTATTATGGTGTTGTCATTGATTTAGGCAGGACTAAGGACACTTCATGATATTGGCCCAGAAATACGTCGAGCTATATCCTGTGACTTGCAAGATGATGAACCAGAGGAAAACAATCCAGAGGAGGAGGAAGATGTTTATAAAGTAATGTCAGAACACAACCATGTGAATTGTTTTTTGTATGATATGAGAGTAAAGAATGACCTTGTCCTTGAATATGAAATAATATAGTAATACTTTTAAACCCCTCAAATCAGAAAATATAAATAAGTATATTTTATATATAAATCTATAAAAATGGTAGTATTAGGACACTTGCATTTTGTCACAAATTTAGGAAGCAGTTCCTGCAGAGTGGTTCTCCTGCCCCTAATTCTTTCTCATTAATTCTTATTTTTTCTTAAGCAAATCCTATCAAAAGGTATGAACCTTGCCATCTCAGATTTTGATAGTGGCAAGGTTGAAACTGGGTTTAACCTCTGCAGTGGTAGATAGGAAGAAGAGAATGAAATTCTATGCAAGCAAACCACAACAGACACAGACCTGCATATTTTAAAATGAATACATGGGGTTACACAGAGACCAACTAAATAAAATGTCATTTCCAATCCCATGAGGGATATCAATAAGAATCAATTAGAAAAGAAACTAGGTTTCCTCTTTATCCTATTTAGTCCTAAATGATGAACATGTAAATTTGTTGTTATAATCAGAGACAGTCTGCAAACCATTTGTCAGCCAGCAAGAAAACGTATTTTTTCCCAAGCATTTCAGAAGAAGCAGATGTAAAATCATGCTTCTGCAGGAATTACAGCAGAAGCCCCATAGCTTGCTGCTGTCCTTTGCAAAAGGAGGATGTGGCACTGGAGACAGTGCCCCAGCTGCCATCAGTAGATGCATTTCTCTGCCAACCATCATTACCTCCTGTCTTCTCTAGATTGAGCTGCAACTCAGACTGCTGTCATCCAGGACCCACACCTGGCTAGACAGGGAGGCTCCCTAACCTGGGTCAGGTGTCCAAGAGAGCTGCATGTCATGGTCATAACTTAGCACCTCATCCTCTCTTTCACCATCCATCACACTCCCAGGGCTGATAAACAGAAACTCTTTCTTGTACCTCTGCGAGAAGAAAGAATGGAAGCACTGGAGCTGAATGTTCCCTACCTGGGATTTGCTTGCAAGCTGTTGCATGGCACTCCATCCTGTCTGAGTGACGCCTGCTGCAAACCCATGCCCTGGGAGAGCAGCACAGAACTCCACCAAGGCCTTCCCAAAGATTAAGCAAACACATCTCTTTCTGAGGAAGCTGGTGCATGTTCATTTATGGGAGTCTAGGTTTCTCCTGCGTAATAAAATGTGGAGAAAGCTGGATATGTCACTTTTACTTGTGTGGAAAAGAATAATGATCACAGCATACTGTTGATTTGACTCCGAAATACAATATTGTCATCACCACAATCACATCTCTGTCACTTCAGGAGATCCCATCTGAAGCATCATAAAATTAGAAAGAAAAATCACAGGTTACTTGAATTGCTACTTTTCTATGCATGTAGGAGAGAAAAGTAAGTTGTCACTGTCAAGAGTATGTTCTGTTAAGGTATCTGATATAATTTTTTCTTTCTCTTCCCCTAAAACAGAGGAATGGTGCCCTCTTTGGCAACCACATAAACCACATTAGCAGTGACAGACGAGATTCATTTCAGCAAATCAACACCACACACCGTCCCTTACACGTCCAGCGGCCTTCAATTCCCTCTGCAAGTGATACGGAGAAAAACATGTATCACCAGGCAGGAAACTCTGTGTACCACAACCATCACAATCACAACTCGGTAGGAAAGCACGTTCCAAACTCAACAAATGCCAATCTCAATAATGCCAACGTGTCCAAAGTCCATGGAAAACACACAAGTTTTGGGAATCGTGAGCACCGATCTGAGAACGGTTACCGTTCACACTCCAGGACTGACCACGAGAAGAGAAGAAGGCCAAGCAGTAGGAGGTAAACTTAAATACATCTTTGTTTTTAAATAAATTTATGAATACACTATAGGAAACTTAAGCTAAGTGAAATTAATATGAATCTTCATTTCTGTTGCCTACCGATGTTTGAGGTATATTTAAAATGTAGCTCTGATGATGCATAAAGCTTTTCTGTGGTTTGAAAGTAGCAGTTTTCTTTAAAGTGAGATCATTAGTTACAGCACAGACATTGTAATCTCCAAAGAATTTCTTTAAATGACTTGTTCTTAAAATATTTTTCTCATTTTTGTGGCCTACCTGGATAGAACACGCTACTATGAAACATATATTAGGTGAGTTGGTATTGTTCTGACATAACTGAAGAGGACACTGAGTTTTTCTTCTTTATTTTTTTTCCTCTCCTTTCGTGTTTCTTTTCTAAGTTAACTGTATAACAATGCATATGCTTGGTAACTTAAGTGACAGTTTTAAAGTCTATTTATTTACTGCCTATTCTAAAAGGACAACCTTTTGGTAAAGTTCAAAATTATTCAAGCCCTTTTGAAAGTCAAGGCAGGTTTCTACAGTTTTCAACAGGCTAAAGATCACACCTGATTGTAGCCCTTGTTAAAAATTGACTTAACAAGACTGGAAAAACCACTGCTGTTAGCTTTGATAAATGTTAATGTGTACAGTTCCTTTTATAGGGAACCCAAAATCTTTCCTGGTTTTCTGTCTGAATATTTTCTAAGGCACTTTTTAAAATATAAGATCTATTGTTTTAACTGAACTGCATTGGTAAATGGATGCTCAGTGATGGTTTTAATGCCTAGATTTGCATACCCATTTCAGATTTCTTTTTGAATACCTCAGTGCATTCACTTCTTAATATTTGAGCCATTTGGCAAACTTCAGGCATTGGAGAGAGGCTGTGTTTTTCCAAATGACAATGTATATCATATAAAAATGTCTTGAATGTATTTTATTTCACTGAGCATCCTTTTATTATTTTTGTATTGTACCACAAGAAAATAAAGGAAGATGCGTCATTGATGTTCTGAACTGCACTGCTGTAACACCACATCCTGAACTAGAGAGTTGTTAATGCTTGTCTTTTTCTTCTCCTCTTTGAAGAACATTAAAATAATTATAAGAACATTATAAGCAATATATAATTGATATAAATAGAATAAAAATTCCTATTTGGTGGCTGCTTCCAGGTCTGACACTGGTGATGGGCGCCGACCTACCATTCGCCGGGAAGAACACGAAGTGCAGGACTACTGCAATGATGATCATTATCTGGGAGAGCAGGAGTATTACAGTGGAGAAGAATATTATGAAGATGACAGTATGTTGTCAGGAAACAGGTGAGGATATTTATCAAACAAAAATATTTGTTAAACAAAATAGCATGCAAAAATATTTTGGTATTTTAGATACATCGATGTAAAGGCTTCACTAAGCACATTCACCCTGCAAATTCTCTAATGAAATTTATACTCCACAACTGCTGAAATGGGAAATGATGAGGAGGAATGGAGAGTATTCAAAGATGGAATGTTATCCTTCTACTGACTACATTCAGTAGCATCTCAAAAATAATCTCCACTTCTGTCCATTTTTAAAAAAAATTTCAAGTCCAGCCCAGAAGTAGAGGAATTTGTTGCCATTTTATCTTAGATCCTTAAGTGGATATGTTAAGTGCCAGACATGATTAATTCTCCTCCTTCTTCTCCTGCTATATGGGCTACATTCACCAGCTGAATTCTGGCAAGGTTGGCACCCTAATCTGCATCCCATTGATTTGCATGAAAGCTAAATTTTACAGAATTCTCAGGTCACTATTTTTTTTGTATGATAGTTAGCATCAGGTAGCACCCTTTCAAGATCTGATTTTAAACATGAGAATATCCAGAATGTAAGAGGCTTAAATCCATTCTGAGCTTCTGTGCTCTGCACCTTACCCAGGGTTCTCAAGACAACATGGCAGGAATAGAAAAGAGTATTTATTTTATTTTTTAAAGCACCGTGCAACTGAGATCTTACATTTTTGCCTCTACTGGTAAGGAAAAATTCAGGGAAAATACAATATGTTTAAAAATTTAACCTGAGAATTGACCTAGTAGAGAAGTACATGCCCTCTCAAAATCCTACAGAAACTGAATTTTAAATCTGAGTTGTGCAATTACAGAATGCAGTGTTTAATTCTCTTGCTGGAGAAAAAGTAGACTTGAAAATCTTTTAGAAGGAAACTAATTTTGTAACTATTTACAAAAACTCACTGAAATAATATTTTCTTTATTGTTTTTAAATGCAGGCATAGATATGATTACCACTGTAGATATCACTGCCATGACTCAGATTTTGAGAGACCAAAAGGTTACCATCACCCACATGGTTTTTTTGAGGAAGATGATTCACAGATCTGTTATGATACAAAAAGATCTCCTAGGAGACGGCTGCTACCTCCAACACCACCACGTAAGTACATTAAGGACAATTGGTTTGAAAATCTGAAATAATTCAAATGCTTTCAGACAGATTCCACTTTAAAAAGGATTTTTTATAAAACATGGATTTTAAGCATCTTATTTCAGATTGACATTGGTACTTTATTCTGCTGTCTCAGGAACAATGCTTAAAATTCTGTGTTCCTTCTGAGGGACATGTTTCAATTTATAGATGGAATTAGCACTGTCAACAGATTTTTTTCTGATTCTTTAATTTTCATTTCTTCTCTTCCTTATATTTAACCCGTGGTTTTTCCTTATCTCAAGAAAAATATTGCATTATATGCATTTCTACAAGATGTCATGCTTCTTATCTTGCAATCCTGTCTTTGTATGTTCCAGGCCACACTGCAGAGATTAGCAGTGCTAATCCTCTGGTCAAACTAGGCACAGACTCAAAATTCTTGGGTTTGGTCTTTGACCTCTGAGTGCAAAAGCAACCTCTTTTTAAGGCTTTTTCTTGTCTCAGAAATTCTCAAGTGTATTGAGATAATTTTATATCTGAGGTACAGTCTCAGACTGTTTAAAGCTACAGAAAGCTGTGGTAAAAGGCAGCAGCAAAATATATTTTTATATAATAAAGGTATCATTCTCCAGCAATACTGCCAGTACTGGATCTATATTTTAGGCACTCATCTCCTTATAAGACTGGCAATGCTCTCTGCTTTTTGGCTTTCTGCCCTTAGGGGGCACAGGGGCAGAATGAGTCTTGCACCACAGAGAGTAAATTACTCAGCTGAACAGCAGTGAAGGGTACAGAAAGTTGTGTTGTCTTTCAGTAGCAGAAGGCAAACACATCACATGAAGGAAAGGAGACCCCTATGTGTCTTTGTACAATTTTCTCTGATAACAGAGGAATTTTAAGCCAAAGAAATAGATAGATGCTTTGTATATCCATTCCACAGATTGCAGAAGAAAAACTTTCATATAAAAATTGTCCTGGGTCTGCCCATGAAAGTGTTTTGAGTGGAGAGTTAAAGGTTTGCTCTAACTACAGACTTGGAGATAAAGTTTTAATTACAGTGTTTGGCAGTCATTTATTTAGAGGAAGTTATGCTTTTTATCTCATGTACAGGAAACTAGATTAAGGTACTAGATAAAATTGTTTGATATCCTAGGATAAGAGGACATAGTTCTGATCGAAGTTGCATAAGGGTAATTTAGGAAGTCCTTGACTTTCACCAATGTAATGTCATAAGAGCAATCAGTGTCAGACCTCCTGTCATAACCATTTATTTTATATTCAGGAAAAGATTTGAGAGATTTTAGCAGCTCAGTATCTGAGCAGATTTTAAAAGAATCTCAAATCTCTTATTTGTAACTAGTGCATGGGCTGTTTGGCCTGGGGAGGAAGCTTGATTGTTGCACATGAATAAAGAAAAAAGAAAAAAAAAATACATGCAGCATTGCACTAAACAATTCCTGCTAGCATCTGAATCAGTCCAAGTGAACATAACATCCAGTGCCTTGGCTGAGTACTGCAGTCAGTAAATTGAGCTCTGTGTCAAGCTTTCTGGATGCTTCTATACCAAACTTCTCACCACAGTATTTGAACAGCATCCAGAAGTGTACTGAGGAATGATTGAGATTTTCTTTCAGCCTCTTCTCTGCAGAGAAACATGTGCAAAGATATGCCTTGTTTTGGATGAAGGGACTTTTTGGCTTGCTTATTATGCATTTTGGTATTGGGACATTTAGCGTATTAGGATCAGGAGCTGAGGCTCACATTCCTGTATTTGGATTTGCCATAGAGACAAGGGAGAGAGACAAAGTTTGCCTTAGTTGGACAGAAAGACCTCGTGGAGGTGCCTGTTTTAGTTCAGTGGCTCTTTGTTAGTATCCAGCATGAAGTGTCTGATGATAAATGTGGGGTGCCATAACTCCCTGGCACTTAACTTGGTACAGCCAGGTTCTCTCCAGTGTCCCCTCCAGTGCTTGCAGCTGTGAGGGTGGATCTGGATTCCAGCTGTAGCTCAGCATCCAGGCTTTCTGAGCATTCAAGCTGGCACAGGGGAATGACACCCACATGCTTCCCATCATTCTGCAGGCTCCCAACAAGATCAGCTGAAACATCTCCACATCAGCCAAACATCTTGATTCAGTTCAGATTTCCACTTTTTTTTTTTTTCTACCGTGAAAGTGCACATAACAGCAGAGACCGTGAATGATCGCTGTCCTAAGCAACAGAATAAACATCAGGAATTGACAGCCTGAGTTGACTTGGATATGGTTTTAAGCATATTGCATATTGCTTCCAAGGAACTGGAGATTTTAAATTTCCTATGGGAAATCTGGTTTATTAGAATTGAGAACTTAAAGCCATGGGAGGAAAGAAGAAAGTCACACCCGGTTATGGCAAAACTCTGCAGCTGAGAGTCTGAGCCAGTCAGCTGCATCAGAGAAGCTTGTTTTCTGAAACAGCTGCTTCCAGTTTCACACCACAACACCAGTTCTGTCATGTTAGGTGCTTCTATGATTTCTGCCTTGGACTGCTTTTGCTTATGTGGTTAATCTGGCCTTTATCTTATAACCCACCACTTGCTTCTATTAGTGCAACTCGTTTCTTACTGGAGTTTTATTTGTATCATAGTTCACTCATCCTGAAATTCTGGAAATAATAGACTTTGAGGAAAAATACTTTGTTTTACTAATGAATTATAATTTTCCTGTAGCACATAGACGATCTTCCTTTAACTTCGAATGCCTCCGCCGACAAAGTAGCCAAGATGACATCCCACTCTCTCCTAATTTTCACCATCGCACGGCTTTGCCACTTCACTTAATGCAACAGCAGGTAAACTCAAACTCTTCCTTAACCAACAGTGAATTACATCTTTCCAGCCTCTACATTGCACTCCTGACTTTCACTGTTGTTTGAAGCAGCACTGGGGTATTCATTGCTAGAGCCAAGGCTTCTCAAACATCGACCTTGTACAAAACACAGAATGATCTGCCTGCCCCTCGGACTCTGAGTGTTCACAAAGAGTCACCATGCCCTAAATTTTGACCAGGACTGCATTATACATCTGCTGTCTATTAATGTTTGCCTATCTCAACTCCATTTGTGACAATTTGCAAGTACAAGTCAGACACCTTCTGAGGCTCAGTGCCCAGCTTGGAAAATGCTGACAGCTTCCTATCCTGTCCTGGACAGAAAGAATGTTTCTATACTTTGTTTTCTTTAATATATTGTATAATCAAAAATATTTTGTGATTATAAAATGGAAAAAATACCATTTTGTTGATCCAATTTACCAGTTTCAGTCCTGTTCCTCTGTTATACATCAGAAAATGTTAACTTTGCTGCTGCCTGAGAAATTGGTTTGAGTTAACTGCTGAAGTGAGAGATTAGTATGACTGAGCATTTGAAATCACTAACTTCTAAAATGTTCCCTTTGCCAGGTGATGGCTGTGGCAGGTCTGGACTCCAGCAAAGCTCATAAACACTCACCGAGCCGTTCGACGCGTTCCTGGGCCACCCCACCCGCCACCCCTCCCTACAGGGAGCGTTCCCCCTATTACACCCCTCTGATCCAGGTGGACAGGGCTGACTCCACAGAGCACATGAACGGCAGCCTGCCTTCCCTGCACAGGAGCTCCTGGTACACGGATGACCCCGACATTTCCTACAGGACGTTCACGCCAGCCAGCCTGACCGTCCCCAACGACCTGCGGCACAAACACAGCGACAAGCAGCGCAGCGCAGACAGCCTGGTGGAGGCGGTGAGTGCCGCGCAGCCTCCCAGGAGCCAAGAGTGCCCCTCTGCGCGGGTTTGGGGCTAACTCTTCAGAGCACAGAATTAAGTCTGATGCCTCAGGTTTTAGCTTTTGTATTTTTTAGATTCTGTGCTGCTTTAGTGTGTACTTCTGAGCTTCATATTAGGAGATAGTCAGCTCTCTTCACACAGTAGGGAGACAAAACAATTCCTTCTCTAGCTGGGGACCAAGGACAACCAGCCCATATCTCAAGCCCAAGAGCATAAACAACGTGGACTGAAGAGAGAAAAACAAGAAGGATGGGACTTCGTAAGCTAAATCTATAATTGGATAATTAACTCAAATATGCTAATGGACCAAAACTTATAAAAGTGAGAGACGTTATGACTGGTCATCCATTTTGTGACCATTTTTGGTCCATCTTGGGTGTAGCCCTGGCTGTGCTCTGGTGTTGCCCAAGGCGGATCCATTGCAGCCTTCTAATAAATATCTACTTTATTCTTTAGCTCTGTCTAGTCTCTGTTCAAGGTCAGCCTTCACAAGGCATCAAGTTTGCATCACCTCTCTGAAAATGGATTTTTAGTTTTATAGTCACAAACTGGTTTTAGGTAAAGAGGGGAATTCATTCATAACTGTTGTGTAGTAAAGGATTTCTACTGAATCCAGATCCTCACATTAGTACGAGATTAGTCAGAGAACTAAAGATACTTTACAATTTTGAAATGTAAGTTTTTTAGATGGGCATCAGTTCTGAACTATCCTTCCACAATGGCAACAAGGAAGAGAGGATGTATATGCCTGTTCTCTCTTTTGTTTCTATAGAAATAAACCCCCATTTTTGCAGTAATCTGAATAAAAGAACAAAAACTCCATAAATCAATGTATTAAATGCAGAGAGGAGAATAACAACTGCAAGGAATGATTTGTAGGTGTACTAAAGAATGCTAAGAATTCTGTTTTATATTAAAAAGATTTGAAGATAGTGTGTACAGCATTTCTTAATCATAGTTAGTGTTGTAGCTTCCATCCATCACTTCCTTTCCATTGCTATGAGCTATACAACACATTTTGTTATGTTTTTGCAAATGGAAATTCAACATATTTTTTCCATGTAGTCTAAAGTACCGAGAACATATAAAATTCTGCATTTCAATTGTTCTAACTGCACCATCTGAGGTGTATCAACCATTGTGTTTAGTGTATCAGCCTGATGATTGATGTTCAGCAAAGACTACTGCCAGATCTGTAAGAAGTGCCAGATGTACAGCAGCACTTACATTATGGCACATCATAGTGTTCTTTGGAGGCTTTTCATTGTTGATTTCATTGTTATTTACCTGTACAGTTTGGCTGTGGGTTGCTCCAGTGATTCAGCATGGGGTTTCTAGTGCTTTCATCAATGAGCAATACTATGATCTGTTCTGCAATTTCACTGATATTCTCACTCTCTCCCCTCCCTCTGCCAGGTACTTATATCTGAAGGCCTAGGAAGGTACGCAAAGGACCCTAAATTTGTTTCGGCTACAAAACACGAGATTGCTGATGCATGTGACATGACTATTGACGAGATGGAGAGTGCAGCAAGTAACCTTCTCAATGGGAATATCAGCAATGGGACCAATGGGGATATGTTTCCAATTTTAAGCAGACAAGATTACGAACTCCAAGATTTTGGTCCTGGCTACAGCGACGAAGAGCCAGAAACGGGACGATACGAAGAAGACTTAGCTGATGAAATGATATGCATTACAAGCTTATAGTATTTAGCAAGGAAAATGTTCTAATAACAGAAAAAGTGCCTCATAGTTTCAAGATGCTAGGCACTAGCTGGAGTGAATAACCAATCCAAGTTTTGCACGAGTGATGTCGCACCTCAAGGAAGCCATAACTAATAAATTTATTATCTCCAGGTTGCCGAAATGTGAACAGAGCTGCAGTAGGTCAAGTCTCCTCCCACGGAATCTTCAGTTCCTCTGTAGGAATGAGGTTCTTTTGAAACCAAGCAGATTGTGACAATCAGTTTTTTGAGGGCTAGAGCAGGATTCTGAGGTGTGATATCTTGCCTGTCTTTCAACCTTGTGCTGCTGTCCTTCCTAGTAGAGCAGGATTTTGTCAGTGACAATGTCTCTATAGGTCTGGCACAGGATTGTGTGGGAAACAGCAACATGAGATGAGTGATGACAACCAATAATGTCATTACCTCAGTGCTCAAAGCATATCAGCTACCCATTGCATATCCATTCTACCATTGTTTTCAAACTTGCCTCCTGATTTCTTTTCTTAATGCTCTTCTAAAATACAATTTGTCATGCTCTACATGTTAGAGATCGTTGGAAAAAGAAGTTATATAAAGAATAATCTGTCATATGTAACATCAGTTTACATAGGAAAATATCATTCAGATGGTCTGTTTTATGACTATCATGTTAAGGGCAAAATATACTGGAATAATTGCATTCTTACTAATGCACTTGCAACCAGGTTATAGTAGAATTAGATAAGATAGTTTGCTAAAAATTATATAGTAGAAAATAATGTAAATTAATTGTAATATACAATGATTTGTATTTGTAAAGAGATGTTCTATATTTTGTAATTATTGTACCGTAATTGAACTGCAGCAATATTTATGGACCCTAATTATTGTAACTCTCCACAGAATTCTAGATAGAAGTATTTTTACTTGGAATATATAGATCTATAGCATAAATATTTAAATAGAGCCACCTCTCAGTGTAAATCTCATTTTGGGATAAAGTGTCAAGTGTGAACTTGGCAATAGATCAGATTTTTTAAAAATAATTAAGTCAAAAGAATCTCTCTGTGAAAGGGATGCACCATTGACTACTCAGTCTTATACTTGGAAAGGTTAAAAATTTAAAGTAATTTCCCACCCCCTTTTTTTTTTTGACTGAAAAGTAAGCTCTAATTTTATTTTTGTAATAACCCCATGCAAAAAACCCAAAAACCTTGGCAAGTTTATGCCAGGGTGTTACTGGTCATGAGACAATTAGTTTTCACAAAGTGTAATTTCCACATACCCTAAATTGACACAGAAAATATCTGAGGCAGAAAATACTTCACAGTATTGAAAATGCTTTACTTCAGTACTACTTTCTCTGCTTGGAAAGAGAAGAAATATGATTCTACACAGAACCAAAAACCTTGCTATAAAAAATATTTTATTGCCTCTACCTTTCTGTTGTTCTCTGTATACTATTTCAAATATTTATTTTTATGCAATCAAGAGAGGGCTTCGATATTGTTCACAATGCAGTAAAACCCTGAAATGTCTTTGAGGCTGAAATGACCTTGGAGGATAATTAAAACACCCTGAAGCTACTGTCTATTTTGTTAGCACTGGATAACAATGACTTGTTCTAACAAGTTATCTTATCAGGTTTTACCTGTAGTTCCTATGCTAGATAGCAATCCAGTTCACATTTTTACAAATGTGATGTTTAAAACATGTCAATAAACATTTTGTACATAATGACAGTTTCCTATGAATAGCTTACAGACTTCCTCTGAAATCGTTCTTATTTCAAATGCCAGGATAAGAACTTAAAGGTTTGTAAATTATTTCTTGACCTACATCATTTTGTATTAAAACAAATGCAAAATGTTCTTCAAAATAAAACTGTGTAATAATTTTATTATACCTGGGAGTCCTTTTAGTAATATTTTTTCCCCAAGAAGTTCCAAAGGTTAAATTCAATTTGCAATGTTATAAGAAGGGGAGGGAATGTGTGGAATAGAGTATCAGTCTGCAGTGTCACATCATGCCAGTCTTTTATGAATGGTTGCTGTTAACCACAAAGAAATAAAACAATCAGAGTATTCATGTGCAAAAGGGATTACTACTCTCCAGAGACAGACCTATGGAAATGATTAGGGAAATTTGACTAAAATACCCTCAAACAGCTAAATAAATTTTCCATGCTGTCTTGGGAAGCTCTTGGGGAGGTTACCCAGCAGTACTCACTGTGTTACACTTTCCCAGCTCACAGAAACAAAATCTGGAAGTCCAAAATGGAGCTATCCCTGTGAAGTAACAATGAATAGATTGCAAAGTTCTACCTACTGTGGTAAAGCCACTTCTGATAACCACCTTCAAGGCAACGGACGTGAAACTTTAAAAAAAAAAAAAAAAAAAAAAAAGAAGGAAAACAATATCAGATTTGTATTTTGTCCAGCATGGACAAAATCTGATAGCACGTCAGGTTCAGCAGATTGAGTAGAGTGACAGGATTTTTAATTAGTGATTTCTCCAAAGAGACAGAAAACAATATGCTGACCTCACTGTGCTTTCCTGCACTTTGTCCTCAGCTTTTAGTGGTGTGATGAGAGACTCTTTAAGGAAGATATGAAATTTTATGAGAGAACTGCTTGCAAAAATAAACAATGAAGGAAATTTAGTTGCAGACCATATTCTATACAGTTTTTGGCTTAGGGGAGAACATTTGTATAAGATTCAAAGAATACTTGTTTGATTTTAATACAGAAATGTGTGGTAACAAGTAATCAATATATGCATATTTTGTGGTAATTGGCACCCTTAGAATACTACCAATCATAGTAATTAGTACAAAAAATTTAGAAGTTCTCTCAACAATTAAATCATCATTTATGGGACTCCAAATTTGTTTATATATGTATTTAATGAGAGAAAATACTAGTAAAGAATTAAACACTGGTAAGTATTCTACAGTGAAGTAAATTCACTGAAAAAATGAATCTATAACATATATTCATATTTGAACAGTGTCCCTTTTTGGAGTTTGGCTGACAGAAGAATTGAGACTAAAAATTCTAATAATGTAATAAGATATGCTTGTGTTCTCCGTCTTCATTTTAACTATAATATAAAAAAATATTTAATTACTTTTATTATTATTTGACTATATATGATATATATATATATTATAATTAGTATATTTATGCTTTTCTTATTCATCAAAATCCATTTTTATGCTTATTTATAGAGAATGCATATTCCAAGCCCACTTTTCCAGTGTTCCTACAACTGCCTAATTTGGTTGCAGAGTAATTGACAGCAGGCACTTGGCAAGGATTTTAAGGTTGTGGTGTACAAAAATCTTACATTAATTGAATACAATGCAATTTTACAAAAACTGTTGTATTGTGCTGCTTTTAAAAGCACTTCTCATATTGAAATAACTTGAACTGAAATGTGTGTAAAAAAGAAATGGTTTTGGTCACTTTTCTTTCTTAATCTCATTGTTCCCAGCCAGAGACCTCCAACTGCCTGGAGCATCTGCAGCAAGCCATTTCCAAGGAGATGGAAATCTGGTGTTCTCTCTTGCAGTACAATTGCTGGTCCAAGCCATGCTGGCAGGTCTAGTAATTCTTGAATTAAACAGCTTTTACAGTTCACTGGTTTTGAATACACAATATATTATCTGCATATTTATAGAATTTATAGCTGGGTAGAATTGGGAATACTCACACTGTATTATTTTGTTAAATAGGTAAAACTGTGGAATTACAACCTGTGTTCTGCAGTCCAGTAAGGTGTAAAAGATGTTTACTTGTAGCTGTGAGACTGCCAGTGCTCCACAGGATAGGTTACAATAACCTAGACCTGCTCTAAGGACACTTTAGCAGACTTGACTCTGCTGGAAGTCAGAACAATTTTTTATGGGAATTCAATATCAGCAACCAGGCACAACACAGGACAAATTAATGGTAAATTGATGCTACTTAAAGATTTCCCCAGGGCAACAAACCCTTCAGCATGCATCACAGGAATCTTATGAGGGAGCCTCAGTGTTCTACAGCAGTGAGGCTGGAATTAGTAAAGCAGCTCACAGCAATGAAGATGTTCAAGTGTTTAGAAGAGGAGGAATCTGCAAGATGACTGTGGATGGTTAGAACTGCAAGAAAATATGATGTTTCAAAAGAAATGCCTGATGATCTGATTTCTCAGTGCAGCAATGTCTCCTAAGCATGACACATGGATACCTAATCTTGCTATTTACTCTTCTTTTTGGAGCTTGGCATAACAGCAGAGAGGTCTGTGCATGTTCAGTGGTGAGTTATGTAAGGCAGAGGCTAGTTAATCCTCTGCAGCTGCATAATAACAATTCCCACCTTGCATGCCTGGAGTGGAAAGCCACACTGTAAATCTGCAAATGCGGGAACTTCAGTGTCTCATCTTGCCAAACTGCCTCCCTTCTCAACTGCACAAGACTATGGTAAGTCTCACCAGTATATAGAACTTCAAATATCCTTGTTGTATTCCAAACGACACTATAGAACTTACTGAATACCCCTAAAGAAAAATCTCACAAGCACAAGTGCTGAGAAAGAATAATTTGCCGATTGGAGGTACACAATACACAGTCCATGCTTTTCTCAAACAGTTGCACCAGAGGAATTGTCTCCTTAACTCAGCTAATCAATCACCTATGACGTGAAATATTCTTGTTCTTCCCCTCATTTCAAAGGACTGCATCACATACATAGAAAGGGTTTACCTGTCTCCCTTTGGAGCAGAGTTCACTGCTGTTATCTTCCATCTTCCGTGGTTTTGTTTGTGTTTATGCAGATGCTCTAAGGAATGAAGTTCTTTCCTACAGCAGAGCTTCCAGTCAGTGTCTTACAGAGAGCAGCACCAGGTACAAATATCTGCCTTAAACATCTGCAGTTGTCCCTCCAGCCAACATCTGAGTCAGCAAGGTTTTCTACAGTGTCAAAACTGTGTAAAATTCCAATTTTTTGCTGAAAAGATGTTTAT